CCCCCCAACAACCCCATCTAACCATCCTAATGAACCAACCTAATCTCCACCATCCCCGGCTCCCACTCCCTCAACCCCTCCCCAACACTATACCAAAACCTCAACCGCACACACTCCCTCCTCGCAACCTCCACATCCCCACGATCAAACGCCTCCCCAAGCACCCTCACACACTCCTCCACCCGTCCCTCATTCTCCCTCTTCAACTCCGCAATCCTCTCCTCCGCCCCGGGATCCCCACTCACCTCCTCAATCGTCTCCTGCACCTCCATCACCTCCATCAACGTCTCCGCGTCCAGCGCATGCTTCGTCGCCCCATCCTCCGCCGTGACATCAATCCCGTGCATCTCGCGCAGGAGATACTGCGCGCGCTGTAACGGGTCCAGCAGCGTGCGATACGCTTCGTTGATTCGGGCCGACAGGGCCTCCGCGGCTTGTTTTTGCGGGCCTTGCGGGTATTTGTCCGGGTGGATGCGGCTTTGCCATTGGAGGAATTCGCGGCGGAGGGTGCTGGGCGGGATGTGGAAGGGGGAGGCGGGCGGTGGGCCCGCTGGGAGGGTGGTTTTGAAGATTGTGTAGTGGTTTGTTATGTCGGGGGTGGTGATGGGGTCGGTGGGTGGGGGGGGGGTTTGCGTGGAGGCGAAGCGGAGGGTTGGTGCTGATGGTGAGGAGTATGTGGTAGGAAGCTGGTGAGGGCGGAGATAGTTGTGGGCTTGGGTGGTGGGTGTAAGGGGTTGGAGAGCCCGGGCGGAGGATATCCGTGATGCGAGTCGGCGGGTAAACATTGTGTGTTTCATGCAGGGTGGCTGTGAGGTGAAGATGAATCGTGGAGAATTGTACAAGAAGAGTCTTGCTCGGAGATGGCGGACGATGCCTCGGGCTTTGAGCGGCGGTGAATGGAAAGAATGGGCAGAACTCACGTGGAGGCGATGGAGTGGGCCATGTTGGATTCACCGCCTGCCTGTACAAGCTGAAGTATAGCCTGCACGTCATCGAGCATCGTATATCGTTTCTACCGGACTGCCTGTAAACAAACCATATTCGTGGAGATATCCCGGTTCCCATGAAGTGGGCCGTCACCTGATTGAATACATCTGGCAGGAATCATTATACCATTTTCTGGATTACTCGTATATCTATTCAATCCCCCACAGTTTCACCGTGCGGTCATGTCCGCAACTTGCAATCCACTGCGCATCCGCGCTGATGTCGGTGCTCAGAACATTGCCCGCATGTCCGCTCAGGGTCTTTACCAACGACCAGTCATCCGCGCTGAAGATGTTGACATTCTTGTCGAATCCGCTACTGACAAAGAATGTGCCGGACTTCTTGGGCTGCACCGGAGCCGGTGTATCGCTTGCGGGCGGAGCCCCGTCCACATCCATGCGGCCGTCCGCCGAGGGCAGATATGACGCCGCCTCCGAGCCCTTGTACCATCGGACATCGGACACCACGCTCTTGTGCGCTCCGATCCCTCCACTGTTCCTGACTTGACGCAGATCCCAGCACTTGACCCATCCATCGCCGGATCCCGAGAGCACCCGGTATCCATCAACTCCCCAGTCCAGCCCAAAGATCTCCCGGATGTGCCCCTCCAGGATCATGACCGTGCGACCCGTCCGGAGATCCCATATCCGGCCGATACTGTCCAACCCGCCACTGGCGAGGAGTGAGCCGTCATTGTTGAATGCCACCGTATACACCTCCCTGGAATGCCCCTCTTGCAATAACAGCTCTGTTGTCGTTTCAACGTCCCACAGTCGCCACGTGGTATCGTAAGAAGCAGAGGCGACGTACCGCCCGGACGGGTGAAATTCCGTCCGGCAGACACGACCGATGTGACCGGACAGTGTCGCCAAGGGCTTGTCACTAGTCAAGGACCACAAGCTGACATCTCCTTCGCCTCCTCCTGACACCAAGTTCACCGATGATTCCGACACATTGGACCCTGGCAATGTAGCCCCCGGGAACCATGACAATCCACCTACACGATCCTTATGTCCCTGGACGGAGAGCTTCTCCTCGAGGTTGGGCACCGTAAGCAACCGAATGCCACCGCCCCAGTTGCCGGTCGCGATTGTCTGTCCGTCGGGAGAGAAGCGACAGATACTGACAGGGCGGTCACCTGCAATTTGGGACCCGTAGAGATCGAAGTTGTGTAGCTTCTCTTTGATCGCCTTGCGATGCTTGATATGCGTCCGCAGAGGTATGGTTGATTCGTCTTTCAGTCGGGCCACGCGCGCCTTTGCGCGCGGTAGAGAGAAGCGCGCAATATCCTTTCGGGCTTGCAAGAGGTCATTCGTGCCCTCGGTGTAGAACTCCTCCTGCTGCTCAGCTTCCTCTTCCCCCTCCCCCCCTTCAGCCGCTGCCTCTAGCATCTCCACATCGCCCTCTGCTGCCGCCGCTGCTTGTTGGTCCGCAAGATCGGTTAACAACTCCCGCAGTCGGTCTCTCCGGTCCGCGGGACCTTCACCGAACAATGTGATGGGTTCGCCCAATTCTCGTAGTCGTGCGCGCACTCGGGTGTCGTCCGTAGGAACCGCCATGGCCGCAGCCCTTCGCTTTCGTTCGAATTGAGATAAGATGGCGGAAGCTCGTTCAGGCGGAATGCCCGCCGCCGCAGAGGGAAGCTCATAATTATGGTCCACAGCTAAGCATCGACATTGCGTAAGTAAGCGATATATTCATCCCTCAAAGCGACGTGGAATATCAGCCGCAGGGATACTTACGCAGGTTCGCCAGGTCGATGCCCATGTCTGCATCCTAAAGTCGACGTCAGCACATGCTTTGCGCGGGAAAACCCCTAGTATACAGGAGAGAAGCTTGACGCAGTTATGTCTGCAAACTAACTGCATATAGAAGAAGTGATGCGCTTACCTCCGCCTCCTCGACGTACGCCTGTCTCGACGGGTGCATCATGATGGGCACCGAGGATGAGGAATTAGACGCTCCAGCAGTTCACGCACGACAAAAGGGTGACTTTGAATATAACACGATCGGAGGGTAGCAATATATCCAAAAGAAAGCCGCCCGGGCGTCTGGCGTTTGAGGGAGAGAGAGACTGGTGGGGAAGAGGTTGAAGGTGAAGAAGCGGAGGCCGAAATCGAACGGCGCGCGCTTTCTGGATTTCTTCGAAAAGGCGGCAACCACCACAATCTCTCCGTTCGTTCACTTCTCAACGGGCTTCAACTTGCCCCATTCCCTCTTGGAGTCTGGTCTTGCTGACTGCATGGTAAGGCCCCAAGCTATGCAGGATGACGTCTCCGGATCCTGAATCTACCAAATCCACGGTGATGCCCAGAGACAGTGAGTCTGGTTTCTTTAAGTCCCTCTGGCTGCTCCGCGCCCGGAGGTATACCAAATCCTCCTCTCAACAAAGGCCGGCCAGCGTCCAGTCTACCTTCCCATTTTCTACAATTTCTGGCTCCTCCCTCCAAGACCAGCAGATCACACCAGACTAACCATTACTGAACCCAGGCGATCACCCTCTCATCCTTCCTCGTATTCTCCCAATGCTCGCGGAGGCGGTCGATGACGCCAGGCGGTCGGGAGTCCCGTTCGTCCCAGCAACCTGAAATTTCCAGCCTTTATCGCTCAGGCTATCCGCTTCGTCCGGCTTCAAATCCCGACCTATTCGATCAGTCGGTCTCATCCGGCTTAATCGTGACCTCTCCACTCTTCCAAACCCGCGCCAGGTGTCAAATTCGTCGTGTCGCACGCTCCGGCGACTCATCTGCTCCCGACCACTTCCTGTTCCTGCTGGCACAGACAGGATCCTTACGGTGACGATCCGGTCCTCTGCTGATGATTACGCTGGCTTCTTCCGGTAGAGCCTGCAGTTCGGCCTGCAGTAGCCTACACACCGTCGCCAGGGACGGCTTCTTGGCCTGCTTGGCTCCGAAACCGTCTGGCCCCCGATACTCTCCCGTCTTCTCCCCCTTCTCGACTCCTCGATCCCCGCGATTCTTCCCTCGACGTGCCTTTCAATCCACGTCGTCATTAGACTCAGCCACCCCGCGCATTTCGTATCGAGTCGCTGCCTCCTCATCCGGCAAAGGCCGCCGCTTCCATCCAGCGAAAAACTCCTACAATTTCAACCCCGAACTTCACGAGGCCATCGGGGTCGCAACGGATACACCGAACAGGGCTCTCCGGCGGAAGAGGAGGCCCGACAGTGGCGAGGATGCGTTTTTCGTGAGCCAAGTCGGTCGGAAGGACTCCGGGGCCGTAGCCTTTGCCGTGGCAGACGGCGTGGGCGGCTGGGCCGAGTCCCGCGTCGACCCAGCAGATTTCTCGCATGCGCTATGCGGCTACATGGCTGAAGCCGCCATATCCTGGGACTCTCCCGCCGAACAATTGCGGGCCAAGCACCTTCTCCAGGCCGGCTATGACCAGGTCGTGGCAGATGAGACGATCCGAGCCGGTGGCAGCACCGCGTCAGTCGGCGTCGGACTGGAAGACGGACGACTCGAGCTGGCCAACTTGGGTGACTCGGGCTCTGTACTCCTTCGACTCGCGGCTGTGCATCATTACTCCATCCCACAGACCCACGGGTTTAACACTCCCTATCAGCTCAGCATTATCCCCCCGCGCATGCGCGCCCAGGCGTCCATCTTCGGCGGGTCATTCCTCGAGGACTTGCCGCGCGATGCGGCCGTCACCAACCTCCACATGCAACACGGCGATGTTCTCATCCTGGCCACCGACGGTGTTTTCGATAACCTGAACAATCAAGACATCCTCAAGCTCGTCACCAGTCGCATGGTCCTGACGGGCGCCTGGAGCGCAACCCCTGACTCCGGGATCCGGCCCTCTGAGGATCTCAAACAGTTGACTGGCCCAGAGGGCCTGACCTCCCTTCTCCCTTCGCCATCCGCATCTCCCTCCGACCCTGACTCCCCGAAAGCATCCTCGCCCAGCACCCGTGAGCAAACCTACACCCTGCAGTCCCTCATCGCCGCCACCATCGCCGGCGAGGCTAAGCTGGCCAGCATGGACATGCGCCGTGACGGTCCCTTCGCCAAGGAAGCCCAGCGCTATTACCCCGGCGACTGGTACCGCGGTGGGAAAGTCGACGATATCAGCGTGGTGGCTGTAGTTGCCGTGGATGAGGGATACTCTGGTTAATGCGAGTCCTTGAGAAACGAGGACATTCCGTGTGTTCAATACATCCTTTCCGACCTGTTATGACCAACATTCATACACATACATGTCTGCATGCATGGCTACCATGCGATACCTATACGATACAATACCGATATTCATACATACACATTATCACGGTGTTTAATCCATCTTTCTTTCCTTTGATTCTCTTTTCCTTTTCCAGTTTCTTTCCTTTCTCCTTCCGCATTGGCTAGGCTACAGTAGACATAACAGCAATGACATAGAAAACAATAGAGATACCAACCCTGACCACAGCTCCATACAAACTATCCACAGTGTAGAATACACCCCCAAAGTATTCCAGCAACTAGTCGCACCCTACGTACATACTCAATACTCACTCATCGGCAATCAAAGTGATGACCTACCTGACCTACCTACCGCATCTACTACCCCCTCTATCCGGAAGGCGGTAGATGGGAGGCCTACCTTCCGCCTTCAAGTCCAGAATTTCCGACGGGCAGAATATCTCCGTTTCGATATTTCTGCCTGAGGCGGTTAATTTCCCTACCAGGGAATACGGAGCTGAGCATTAGGGAAGGAGGTGTCGAAGTAGTCAGTCAGTCAGTCAGTCAGCCAGTCAGCCAGTCAATTCATTTCCACTAGATATGGAAGTGCTGAGCCGATGTATGTACAATCGAGAAGGGGGGAAAGCATAAGTAAAATGACTGTTTGATTCCATTGATAGATAATTAGCGACCTGGATAGATACTTGATTATTTTCACGAACTGGCTAACGACACGAGTGATAGGTAAAGTAAGTGAGATTTCCTAAAAACCAGGATTGGAATCGTAGATAGTGTGTAGATAACTAGGTCCTATTGATAGGTTCGTGGGCAGCAAGGGGAGTAGTAGATAGAGTGAGTAACACACAATTTCGATAGGAGATAATGAACAAGAACACCAGAATTAAAACAGAACAATACCCATCAAGCCAAGTAACAAAGGGGTTGAGAACAAAAAGACATGCCGCATTTTTCCTAGACATGGATGGATGGATGGTGGATGGGTGGGTAGATGGACGGGGATGGACAGGAACACATGGTGGTCGATCGTTCGTTGACCATCCCTATCCCAGCACATTCATTATGAAGACAGCCGTCACAATGGCACAGGGGGTTCTTTTCTTTTCTTTTCTTTTTGGAGAGGAGAGAAGGGGCATCTTATCTTATCATCATCCTCACTCTCAGGGCCGTATCCTGGACCCATCGAAACTCATCTTTTCGATACCGAACCGGGTCAAGAGATGGTTAAATGGGTCGATGTACAGATGTCAGGGGGAGCAACCAAAGCCAACGCTCACATTAATGTGAAATTAATGTGAACCTATCCGTTCAGGGGCGGTTGCATGAATTTGAATTTTCCAGCTTCGTGACTTGATTCCAAGAAGGAAAGGAATAGGTTGGGTAAGGAAAAGCAAGGTAATGCAAAGACTAACGCAAAGGAAATGGCACAAGCTAACAGAGCGCCACAGTCCATGTGGGTGGTAGCAAGGGCAAATGATATCCATCACCTTTATGCTGCCGTCTCCGTCGGCTTCTCCTCGGCCTTCTCGGTGGCAGGTTTCTCCTCCGTCACTTTCTTTTCCGCTGATGTCTCCTCCGCGGCCTTCTCCGTCGTGGCCTCGTCGGTCTTGGGAACAGCCTTCTCGGCCTCCTCCGTGGCCGGCTCTGGAGCTTGTGGCTTCTCAGTCGCATCAGCATCAGCATCAGGCATCGGCTCATCTTGAGGTTCAGCAGTGTCTGTTTTGCTCTCCTTGATATCATCTTCCTTCTCGTTCTCGGTATCAGCCTTGGCCGGCGTCTCGACGCTGCTCTCCTTGTGGATGCCGTTGGCCTTGGGCTTATCCTCCTTGTCCTTGTCATCCGATGGACCAGTGGCGTCCGCATCCAGCAAGGTCTTCCACTTGGACAGGATGTTCACAGCACGCTGCCGGAATTGGAACTCCTCATCCCGGGGAATCGAACTGAGCTTGACGATCATCTTCAGGACCTTGTTGATCTTCGTGGCACGAATGATAGAGACTTCAAGATCAGCATGTTTCTCCAATTTGCTGAAGAAGTTGGACATGGATGTCATTTCTTCCTCCTTGGGGGGTTGGTCACGAGAAATGAACCCCTTCTGGAGCTTGTGGCGCACGAAGAGAACTGCCCAGGATTAGTGTCCGTCTCCATCGATCCAGGTCCGTCAGCCTTGAGGGTGCTTACTCTCTTTCTCCTTCTTTTCCTTAGCCTCCTCTTGACTGACCTTCTTCTCGGGCTCCTTCGATGCCGCACGAGAGTCCTCACCGTCATCACTGGCAGCAGCCTTACCGACCTTCTTGCTGCTGGCCGTCTGCTTGGCTCTGCTGGAAGCAGGGGTCTTCTTTCCGACCTCACTGGATGGAGTCTTGGGAGTAGTCAACTTCAACTTGGTAGTCGTCTTGGGGGTCTTCGCAGGCTAGACGAGGTATGTTAGCACCGCATCACGTTCGCCGAATTGACCAGAATCGCGCCCTCCTACCTTCTCATCGGCCTGGCCCTCGGCATCGTTGTCCTTCTTGCGCTTCTTGGTGCTCTTGGGCTTCTTTGCCTCCTCATCTGCATCCTCCATGTCGACATCGTCGTCATCATCGACCACCTCCATGCTCTTGCGCTTGTTCTTCTTGGCCTCTCGGGCCTCCTTGGCGGCCGCTTTGGCAGCTGCCTGGGCCTCTCGCTCTTCTGTCTCCTGTTCGAGAGCGCGCTGATGGTCTGCCAGGAGGTTCTTGAAGTACTGGAGGTCATGGCCTTCGGCACCCACGGCATATGCAGCCAGAAGGGTTTTCGACTTGCCCTTTTCCGACACCTCCTTGCAGCCAGCGGCATCAATGGGGCTCAGATCGGTGTTAGGGATCCACGCGCTATGTCCTCGTTAGTCACACCGGTTCTCCAACTGGATCAAAACCCCAGGTTGAACGTGACTCACAATTCGTTGGTCTCGAAGAACATCACGGGGAAGGTGCGCTCGTGGGCGCGTTTGCCGCCATCGGCGTAGTCCTCCCTGTAGGTGCCGTCGGAACGCTGAGCCGTTACTGGACGCGTGTTCAAGAGGGTCTGAGGAAGCATTGCTTCATCGCAGATGATAGAGGGCCATGGGGGGAAGCTCCGGAGACGCGCGAGGAAATACTCGCCGGGCTGTGCGTTCAAGTGTGTCACGCGAATCTGGGACTTCTTGCGGCTCAGTTTCGACTTGTGTTCGGGCACGGCTCCTGTCGATTTCCGCTTCGAGGCGCCAGTCTTCTTAGCTGATGCGGGTGTTCCGTTGGCCTCCGACGCTGGGGCGGCCTCGGGCTCTGCAGGCGCGGTCGCACTCTCTTCGGGCTGTTTCGCGTCGGCAGTCCCAACGGGTGCGCTAGATTTGTCGGCCGAAGCCTCGGTAGTCTCTTTCTGCTCCTCAGTTGCCGTTGCAGTCTCTGATAAAACCAATGCCATAGGGATCAGCAAATGCCACTTGGAAAGGGTCCCACCCCAGCAGGAATGACCGCGACGGACGAGGAAGGCTTGTCATGGTGCTTACCAGATGGCTTATCCTCCGAACCATTGGTCTGCTGTTCCTCCTTCTCCTTGGCAGGCTCAGGCGCAGACTCTGCAGGAGCAGGCTGAGCCTCAGCGGGAGCGCGCTCGACGGACGGCTCACCAGCGTCGGGGGCGGGCGCCGAGACAGCAGGGGTGTCCTCAGCCATGATGCGCAACCGGGACTGGGAAATAAATCAGGGGGGAGGAAAGAAGGTCAGAAAGAGATGACGATGATAGATGCCTTCTGATGAGGCCGAGGTTGGGGGTGGGAAGGTGGAGGTGGAATTCGGTGGAAGGTAGAGAGTTGGAAGAGAGAGAGTGAGTGAGAGAGAGATCGGTGGTGGAGAAGGTCGCGACGCCGGGAGGCGGGAAGACGACAACGCGTTGCACTTCTTGGGGGGGAAAGCAAAGCGACCACAGCCAAACCACCAATGACGCAAATGCTTCAACGGCAGTTCCAACCCTTCAACGGTCGAGATTAACCACCACGGCTTGTCTCTAGAAGTAACACTGATGTCCTGGGGCAATCAGTTGCCCTTGTGTTAGCGACCGAGCAGGGGATCCTATCACGGCAGACCGCTGTGTCGTGTCTCGGACGCGGTGGCAACCGTAATACAGAGCTCCCAACTAGGAAATAGCCGGCAATCGTTGCGCTGCTCCTCGAGATTGAGGCGACAAAAGATTCGATCGGATCGCGTCAAAAAGCAGGAGAATGCAGGGTTGCCCGTGGGATGATGCTCCTGCTGCTGCCGATGGGACGTGACGCGAAAACCCCCCAGCGGCTGACGATCCTCAGCAGCCGGGAAATGCGGAGAAGCTGCTGCGCAAACAACGAAACTGGGCGGTCGTCGCAGAACCCCCAGATGGCGCAGTTGGGCAAGAGTCGACAGTCAGATGGCGACGAACCTCGAAAGGGTGCGCAGCCAACTCGTAGTGGATGATGTAGATAGTCTCACGGACAACTCAAGAGACCGACCCAGAACACTCGGGTCAATAGAAGAGTCTGTTAAAGCAATTTAGAATACGCGTTTCAAAGATAAGCCTATCGCAGACTAACCTGGAGCTACAGTCGAATCGCGGAGTGCCAAAGCAGAGAACTAGTAGCTCGTAGAGGGGATGATGATAGTCCCGAGGATGGTGAGGAACACTAGAAACCCCGCGGTCGCAAGGATCTGCAGACTCCGGACCAGGAGATGATGGTGGATGGGCGGACGGGGATAGCAGGGCGGTGACCTGAAGGGGGGCAACACTCGGTCTCTCAGATGGACAGTCACCAGAGAGGACAAAGAAGTGGTGGTGGTGAGGATGTCTGTTTGGTGTTGTCGGTGGCAGGCGAGCGAGTGACAGGCGGGCGGATGGTGACGCCAGGAGAAAGATGGATGCCCCCTTCTGCTTTGTCGACCGGCCATCCTCCCTCCAGTACCACCTCAACGACCCCTTTTCCCTTTCCAATTCACGGGCTGGATCGCAGATTCACTATCCATCAAATTCCAGGTGTGGTGTTCTTTAATTTGCACGCGCGCCGATCACATCACCTATCACGCCAATCTACAATGACCATCACCACTCAGCAACACTTGAGGATGTGCTACAGACGGAGTTCTAACCGATCTCATCTCCGTCCTCCCCAGCCTTCAGGCTCTCGTCTTTGTTCTCGTTTCTGCAGGGGGAGCACGGGGAGATAGAAATCCACCTTAACCCCTCCAGCCACCCCATTCACTCCGCTGGCCCGCACCGCTTCCAATCCTACTAGCAGTGATCTCAGGGGTCCTTGGTAGGACCTTGTGAAGGTGCAGTGTAAGAGACTTAACCCGGAATGGGGTAAAAATATATTGCATTGCCCTCGGGGAGGGCTCATCGTCATATACACGGTAGAGGATCGGATCATCCCGATATTAGAAGGAGGGCAGGTATGGGCATAGGGGATCGAGGGAAGAAGTACAAATGGGGGTCATGACAGGTTCATAAACATGAGCGGAAAGATATTCCAGAAGGGTATCATGCAAGTCCACAGAATCATCCATGGAACGGACGAACGACTGCAAAGTGCGAGCTCACCAGGGAAGGGCAGTATGTTCGGGCAGCCCGTCATCAATCCACCCATCAGCCCCTTCAACCTCATCCAGGTCGGTCGGCACCGGCTTGTGAATGCGGAGTGCCCAGAGGAAGTAGTCTTCCAAAGGCAGCAAGTTCAGCAGAATCCCATTGAATTTCCAGCCAAGCGCACACACCGTCGCACCAGCGACAGCGTCCAGAATGAAATGGTTGGCCGTCGCCACAATGGCGGCCAGGATGACAAATGGGTAGGCAAAGCCCACGACCAGGCAGGCGAGCCGGCGCCAGGACGGAATCTGCACCCCGACAGAGCCAATGGTCACGCGCGAACGTCGGCGATGATGTGGCGGCAGCGGTATGGTCATGATCGTGAGACCAATCATGAGAGAGTATCCAAAATGCAAGGAGGGCATGGCGGCTGTGGTTGATCCGGTCAGCAGTCTCCTCCGAAACATGCCCTGGGCGAATACTCACCGTATTGGTTGCAAAACCGATTCTCCGTCCAGACACTGCCCGCACCGTTGACGCCATGCACCGTATCGACAAAGCCATAGCTACGGCCTAGGGCTGCATCCGGGCCCTGCGCGTCCTTGTCGCTCAACAGTCGAGGTGGCATGCAGGGCCACAAGGTGAAAACCACAAACGCAAGTAAGTTGCACACTGCAAGAGTCCGACGTCGGGCCTGATATAGACGCGGGCCCGCGGGGGAGCCGCTCATGAACCCGCGAGGTTTGCCGGATTGCGATTCGTCGAATCTATTTCTGGTGGTGGTGTAATAGTAGAGCCAGACAAGAAACGCAATCGTGCCCGGGATGTGAATAAACGAATAGATCCAGTTCGTCCAGGTCATCAGTGTGGCGTGTCGAAGAAAAAACCGCTGAATCGGAACTTCCCAAAACAAACCCAGCGCCTCTTCTATCTGTATCAACTGGAGCGCATGCTTCCGCGCCACGTCAACGGTGCCTTCTTTGAGTGTGACGGCAGTAAAAGCTCGGCCCAATTGGTATGTCTGTCGAACACATTAGCCCGTGGCGCATAGCTGAGGAAACACCCCGCTATAGAAGCACGCAAGATGAAGTGGAGGGGGGGGGGGGGGGGGCTTGAGAGTCAAGAGGCTTACCCAGTACACTAGAGCCCAGTACCAGCATTCAACCAGGAAAGGGAACTTGCGGAGCAGGCGACTAAGAAGGCGATCTTGAAAGACGCCGGTATCGGGAGAGGTGACCTCAAATGTCGACGAGAATATCCCAATCTGCCTCTTGCGCCAGCGAGGCTGACCAACTTGCTGAAGGGATGAAGACGATGACAATCGACGAGGCAACAAGCCATCCTTTGCGGTTGGCGTGACCAGCCCGGACTCTATCGCATCTGGGGAGGCGCCGCGTGAGGTGACGGTGGATCTGCGACGTCCCCTGCGCGCAGGGAAAGAACCTGTTGTTCGATTGATCCAAGTGCCTCCAAAGAGGAGGACGATGACCGTCAGAGGCTCTAGAACGGCCCCTACCCCCATGGCGATGGTGACCTTGGAGCGGAAAAAGGATGCGCTGTACCGTACCGGCCGGGAGGACAAAGGGCTAAGCAGAAGGAGAGCAGAGAGGAGGAAGAATACTGAGACGGAGGCTGGGCAGCTCGAAAGGGTTCAAGGACCGATGCTGCGGGGCCAGCTATAGAGAATAAAGCACAGCGAAAGAAATAGAAGGCCTGGAAGACCGCGAGAGCATCGTAGGGACAACGACGCCAAGCCAAGGAATCGACGGGACAGAGAAGCGACTGAGTTGTCACTCGTATGGATGGAGGTACTACAGATGGGCAGCCGTGGGCAAGCCACTTATGTACCTTACCTTACGTAGTAGTACGGCCTCCCTCAGTCGTCTCTCTGGGTTAGGTAGGTACCACGAGGTCCATCTTAGTCGAAAGCAGGGACAGCCCTGCTGGGGAGGCGCGCCGCACTGGATTGGATGGCATGGCTTCCACCTGGTTTCACCGGTCCCTCGGGATCTGACTCGGCTGCCTGCTAGTCGTCAACTAGCCTAAAAAGTCCGCATTTCCTTGTCGTGATCATTAGATAAGTGAGCCCCCATGTTGGAGACTAGACCCGCAATCAAGGCAGAGGGAGTGAGGGAGTGCCTCGGAGCCTCCGGATGCCGGTTGAGACGAGACCCTTCACGGGGGGTTGAACATCCGGATTCCTATCCTGAATAATACTGTGTAAGATCCCTCTGACCTACGCTGGAGGGTAGGGGAGTGTCATTGGTTCTTGGTTCTTGGGAGATTGAATCACAAAGAAAACTCTTTCTGCCGTTGGTCCATGTGGGCCACAATCTGACCCGTTAAGGTTTGGCAAAGCTCGCGAAGATCCACGAACATGGGTCCCGTCTTCGGCCTTAAGCAACTAAGCCAGCTGCTATTGTGTACGGAGTAGTGTGTGTGTTGTGTGTGGTGTGTGCACTGTGCAGTGTGTACTGTACTTGCTTGGGTACATTTGGGTAGTGGCTGAGCCCCACAGCAAACACCCTGGCGGTGACAGTACGGGCTGTGGTAAGGGTCCTTACCAGATTGATAAGTCCGCTGCGCAGAAACAGGAGGAGTTCGGCCATTTCCCGTGGCCGATCCTCGTCACAGCTGGTAATCTGATACCGGTGATGTCCGGATCAGGCAAGCTTGCGGACCTCTCACTGGTTAAGCGAGTGGATCCACTTCCAAGCGGGAAGGTCAGAGCTGCTCGGAAGACGTCACCTGAGTCAGACATATCTTCCGCTGACCAACCTAATCCAGGACGGGCAGGAAGGCACGCTGGATAGAGAACATTGGAGAAAAGTCATATGACAGTATGAATATTGAATCCGTGCTTTTTTGAATCTCAACTTTAGTCCAGCTCGGCTTGCCGTCAACTGAGTCAAGAGCCTATGCGTCGGTCTAAACCCTGGGATGGAGTACGATGAACAGGGTCCAGGTCCAGGCTCCGGCTCCGTGCCTTGTTCTCGCTCTGTCCACTAGGCTGACAGTATTAATGATTACTGGGTGGGAATCACCCTTGCTCCTCGGTTCTACAGTAATCCTTCCGGATGAAAAGATACGAAGCCTCTGAATGTGCTGTGACATCGCACATCAGAGTTGAGCATCTAGACCATCTCACCAAGAACCCCAACGATTACTAGGCCTAGCTCTTATCTACACGGAAATACCACCTGCCAGCCAAAATAACTCTGTGCTTATGCATGATTTGCAACATCCTCGTACCGCGATCTAAATCACTGGCCAGAGAGAGACGAAATGCATAAGCCTGCATAATTCCCATTATTAGCAACCAGCTAACTTCCGAGTCCTCCGACCAACTTCCGTTCCCGTGGTTCCGTCCCCCCATCCACTGTCTAGATACTGATCTAGTTGATAATTACTCCGTCTCGAGTTTAGTCCTCGTCGGCGATCGGAAGTCCTCCGCTCCGAGCCAAGGCCCGACCTGAACCCACCGCTCAAATCTCAACCTCTTCGCCTCCGAACTCCGTTGCTCATCGAATCCACCGCAGGGCTAACGGATCCATTCCAGTCTGCCCTACCTGGAGTATTTCCATGGGCCCTGGATCGCCAATTCTTGGCTGGTGCCTAGGTTGGAACGAAGCTTGGCTTGAATACTAATCAATCCAAATACCTCGGCGCCAGGGGATATTAACTCTGTTAAACCCAGTTTCACCAAACACGAAACTTTGCGTCCATCAGGTGCTTAGCTTTAAAGTGGCATCACCGCGGTTTATCAATTTAATATCGGCCGGTGGCTCCTCTACTGTCTTGACTCTCGATATCGAGCACCAGAATGAGCTGGCCATAACTAACATCTGAAAATGACGTCATTCCCACCGGCCTTCGTCGTCCTGACTTCATCAAAACTCCCATCCCATCTCCGATCGTCAATGAGCCATTGAGTGGTTCAACAGGTCCAGTTGGGATCGCTGGTACCTATAGGTACAGGTACCCCTGATGCCTAGCTGACCACAGTACGCCAACGGCAGCTGGGAGCGACCAATGACCGTGGCTGTCACCTTGCCTCTGCCGATGAGATATGTTTGACGTCAGTCCTCTATTACATAGTATTCCGACGTGACCTGATCCCAGAACGGCCATGATGGATGTGTGCTATAAGGGACATTGCTTCTGCGACGTGCATGCCAGAATCTGCTACTCTTCACGTACAGTAACCAGATTAATGGTCGCTCAGAAAGAGACGCTTAATCGATATTGAAACACCCCCTAGTTATACCTTAATCTAAACAATGTTTTCATCTCTGTCCCGCGTGGCCTCGACCCCATCGAGGTGCATTCTTGAGCAAGTATCACGCCAGACTCCCAAAGCTGCGGCATTGACAGGGGCCTCGCGAGCACTTTCTTCCACACCATCTGCCCAAACGGATGTCACACTGCTTCAAGACAAGAAGAGCGGGTTTGGATTTGCGCGGTCAAACCCAAGACCTCCGAAGCCACGGACGAAGGGGGTTACGGAAATCAGAGGCCCCTACTATACAGTATGCGACTCTTGAGTCCGCCATGTAACCTGTCGCGATTGTTCGCGTTCGCTCTCTCTCAGACATGGTAAACTGACCTTTGCTCGTAGGTGATGGGTAAAAGATACCTGGCAGATGTGCTTGAGACGTGAGCTATGCCCACAACTCCTGCCAGAAGACAGGGTTCTGACAAGTACTCTACAGGATGGGAACTCATGTGGACGGCTTAAAGTTTGCAGGAGGTAAAACCACTGCTGGACTGGCGAGGCAGTGGGTATCAGACGCTGAACAGACCTACAGGATCATTTTCTCTCTTCCAGGAGAAACCCTTGAAAGAACTCATTGATCTTGCTCATGACCATGGTGTCTATGTCTCGACGGTAAGGCCTGTCCTTGCAGGAAAATGACCCGTATGTCGATTGGCTGACGATGGTTTAGGGCGGATGGGCTGAACATCTACTTACTCACCCTGACGCAAATGCTGTCTTTGATAAATATCTTCGGAAGTGCAAGGACCTGGGGTATGATCATCCTATGCTTGGCCCCTCCTTCATATGCATTATCTTACGGCTTCTTGCCCTGCAGATTCGATGTGATTGAACTCTCGTCCGGTTTCCTCTCCTTCCCGGAGGACGATTGGCTCCGACTTGTCGACAAGGTGCACTCTTACAAGCTAAAGGCGAAGCCTGAATTAGGGATTCAGTTCGGTGCTGGGGGTGACACCCCAGCATCCGGCTTGGAGGCGATCGGCACCTCAGACCCGTCCAAGCTGGTGAACCTGGGACGCAAGTTCCTTGACGCAGGAGTTGAGCGCCTGATGATTGAATCGGAGGGCATCACCGAGAATGTACAGTCGTGGCGGACCGATGTGGTGTCGCAGATCATGAAGGAGCTTCCATCGGAGCGTGTCATGTTCGAAGCAGCAGACCCTAAGGTGTACAACTGGTATATTCGAGAGTTTGGCATTGATGTCAACCTGTTTGTCGATCATAGCCAGATCGTGCAGCTCTCATGCTTGCGCCACGGCATCTGGGGTACGGCCGATACCTGGGGCAAGATTGTGTCATTCCGGCCGGAGTAAAGTGACATGTGGTCCCCCTGTTGGCAAATTCCTAGGTCTTGAGCATAGGATGAATAGTACCTACCTATCATGATCCCTCCGTAAATAGTTGGCAATACCCCGTAGTGTCGCAAATCATCTCGTTAGGTAGTTAACTGGTGCCTGGGACCGACATTAGTCAGCCGCCCCCATAGCGGCCCCCGACGCAATCCGGGGAAAGCGGCCCATCCTTCTTGCGGTCATCTCATCTTCCCTCCTTCATCATCCATATCTCCTCCCAGCTTCTCCTCCACGCCTAGTCGCTAACTTGCCTCTCGCGCTAGTCGAAGAGATGTCCAGCCCAACTTTCGGCTAGTCAGTCTGGGTCCCGACGCGAAACCATCCCCGGCCAGACTGACCCCGCGGTGTGCCCCTGCAGGCGGTCTGCACTTCTTCCAGGCTCGAACAACGTCCTAGGCCCGAATTCATCCACACAGTCTTCGCATGCTTCATCATGCCTAAAGCGAATACGGCCCCCGGGGCTCGTCTCCGGTGCAGGCGAGCATGCGACAGTTGCAAGCGGAGGAAGCAAAAATGCAACGGAGAACAACCATGTACGATCTGTATCCAACGGCGCAAAGAGTCGGAGTGCCATTTTTCAGATAAACCGGCGAGACTACTCAAACCAAACAACACCTCGAAAGACACCATGCTTCTTAGCGAACGCATAGTACCTACTCCCCAGAGGCAGACGGCCATGGACCGACTCCTGAACTCGCTCGAAGACCGGAGCGCGAATCTGGAACAACAAGCTGCAGATGATAAGGATGGGACAGCGCCGGTGCCCAAGGTGGCCAGGCTCTTGCGCGATGGTCAAGGGAAATTTATGTACGTTGGTGACTCGGCCAGCTTGTCCTTCCTACAGAGTGTCCGTCGGATCGTGTCATCTTCAATCGGCCGGTGCGAGTTCACGGAGGACAACTCACGACATTCGATGCTCGAGGCTTTCCAGAATGGCCCTACGGCACCGACCGGGCCGTTGATGTCGCCACCAAGCAACGAAGAGGCTCAGAGGCTTGCGCGCCAGTTCGTTCTTGCCACCAGCCCATTGCTAGATTTGTTCGACCTCAACGAATTCCACCCTCGGCTCGCGAATTGGGTCGAGAATCCGACCGGAGATGAGGATACTGTCAGTTCGATTTTCTACCTCGTGCTTGCGATCGGAGCGCAAGTATCCGATATCAATCAAACCCTGGCCGAGCAGTATTTTGTTAGCGGCCGTCAGTTAGCATTCTCCGCCTTCACAGAGACTCCAAGCATATACACCATCCAGTCGTATGTCCTCATCTCGATGTATATGTTGGGTGCCTGTCGACGTAACGGGGCCTTTATGAATCTTGGGATCGCACTCCGAGCCGCGTATGCGGTTGGAATCCACCGGAAGGACGCGAATGCGCTTTTCTGTGCACGGGAACGACGGGCTCGGGAGCGCGTGTGGAAGAGTCTGCGAATGATGGACCTTTACCTCAGTGCCTCCTTGGGGCGGCCTCCTGCAACACTGGACTTTGATTATGATCTGCGTGAAGACAGCATCGCCGCCGGGGAGCAACAGCGCCTCCATCCGGAAGAGCAGTTATCCACGACCGTGATCTCGCTATGCCGCATCTTCGAACGAATTCTCACCGAGGTTTACATGCGCCAGGTAGTCTCAATCAATGTCGCGGAGGCCATTTCAAATCAGCACCGAGCCTGGGTGCGCAGTCTCCCCATGTTCTTGCAGATGCAGACCGAGCGCCTGGATTCCAAGACGCTGGAAGGCACCTTGTCCGCAGCGCACATTTTCGGTTCTTACTACTGGTCGATCATCCTCCTCACTCGGCCATTCCTCATATTCCGAGTATCCCAATATGTGCGAAATCGAAGCGAGGCGACCGGATCGTCCGACAGCAGGGCCAGCAACTCCCGCATTGCGCTCTTTGCCGACGCATGCGTCTACTCGGCCTTGCGCGGGCTCAACATCGTGGATGACCTCTGTCGTTACACAACGCTTCCCCGCAGGCTCCCTTTTCTCATCAACTCCGTCTTCAACTCAGCCGTGGTTCTCGGAGCAGCGTTCTTCGCCGACTACGACAACCTCCTCCCGCTTGAAGAAGGGATGGACAAGGCGGAGAAGTTCTTAGGCCTCTTTGTGCCCCACGATCCACATGCGTGTCGCTTCTTCCAGATTATCAAGTTCCTCCGGGGCGCAGTGGCAGAGTACGTGCGGCGACGGAACCGTCAATGGATGGAGCGTCGCAGCCGACAAGTCGACCAGCTCTTCGGCCAGGTCGGGCCCAACAATGAACCCTCGGTTACAGAAACCAACACCCCAACCAGCCATCGCGGCGATCAAGCCGCCGTACCGTCTCCCTTATCGCCCGACAAGCTAGCCGGGGCCTCTGCTGCTCATCCACCGGATCTATCCACCAGCACCACCACCGGTCCAACTGATAGTGACATCTGGGACACCCTCTGTGGCGCGCAAGGTGCTGGCCCTCTTCCATTCGACACCGCCATCTCGACTCTCACAACCACCGGGATTCCAATCGGCTGTTCTCCGGGCGGTACTATTCCCACCGCCGGGATCCCGCCAGAAGCTCCAGGTGCCCACACCCCGCTGTCCGACGTGATCCTCCCAGACAATGGTCTCCTCTACATGGCTGAAGACCTTCCCGTATTTGGAATCTGGGAAGACGCATGACATGCCCACGTGATACCCATCCGCCTGCCTTTCCTACAGAGTATTCCTACATACAAATTCACCCTTGGATATAGCACCTGGCACACCATCCCTACTCCGATGAATTCCCCACCCGATCATGACCTCCCCAGACACGACCATCCATGACAATCAACATCTTCATCCTTCTTGTTCTTCACCTCAAATCGACCACATATCCTAGCCTTTACCAACACGATCCGGGTTAGCATGGCTTAGCACGACGTGGTCTGGCGTCGGTGACATACTACTCATTTATATCCGCAACATCTCCACCCACAGCTATACATATCCCATCATCACTACTTCCTTCATGTACATACCCACATCGATTCCCATCACTCCTAAGACAAATCCCATCACAGCAGGTCGCTATGATCAGCTCTTAGCTTCCATTTCGATCCTGTTGTATTGTATACGCCCCCTCTCCACCTTCATCAGTAGAACTACACCAAAAATAAACAAACAAACAAATAAGTAGTAAAGTCAGATGTAGCTCACTTATAACTTCTTATCTTGCCACACAAGGAAAGTTTGACTGAACCTCGCCCAGCTGTGTTTGTTTTTTTTTTTTTTTTTTTTTTGGTCTAGTACGGCAAGTTCGTGAGACAGCAATGCTTAAACTTACATGGCACTCAATAGTACTACCATCATCGTCTTACGGGGCATCTGATCCGTGGAGTCTCTTTCAATTCTCTTCCTCATCGACTTGTGCTATGCTAGTAACTTACATATACTTTTTTTTTCACCCTTCTTCCTATATATATAGATATGCTAGTGGCTATGCCTGGTAGTATCACAAGAAGCAGTTCAACCCCTCACGTGAATTACAATCTATACCAATACCTAGTAGTTATATACAACATACACCTACCTCCCTCCCCCCCTTCCTTTCCCACCAGACAGGCAGCAAAGACCCTAACGAGGTAACAATCAAACACTGAAAATCCTAATCCCTATTTTATCATCTGAATCACAAGCTATATGTACCGTACATGTAATGCAGAGATCGCAGAACAAGAGGAAAAGGGGGAAGGATGCACAGGGGATAGGAAACGGAACAGGTAAAGCGAAGCATATTCAGAGGTTGGACCACGATCACAGATAAAGAAAAGAAAGGAAAAGAAAGGGAGAAGAACGAATGCAACCCCTCCGGCCAAACGCAGGAAGAATTAGTCAAGATGGATGGACGGACGCATGCAGCATGGACATGGACATGAGCATGAGCATGATGATAGGAAATGAGGAACGGATGTAGTCGGTCGGGCACGTGGGTTCTCTTTCAGCAGGGCTGAGACGAAGAGACGAGAACAAAAGAAAAGGAAGCAGAAGAATGGGAGTGAGATTCTGTCTTCCCGATATTACGTATAATGTAATAGACGCAGCGCCGAAGAGGAGGGAAAGGAACGTCAGAACGAAATCTAGGTCGCTGAAGCTGCGTCATGTAAACAAGTCTCACGGCATTGCTTCAGAACTCGCTGCGTGGGTCAATTGTGTCCGGCCATGACTAAGTGGAGGGTACTCGGATATACGCATTACAGCGTCAGGAGTGGCAGAAACGAAAAGAAAACCGCGGCATCATCTATGTATGATGTGCATGCCATTCCCGCCAGCAAGAAATAGCAAGCGACCATGTATAGTAAAGGAAACTCGTGTGTCGCCAAGTCACAGACTGATATATACATGTCCAGATTAGAATCCAAACGGGTTGGTGGGCGCTGTAAGTGTGTTAGTGAGAAAGTCCGGTCGCAACCGTATAGTAAGTGAACTTACTGGCTTGGGCGAGATTGGCCCGGAGACCGGTCGGTTGAGGAGCAAGCTTCTTGGGAGCATCGTGCTTCACACCGAACCGGATCGGAGGAGCGGGCCCGGTCTTCTGGGGCTGCAATGGTGCAGCCGTGGGCTGTTGCGGGATGGGCGGCACTGGCGGTGCGCTGTAAGGCATGCTGCCAATTCCGTTCATGCCCGTGGGTTGGGGCTGCAGGGCCGGAGGAAGAACGGAATTGATGCCGGTCTGCATCGGCTGCTGCGGTTGCGGCTGGAAGCCTCCGAAGCCCGTAGGCTGCGGCATCAGACCCGGGTAGCCAGCTTGCTGCTGCTGGATCCCAAACTGGGACTGCGGCTGGAAGCCAGTGGGCTGGGGAACCAATCCGTTCTGGAACTGAGTCTGAGGCATGAAGCCGGTGGGTTGCGGCTGGAGCGCTGGCTGGAATCGCTGCTGGTTCAATTCGGCCAGACTCTGTCCGGGCGGAGCAATCTGCGGTCCCGCTTGAGGAATGCCGGTCAGCTGGGGTTGCAAGGGAGGCGGACCAAAAGAGCTCTGCTGCTGAGGGAAATTCTGAGGCGCCGAGAGGGGTCGTTGAGGCGGCGGAGGGAGCAACGAGCTTTGCGCCATGTTTGGAGGGGCCTGAGGACGCTGTCTGGCAGCCTGCTGGAAGCCGGTTGCCTGAGGACTGAATCCTTGGGCGTTCTGAACAGGCTGCGCAGCCTGTGCCAATTGGGAGAAGAAGCCTGGTGTGGCCCCGGTTTGCTGTGGTTGAATCGGCGACACGGGCACAGCCGTGGGCTGAGGTTGGATGGTCGGCTGGGGCTGGATCGTGGGCTGGGGCTGGAGAGGCGGCAAAGCTGCTGGTGGGGATTGCGGGGCAGGAGCAGGCGCAGGAGGCGTGGGCTGGAGAGGAGCCTGAAGCAAAGACAGATCAGCCATCGCTCCTGCGAGCGGTTGCTGGGCCGCGGGTTGAGTGGCCGCAGGTGAGGCCGCCGGAGGTGGGCTTGATGGCGTTGCCGGCGTGGATGGGGCAGCAGCAGGAGCGGCGGCGGCGGCAGTAGGAGCAGGCTGCTTAGGCTGTTTCACCTCCCAGGCATCGTCGTCAAAGCCCTTTTGAACCGGTGGTTCAACAGGCGTGGCGGAGGCGGGCGGTGATTCGCTGCGCTCAGGCTGTGAAGCATCCTTCTGCTCAAAGGCCTTGGGATCGACGACATCGCTGGCTTGCACAGTGGGCGCCGGCCGGCCCTTGCGGGTATTGTTGCGCAGGGCACCCCCGGGGCCAGAGAAGAGGCCGGCAGCACCATCCTCGCCGTTGCCGATGACTTCCTCCCCGCCGAAGCTCACGTTGCGCAGCTTCGACTTGCCTCCAGTGCGGCCAAACATGTTGTCCAAGTAGCGCATCACTCGCAAGATATCGCCTTCCTTCAGGCCAAGTGTGCGCAGAACTTCGGGGGTAATGTCCGGGAGAATAGCCTCATCCATAGAGTCCTTGACGAAGTTCTGCGCATACCGCTCACATTGATGGGGGCCAACACCGGCCTTGAGGAAGAAATCAAACCAATCGTAGTCGGATTGCTGGAAGGAAGCTCCAGCTCCGGTGCCAGCTCGCTTGCTTTCGGGCGAGGATCGGGGCTTTTCAGGCTCGATGCGCTGAGAACGGCGTCGGATGTCCGACAATGGCTTGTCCTCATCGAGGGACACTCCAGTGATTCTCTCGACGTACTCGAGATCCTCAACGGACATCTTCGGGATAGGAACCGCAATCTTGATGCCGTTCACTTTGTGCAGATGAATCTTGCCATCCTGCAGTCCAATGAATTGTGCCTCGACGGTGAATGTTTTGGTGCGATCAGTCCAATGTCTTGTCTTGGTCGGATCCGGTTCTAATTCCGTTAGCAACAGGGATCATTGCATCTACAAGGATATGACTTACTCGGCTTGTGATTGCTCTTACTGTCGCGTTTCTGGCGCTAAAAGTGGCATTAGCATTGGACCAGCTATCATGATGTCTTCCAGGCAAGGGCATACCTCTGGGCTGTCGACGGAATCGGTCTTCGACTTGCGCATAGCTTCCTTGGCTAGCCGTGCTTCTTCCATACGGTTCTTCTCCACGGTCGAGAGACCTGGTTCGGCACTGATCACGGGAGTAGACACCGTTCCAGTGATCTCAATGTAACTGCTGGGAACCACACCCTCCTTTCCGTTCTTCAGGCGCCGCACCTGCCACCACTCTTCGGACTTGCTATCATCCAGGACGATAACGTCGTCACCTGCGGCCACCGTCACCTCGTCATCGCCTTGCGCCATAAAATCATAGAGAATCTGTCCCTTCTTCTGTCCTCCGCTGGTGCCAGCAGCGATGACCTCCTTCAGGCCCTCTGCGCGATAGGCACCAGAAATCTCCCCGAGGGCAGAGACGATTTCCCGAGCCGTGTCTTTGGCGCCCGCATGGAAGTCGATGCTTTTGCTGGGCCGGATGAGATCAAGGAAGACGTGCTTACCCTCGATGGAGTAATGAGAGAGTTTGTCTGCGCTCCACTCCTCCGTCTTGCCACCCTCCTCCGGCGAAATGAAGATGGTACCCGTTGCGACATTGATACCCAAGGTCGTGGGCATCTTCTTCCGCTTGCCCATAACCTCCACCATCTCATTGATATTATAGATATGGTAGCCCGAGGGGGAACGTGGGGTCAGCTGGCCGACGACTCTGATGTAAGGAGGCGATTCTTTGACATGGTTGTCGCTATCGCGAAGCGCCGGACGAGACGGTCTGGAGGGCTCGGGCGGAGAATCCACACGCACCGGCGACGACACTTGTGCGGACGGAGGACGTTGTGGTAATACCGGGGGTGGCGGCGAGGGTTCATCCCGGTAGGTCTCTTCGGGCTCGTCGTACGCTGGACGCTCCGGCTGAGGCGGCGGGGGGATGGCCCTAGGCGGTTCCGGCTCTGGCGGTGACGCATGCTGATTGTGAAGGATATCTGCGATGGCCTTAGCGGCAGGATTCTGCACAGTATCGACTGGGGAAGCCGCGCCGGTTCCGTTGACTTCTTCCGCCGTCATCATCGTCGGTCGCTGCGGGAGGGCGGGTGGCGCCGGTTCGGGCTCCGGTTCGGCGGGGGGAGGAGACGGGATTGACGGTGCAGGGGCATGGTCTGCGCCTGCATCTTCGACGATCTCAATGTAATTTGCGGGGGCGAATCCGTAATCCGAGTTGACTCCGACGAGGGTCCAGTCCGGATCGGAAATGTCGAACACGATCAAGTCTGCATCTTCGGAAAAGGATACCTCCTCATCCGTCTGGCGTGTGTAGTCGTAGAGCGCTTTCGCTGCGTGAATCGGTTGAGCCTAAATCCAATGACAACTATGTTAACGAATGTTGGTTCCAGCCGGAGACAACGTTGCGGTGTTGCCGGGTGTACCCCTGAGCGTGAGAACCGTTCGCGACGACATCTACCGGCCGAGGATGCGGGAAGCCCAGACCCAGGGATCTTGGGGTGGCTCAGATCTTACCTCCTCGACGTAATTGTTGGGGACGAGACCCTCGGGTTCATCGTCATCCTCGCGCTCAGCCTTCTTCTTGGCCTTCCACCAGTCCTCTTCCTCACCCTTCTCAAGGATGTACAGGAGATCTCCTTCGCGCAGTTCTAATTCTCCTTGCGCCTGAGGCTGGTAGTCATAGATGGCCGTGTAGACCCCGAGGAAACCCATGGTGGCAGCCGTCCAGTAGCCAACGGCGGTGGTGGAGGGTCCGGGGGTTGTGTGCCGCGGCTGCGGAGGGCAGCGTGGACGAGAACAGGTTGTGGAACTGGATCAGGAGAGGGTGAGCCGGGTGAACCGGGGTGGACAGACACGACACGGTCGGAGGTTGGGAAGATGACAAGAGGCAGGACGTGGTATGGTATGTATGGTATGGGGATGTGATGGCGGGATCGGAGGACGGAGGGAGGAAGAATGATATACAGGAGACCGTGCAGCAACGTACCGAGTTGAGTAGTGGGCAGGTACGTAAGTGGTCCAAGTGGAGGAGGCAGCCTTGGCAGGACCAGCAGTGGAGGCGATAGATACCAGTTGGCAGGAACTGGAGGGAGGTTTGGGGGGGAGAGTGGGTAGTCGTGGAGTTGGAAAGAGAAGGGCGATGATGGCCGACGCAAAGGAGGAATCGAGAGAAATCCACAGGGGAGAGGAGAGACCGGAGAACCCAAGCAGAGAGGGACTGGGGCCGGAGATGAAGCAGTCAAGCCGTCAAGCAGGCCAGCCAGCAGAACGCCGGCGGATGGCTGGAGGGGGCGGGCGGTCACGTTTTTCTGCACCCACGTTCCCCTATAAATAGTATGCTTGTATGAACCCCGGCCACTCTATCTGAATCACCCATCCGGAAGACTCTTCATTGAGTTCGCTAAATCAAGTGGTTTGTCTATCTATCGTCGCTCTATCCTAGACTATCAATCCCCCCTCAATCTCGACGACATCGCCTACAAGGGGACCCCTCCGGAAGAGTCTGGAATGCAGCCCCTTATCGGTCAGCCCAGCCTCTTTGGGCACTCATGGCTCTCCCCGTCACTATTATTATTGGCTCTGCCACTCGCCATTGTCGGGTTGAAGTCAATGGCTCTTGCTCCATCAATAGTCAGCGCGCAGATTAAGCAATAAATCAATGAGATCAATAGTCCCAGTACACGGCCACCGGGACTATCGTAATCTATGCAAGGAATACAATTAGCCGTAGCTATGAACGCCGGAAGAAGATAACTGCAAAGACTCGGTGCTCAGATACAACATAAAAAATTGGAAAGAAGTATCACAATGACTATAGTTCATCTTTGAGCACCCTCTCGCTTACCTCCTCAACCCCGTCCGACTCTGATGGCTGCTCGTTCTGCTCCTCTGGTGTGTCTGCCGTCTCTCGTGTCTCCGGGGTCGCCGGTGCCTCCTGCTCTTGCGACTCTGCTTCACCCGTTTCTTGCGACGGGGCTTCTGCGATCATCTCCTCCTGAGATCCCTCTCCTTCGGTAACACCCTCTTCTTCCTCCTCGTCCTCATCGACAAGACCCCGCAGTTGCCGTTCGCCGTTGATCTCAATCACCTCCAACGTCCAGTCCTTGCCCTTGGCCCACTCCTCCAGGCGCTTCTTCAGGGCTTCCAGCTTCTCCGGGTCCAGATCGTACTTCTTCAGGTCCTCGCGTGACATCTGGTACACTTCTCCGTTCTCGCGCTTGGCCACCACATCAATCCTCTCTTCCCCGGCCCAGGCCACGCGTCCTTTCTCGATCTCCTTGCCTTCCGATCCGACCAGCTTTTGAGCACCGACCTGGATGTCCCCGACCACCGGGAACTCGTCGATCACGGCTGACTCCACCAGCCGTTGCGCCAGTTGGTACTCCCGGATCGCTTCCCAGTCCGGAACCTGTTCCGGCGAAAGAATCTCGCGGCAGTCGATCCCATGCACCTCGTCCTGCTGGGGCGGCAAGAAGGCCACGTCGTTACATAGCCGCGGGGTGTAGATGACCATCAGGTATGAGCAGGTGGTCAGCTCCTTGATCCAGCCGATGCGGTCGGTCGACTGCGGATGGCAGTGGAATTGCACCTCGATCTTCCGGTTCCGGCCCGTCAGATCACAGCGCGTGCCGCCATCCAACCGTTGCACGAGGTACCGAGAGCCACCCTTGGTCTGTAGCTCCGCCACATCCGTAGAGGTGTGTTTGTGTTCCGAGTCTCCCTCCACTTCCTCGTCCTCGCCCTCACCCTGGGGGAACCTCCCCAGGATGAACGAGTGTGTCGTCTGGTCTTCCGTAGGCGGGTAGTTGGGGATCCCACTCCCCGAGGGGAGAGCATGGAACTGCTTGATCTGGTTCTTGTAGCAGAAGGAGTAGGACCACCACCCGGAGATATAGTACATGCACTTGCCCTCCATCTCGCGCAGGAGCTCCAAGCCCCGATCCATCGCGCGCGCCAGCTCCTTCTGCTCGTCTGCTTCCTGGGGTTTCCCCGTTGCATTGACCCTCTCGTTGACCTGGACGCGGGGAATCTGACAGAGGAATCGCTGATCGCCTAGGAGCATTTCCTCGTAGCCGAAGTCACCATCTCCTTCCCAGGGCGATTTCGCCTGATCGGTATCATGGTTCCCATGGCCTAGATAAACCTGCGCGGAGTTTTCTCGCGAATCGGCAAACGTAGAGGCGCTATCGTGGCGGTCTTGAAGGAGATCCCTCGCCTGGGATTCAAGGACATAGTCATCGGGAAAGCGGACTTCGAACTGGGGTAGAAGGCGGTTAGCGTGGGTGGATGGTTCGGAACACGCGTGAGATGCATACTTGGGGAACAGCTAGCAGGTCATCATGGATATTGAATTCCTTCTTGCTAGCCCAGGCGGTGGAACTGGCACACGCCAGCACCAGCAAAGACGACACCACCCGGTTTCGTCGGGGCATGATTGATTGTGGAGGTTAGACGGGGATCAATAGGATAGATAGGTAGGTCTGTCGAGGCGGCTATCCGCAGCGTCACTGGATGCGACGATCTGGCCTGATCGGGACGGGGTCGGTAGTGGGTGGCCGGGGGCTTGGTGGGGTTGTCGGGGAGTACTCCGTACGGAGAAGGTCAATTGCTCATATCGGAGGGATGCAGAGGTAGCAGTTTGCTCGGGGTGGTATTCAAACCACTAGCAGGTTGTCATCTACGGGCCGGACTGCGGACATGCCAGTTGGAAGCAGCTGGTGGAGATCTTATCAGCACGTGCATCTCCCATAGATACCCTCTCTATCTATCTACTCCGTAGGGGAGTACCAGCTTATTACTCCGTACTTAGAAGAGCATAACTACATCCATTCATTTTCCAATGAACAAACCAAATAATCAAACCTTCTAGAGCACTCAATAATTATTACCAAGAAATAACTAACCCACCCCCCTTTGTCCAACTGAATTCAGTCCCCAACACGACCATTAAACCACCGTGCAACTACGGATCCACTGACTCAGACCTGAATAATGCCCCTAAGCCTGCTGCAGTGCTGACAGCAATCTTTGTAATGCCCACTCCTCCCCACACTTTTCCCCATCCGTCCATCGATCCAACGATCCAGAATCCAACGATCCAATCCACCAACCGCCAAAGTCAGACCCTCGGGAGCGATTGATCATGGCTTACCCGAACAATTATAAGAAGTGACTAACCCACCCAGCCGTATAGAAGCGTAGTCTCTCGTAGCAGCCACCCACCCTCCAGCATCTTCTACGATCTTCGTGGATTCTTATAAAAGGGCCGCTGCAATCCCATATGACCCTCCTTTGGTCTTTTTTTATCGCTATCATTGCAGGTTTTTTGACTTGGCAGAGTACTCTTACTTCGGGGTTCTTTGCTTATTTTGCTACTACGAATTCAACTACAGCTACAACTGTCACGTTGAATACCACCTCACCCACCACAATTTTCAACAACACCATCATCATCAACAACAACAAATCCAACAACACCACCACCACCATGTCCCTCCCCCGCGCCATCCGCCAAGCCTTCCTGGCCATCGAACAAGCCGAAGGCGCCGGCGCGCGCGTCCGCCGCTCCATCGGCACCCCCAAACTCCGCCACCTCAGCCCGTTCCTCATGCTAGACCACTTCACCATCGGCAAGGGAGCGGGCTTCCCGGACCACCCACACCGAGGCCAAGAAACCATCACCTACCTTCTCTCGGGCGGAGTCGACCACGAAGACTTCGCCGGCAACCGGGGCACAATCGGCCCGGGGGATCTACAATTCATGACAGCCGGAAAGGGGATCATGCACGCGGAGATGCCGCACGAGAACCCCGACGGGAGTCTGAACGTGGGGATGCAATTGTGGGTGGATTTACCGAAGGAGTTGAAGATGTGTGAGCCGCGGTATCGGGATTTGCGGGCGGAGGAGATTCCCGTGGCGACGACGGATGGGGGACGGGTCACGGTGAAGGTCATTTCGGGACAGTCGCATGGGGTGGATTCCGTAAGGGATTTGGCGTATACGCCGGTTTGGTTGTTGGATGTGGTGGTGAGGCCGGGGGGGAGGGTCAGGCAGGTTTTGCCGGTGGGGTGGAATGCGTTTGCGTATACGTTGCAGGGGAGGACGGTGTTTGGGTCCGGTGGGGAGACGAAGTTGGTGGGGGAGTTTCATAATGTGGTGTTTGCGCAGGAGGGGGATTATGTGGAGGCGTCGGTGCCGGATAATGCGGACGCGGAGGGCAGGTTTTTGCTGGTTGCCGGGCAGCCGTTGGATCAGAAGGTCGTGCAGTATGGCCCGTTTGTGGTGACCAGTCAGGAGGAGGTTTATCAGGCGATGTTGGACTTTCAGACCGCGTCGAATGGGTTTGAGAAGTCGCGCGGGTGGGAGAGTGAGATTGGGAAGCGCATGGCTTATTAGGATGTTTAGATCGGATATGTGGATTGGCGTTTGGATTTGTTTAGCTTTGATTGTTGTATATAGCTTAGCATCATGAGTATGATCACTCCCATGGAAATCATTGTATACGAGTACTCTAGGGTAAGAGCAGTAACATTCACGCTATATCAACAGGAATCCAGAATAGAGCACAAAATCCAGACAGGCCAAGGGCAGTTTCAGAATACACCCGACGTGTGTTCCGCGCAGGTAGCATCCCGCCACTCTGGATGAAGCAAGAAGAGTCCGACCCCATACACCTATCTTACAGAACGCCGACTCCGGTCCCCCGGAGTCACCATGTATACCGCCCTGCCAACTGCAGGTTTATCCAACCCGAGCGCCATCTATTTGGCAAAGTGCAGATCATAGCCCAGCCACTTGCGGGCCAGGATGCCGGGCACATCCAAGCCCGGAGTGCCGTACGTCAGCGGGGCGAAGAACCAGAAGCCGTAGATCGTACCGGACAGGATGACCAGGGTAGCGATCCAGCCCGCCACCAGAGACTTCGTGCCCATACGCTCCTTGGCCGAGACGAAGCGTCCAATCCGAGCCGTGGCCTTGGCCTTGCCCGAAGGGTCGTCCTCGCCGTGGATGCGCTGGACGACCGAGATCGGCTCCAGGTTGAAGATGAACTCAATAAGAGCGCCAGTCACGAGAGCCGATGCAAGATGGGCAGGGAGGTAGTGGTGCAGGAAACGCTGACGGCCCATCAGCCAGAAGGGGAAGTAGTGAGCCGCCCAGCACAGGAACAAGAAGCCCGTGCTGTTGTACAGACGGGAACGGGCACCGTGACCCCAGACTACCACTCGTTAGTAGCTGCACTATGTATTCGACAGATCGACAGGACACTTACTCTCTTCCACAGCATCGACACCGCGACGCAGAGACAGCTGGTCAGCACCGATCACACCGGCAAAGACAGCCAACAGACTGCTCGCAATCCACCATCCAACGGGGTTACCAAGGAAATAGATCTGTTCCCGAGTGTCGTTCTTGGTCCAGAAGCTGACACCGCGGAGCAAGAAAGGCCACTGGAACGGCTCACTCGCGTACGGGTGGCTGCTGGTCAGGGCGTTGTTGTGGAAGAACATGGCCCGCTGCAGTTCCAGGTACTTGCGGAAGAAGGGCAGGTGCTTGACCTCACGCTCTTCCTTGATCAGACGGGGACTGTCCTCTTCCAAGGACTCAATGGTCTCAGCGAACCACAGGTTGCTAGTCTGAAGGATGTTCTTGTTGCCGTTGATCTCGGCCTGCTTGAAGGCCCAGTCGGGCAACGGCGTGGTGTGGGTCCACATGGCCACCCGGGTGGGCACATGGAGCAGCTTGAAGTGACTCGACAGAGTCCGGAATTCCTGGCGAGGCTTGCCGTTCTCGATCTTGATCTCAAACAGCGTGTCGTTGCGCCGGTCACCGTTGGCAATCTCCTGGGAGACGGTAGTGAACTCCTGGTTGGTCGGGAAGTAGGGAGACGCGACATCGTGGGTGAGCAGAATGGTATCGGTGCCCGTGTGACGGAGCTGGATAATATCACCGTTGCGCACCTTGTGCGGGCCAGTCTCAGTGACATCCAGGGGAACCGCGGGGATGATTTGCCATTGGTTGTTCGTGTCATTATAAGGGTATCCGGTGACCTGCTGGCCCTGACTGGAGATACGGCCATCATCGTAACGCAGGGGGTACTTCTCCCAGTGACTGTGCAGGAAGACCTTGGTGTCCTTGTGCTTCATGGTAATGACGTCGAAGTACTCGATGCCGATCGACTCCGCACTCAACACATTGTCACTCAGAGTTTCCTGGAACTCCGGGGTCATGAAGTCGTCGCCGGGGCCAGAGCGGGTCAGGATGGCAAAGTGGACCTGGAACCAGAACAGGTAGAAGAAGAAGGGCACAATGATCAGGGCGAAGGAACGGGCCGCGAAGTGCTGACCCCACTGGACCATGCTGAGAGCACCGCCAGGGCGCCGGATGTCCAACAGGTTCCACAGATCAACCATGACGGCTGAACCGATGGTGACGAAGGTGAAGACACCCACGTACTTGGTCGAGATAACACAGCTGAGCGACACACCCGTCAGGAGCAGCCACTTCCACCACTTCCGTCCGAATGGCTCATGACGCAGCTTGTAGAAACGAACATAGCAGAGGACACTCAGGGCCATGGACAGCACCAACGAGGCGTCCAGCAGGATCAGTCGGTCTTCTCCCACATGGGCGTTGTCAAACAGAACGAGACCGGCAGACAAAACACAAGCGGGCAGCGAATATCCAGACTCCCACATGATCAAGAACACGACCGGAACCGTCAGGGCGCCGAGCGTGGCCGGCATGGCCCGGAGAGCCACATAGGGGACGTTGTGTTCGATGTACGAGTCACCGATGTTATCAAACAGAAAGTGGCCATCATAGCCGACCAGCCAGCCCATGAAAGCGAAAAGGAGCTTGCCGAACGGGGGGTGGACGTCAAAGAAATAAGTGCGCTGGAGGTAGTACGAGGCAAACTAAAGACCACACCGTTAGCAGCCATGTCGCAACTCACGCCGGTCAATTGACAATAGGCCTACCTTTCCAAAGTGCACCTCGTCAAACACCACCTCATTGGGGAAGGAAATCTTGTAGAATCGAGTGATGAAGGCGAGGACGGTCAGAAGGGTTATGGCCAGCCAATAATCCCATTCCGAACGTGGAGCATTCGCTTTGGTGGACAAAGGAGAAGAAAGGTTGTCCTGGGGCACAGGAGTACTCTCCTTCTTGCCGCCCCTCTTGCGAAGAGAGGGCGAAGGAGATCGAGGCATGATTAGGGAGTGGTCAAGAAAAGAACGAACGAAAGACACCTAATGGACTTCTGGAGAGCTTAGGAAGCTGATCAGCAAGCTGGATGGCGCAGGCAGGAGAGCATCCTCGAGCTGGAATGCTAGGACAACTTACGGGAAACAGGGGAAAGCCGGTTCAGAAAAGAACCATGATAGAACGGAGGGAAAGATATACTTATTTGTTTCAGCCGCTGCAGAGGGGGGCGGTTCTAGTCGCTGATGGGGGCGGATTGCGTGTCTTTCTCACTTCCCAAACGCTTGCGGAACGGAACAAGGCGTTGGTCCGAAACACCCCCGGGCCAATTTATGGGAAACATCGCACGACGCAACACGTGTACCGATGCAGCATGCGTCCAGGATGTGAGGATCGTCATGGACTCCGCTGAAGTTTCAATATTCAGATTTCACGTTTAATTACGACGGAATTCCAAGTTTCGACCAACATATCCTGATGAAATTACCCATGGATATCCAATGCCAACCGCCCAACCAACCAATGCACCTCAACGCTGAACATGACCCAATGCAGTATGTACAATTTGAGAAAAGATAAACACGCCGTCCAATATCTCATTCCCCATCCGACACGTTCAACAATTCCAATTCTGTCTGGACGAGCGACTGGAATTCACTGCGAGAGATGCCTGTAGCTTTAGCCAGCCGGAACAGACCCTTGATGCTCGAGCCAATGTGCTGCTTGACCCCGACTTCATAGGACGATTGGTGCTCTGCTTCTTGTTCGAGTTTGGCCACCGCTTCGGAGCTGGCAGACGAGATGGAGGATGGTCGGGGGTGGTTCAAGCTGGCATGATCGCCGTTTGCAGCTGCGCCAGCTGAACTCTCGTATGGATGGTCCGGCTTGTCGGTCTCTCCACCATTGAATTGTCTCCGAAGCAGTTGGGCCAACATGTCTCCGTTGAGGGAGGAAGCTCCGAGCTCGGGCTGCTCCTCCTCGGGATCATGGTTGTCCATCGCGGGCTGCACATCCCCGTAGCGAGAAAAGTAATCCGCCTCCGACTGTTGCAGGGATGAAACAGGGTTGGGAGCGGGCGTTTTGGCCGCCGGGGTTCGTCCGGGAGTCGCATCATATTGGGCCCAGTAGTCATCGTCATCATCCTCCTCAGCCTCTTTCTGCTTCTCTGCCTGCTCTGCTGCACTCAAGGCATCCTGTAGGAGGTGGTCTTTCTGTTCCGCGTTCGCCTCCCCAATCGACACGGACCAGACTTCGCCATCATCTACGCTGCCCTCCTGCGGCAACAGCTCCGCCACGCGCCATGCTGGACCCCCACCTTCTTCATCATTGGGGCACCAGACATAGATGACCTTCAAACTGTAATCAGGGAGGATCACGCGCGACCGTAGTGTCTCCTCATCCACACGCCGGTACCTGACTGGGAGTTCATCGGGGAGCTCGATCTCGCCCGAGACAGGATGTTGCTCGAAGCTTGCGCCATCCACCAGGGCTTGAAGGCGCTCGGCCTGTTCCGCATCCCAGCAAAGTAGCCGAAGCCATGAATCTGTCGGAGAAACATTCACTGAGCTCAAGATTTGGACTCGTTGGCGCAGAATGGGCGACAAGAGGGGTAGCAGGGCCGGAGGGGGCTGCGGCGAGACAAACGCCGTCGGAAGACAGGCGAGCAAGGGAGGCAGTAGGGTGCGAGGATCGGGAGGAGGAATGAGGTCGACCATGATGAAGTGGAGGAGAAGCTTTGAGTCGTCGAAAATTAGGGGGTATTTGAAGAGGTGGCAGCTGCTATTTCTTTGGGGAATGCGTAGACAGCTTTATTGGGGAAAATTGCGGCGGTGAAAAGAAGCACCGGGAGGACCAAATCACTCAGTCAGTCGCAGCCGCAAGCGGGGAGAGAGAAGCATCTTGTATGGCGGACAGAAGGGAGGGCGCAGACAGACGATCAGTCAATCGGTCAGCAGCAGCAGGGCCATCGTCAGTGCAGTCCCTCTATGGAGCATCTGTCGGTCCCCTCACGGAGGTGTTTGGCTCCCTTCGCCCGAAGGAACAGCGTGGGTCACGGCCAGGAGAAGACGCGGGGGCGCTGGAGCCATGGAGACAGTTGGGCCATTGAGAGGGGCGTGAACAATCGCAGGAATGGAGGCGATCCTCAGGGAATTTATAGCCCTGATAAGAGTTGAGAGTCATCGGCAGGGGTCGCACTGATCAGGCATCGTGCCGGCATTCCATCCAGTCTTGCCTGGGACTGTCTATCTATCTGGAGGGTCAACTCGGAGAAATCGACTCTTGGTGCCCCTTGCTGACTTCTAACTAACTACAACATTTATGCTGGATGACTCAGACAGTGATTTATGTTCAGTCTTTCAGCTCTTCCGGATTTCCGATCTAATAACCGCATATTCAAGTTGCCTTACTGGCTCGGCACAATCCCCCCGTCGAGAAGCCCAGAACTTCAGAAGGATAAAGCCTGGGGACCCACCACCACTCCTTGGCTTGCCTTATGTCGTCTGTTTGTTCCTTAGTATGAAGACTTGCTTCTTAGCATAGGCTGCAGCTGTTTGTATGACACGTGTGTTTCCTTCATTCACTGTCATTTGCCCTACCACCTGCCAGGCTGTCAGGCCTACCAAATCCATTTTCCGCCTAGCGTTCCTGTTCGGATGCTTGGCGTTTGTATATAAGGGCCGATCTCTTGCACTTGCTGTTCCCCGAGCGCCTGCTCATCGACGCGTCCCCGTTCGATTCATTCTAATCCAACGTTTCTGCAGGAAAATCGCACATGCACAACCCTCATTTCCCTTCTAGCCAAGGCCGCTGTTTCGTTTTCAATAAATCAACTTCAAATTCAAAATGGGTAGTTCTTTTATCCCGTCCATCTTGCGCCCGGACTTCACTTGGCCGCGGCCGATGCCATATACGATTTCTCAGAGGACTCCTCCAGTGCCCCGGATGCCAAGCAAAACCTCTCGAATAGCCTGGGGCTACCTTCACAAGGCCCTCTATTATCTATCTCAATGGTATTGCTCTTGGTTTGGCATTGCGTTCGATGTCAATATCTTGCAGTTACCCTTCGGGCTCGTTATCAAATGGACAGACCGAACAAGTGTGGAGGAAGCCGCTGCGATGCATATGGCAAGAGCCGCTGGTATGCCCGTCCCCAGAGTACTAAGCTGCGGGGAGCATCTGAATGCCCATTATAACCGGAAATTCTCAATCCTAATGACGAGGTTGCCCGGTGTGTCTCTCGCAAACTCAAGGTTTCCGTTGGAAGTGGATGACGAGGGTCCTTGGCTGCATGAATTGAAAACTTGTGTCCAGTCTATGCGTTCGTGGCGCCCACCTCATCCAAGTTATATCCATTCTCCCATAGGCACCGCTATACGAAGCTCACGGGTTCCTGGTCATATCATGGGCCCTTTTACCAGTGAGAGCGAATTCTATAACTTTCTCATTAGCCCTGCTTCCAGTCACGGATTTAGTTCACTTGAGGAATATGAGCAAGCCTTGTCATGTGCGAAGAAGCTAGAACAACGTCCACACCGAATTATGTTCACCCATGGGGATTTCAAAGCACATAACATTCTTGTTGATGATGATGGGCATTTATCCGGCTTCCTCGATTGGGAATCCGCGGGCTGGTGTCCGGAATACTGGGAGTTTACCACGGCAATGCGTTTTGGACGGGGTAGCTGGTGGTTCCAAGTCGCTGCTTGGATGGGAGGGGATCAATACCTTGAGGAACTAGCCTCCGATGTTGCTTTGAACCTGTTGACCGTTGATTCCTATATAGCCTTCTAGCTAGATTGACTAAGGTACAAGATTACCTAATGAAACAGTGTACATCTCGAATACACCTTGCTTCCAAGGACTCAACCGATCTTTGAGTTGCAGTCATACGAGAATCAAAGACATTCACAACACTAAAACAAACAGTATCAAAGCGGCCGTTGCATACAAAAGTGACAAAACACGGCATCCTCGTGGACATGAAAACAAAATTCACAAGCAACAACCTTCGCCCCTCCCCCTCTTCGTCTCTCTGTGAGCCTCCTCATCTTTACTGACACAGCCTGGACTTGACCACCGGCCGCGGCTGGTCATTCTGCGCAGCTGCCCCTTGATACTGATTCCCAAACCCCATGCATTCCTGCTCCAAGGCCTTGATGTCATTGCACAGGACCAATCCATTCTGGATCAACTTCTGCAGGATCGTCAAAACCCAGACCCGGCAAGTCACTCCGGGGATTGAGTTGATATCACCATCGTGGAACCTCATGATCTGGTCGACCTGGTCGTGCTGTGCCGGTGGAATAGTCGCAATCTCGACGAGAACGCACAGGAAGTTGGATTTGAACACTCCTCCGGTCAAACCATGGTCGGGGATCCATCCACCACCCAAATTCGTCATGTGGTATTTGGTGCCTCCGGAGGAAAGCTTGTGGAAGTAGTAACCCCAGTGGAAGTCATTGAGTCGTGGGGGATCCGACCGGATCCAGAGAACGATGTAGAGGGTGTTGAGGGGGAGACGTTTCAGGGCTTCCTCCTGGAGCTGTTTGATTGCAAGAGCTCTCTCCTTTGCGGCATTAACTCGAGAGGCAGGGGTTGACATGTTGGAGGTATGCAATTCGAATCTAGAATGCCGAGGAAGGAAGAATAGATGCCTTGGTGTCTTGTAGTTCTGTTTGTGGAAAGTGATTATCTGGGACATTTTCCGAGGAAATGGCTCTCCTTAAATATTCACATTGCAAGCTATACTTGGTAACGGATCTATATGGCCTCCTATTAACCGCTGTGAACGACCCTGCCAGCGGTAGCCGAATCACTGGCTCACATTCTAGCTTGTGGTTCTGTCAGGCATCGCAAAACGAGCGCCAACCACTTGAGCTGTGCAGGGAACATCCAGCGGTTACCCCCATCCCTCATCCACCAATTCCAACGAGTAGGTCACCATCAAAGAGAAACGAAGTACCGCCCCGGTCGCGGCCGCAGCTCTAACGCACCAAATCATTTTGACCTAGTGCAGTGCAAGCCACCGACTTGGCCTATGGCATGGAGCTTTCCAATGAGTCGATGCCGCTATCTCATGCAGCGAACCCGCAGCCTCGTTCCATCACCATGCGCAGCAGCACGCGAAAGGGGAGGCGCCTAGAGTCCCCCGCCGCCATCGTTCCAAAGCAGAGGATTCCCACAGACTGACTCAGTCGGGGGTGGCTGGACAGGACAAGATCAACAAGGCTGTCTACTTCCGGAGGCCTCGGTCGTTTCTATCTCATCTAACTGGTAGGATAGGTGTACTCGCCTCGATGCGCAGCAGCACAGACTCAGCCTTGCAGCTGATGTCAGGCGTTCGACTACCAGACGTTTGCCGCCATCATGTATAGTAGCATCCTGGACATGAAGTTACGCATCTGACCAAAGTTGCCGCCTTTCACCACAAGGCTGGAGCCTCGCAACGACAACCGCGGACGACACAGATCCTGATCTGGCAGGTGCCGGCGAGAAATTAGAACCGGACCAAAGGAGGTGCTTCCCTGATCGAGTGACGACATCTTGGTGAGAAACCAGTCAACGGAGAGATCTTGGCTGTACAGCAGAGTTGTAAAGGTGTAATCGGCTCTACAACAACCACCCGACGAGCAAGTTGACTACGGACTTCTGAAACCAGACCAGAGGAAGAGGACTCTATTTCTATAAAAGGAATCGGGGCTATCCCTGACCCATTTAGAAAGTCAGAGCGGAGGCTATATGCTGCCAGCAAGTCAAGAACAGCTAACCCACGAGGCTGCGTCGGTCTCTCTAGAATCACATGGGTCCAGGTGGTAAATCCTTAGGCCGGACGGGACCACAGCCCAGTTTATGACCCCTATTCTCACCCCTGTGGCATCAGTCACTCTTCGTACTCAATATAACCAAGTTTCAGGCTCGGATTATGCCATCATCGGTCAGATTCTGGAGCCCTCCAAAGCGCAGACTGTGCGAGCTCACGCTCAGGGGTTTACTTGACGAGGTCTCTTCTCTACAGATCATACAAGATCTGTCAACTATGCTTCGCCACCGGGTCGTCACCGTCGCAAGCGGTTCTTCAATCGGAATATTTATCACCTCGACGAGTGCTCACTGGCTAAGATCTACGTGAGGGGAAGGGCAGGACTCCAAGAGGATTACTTGACTAGAGAGGTGGGGAAATACGAGACAGAAGAAGAAACGATAAGATCGGAGTCACAGTAGAGGGGTAGTCCAGGGGCAAACAAGCATCGAGATAGAGGTAAAACCTTGACAAAATCACCATTGCTTCGCTTCCAATCGATTTCCGATGGCGTTGGAATCATGGAAGATGGTGGAAGGCGTGATGGCCCGCCCCGCCAATGGCAAAGACTTGCAAATCCCGGCCGAGCTGAAGATCCACTCATCCTCCACCATCTGCTTAGTCTGACAGAGCAGCGATCGGGATTCTGCACGGCTCGCAGGCCGGCGCAATCCCGCTGCATGATAAGCTGTCTGTCGACGCGTTCTAGCAGACATGTAACCTAGCATCTTCCTTGCAGCATGCCCTTTCCCCTCCTCTCGAGACCAGCAGCTGCTTGATCCATCTTCCGCCTCGCGTTCATCATCATGAACCCAAAGCACTCGGAAGCTGTCGTGGTCGAGAGGGATAATGGCAAACTCGAAGGCGGGCTCGACAGCCCCCAGGGTCTGGCCGACCTCGATCCAGCCGAATGGAAAACGCTCGAGACGAGGGTGCGCTGGAAGACCGACCTGCGCCTCTGTACCATTGCCGGCATCTTGTGCAGCCTCAATCTGCTCGACTCGGGCATCTTGTCATCGGCATCAGTCACCAGCATGCCCGATGACCTGGGCCTCCAGGGCACCCGATACTCCGTCTCCATCTTCATCTTCACCATCGCCAGTGTCGTCTTCCAACTGCCCTGCACCGTCGCGGTGCGCTGGGTCGGACCACGCCTCTGGTTCGCGTGCATCACCTTCGCCTTTGGATTGATCACCATGTGCACGGCCTTCATCCACACGTGGAAGCAGATGATTGCCCTGCGCGTCTTGCTGGGCATGTCCATGTCAGGGATCTACCCGGGTCTGACCTATCTCATCAGCACCTGGTACCCGCGACGTGAGCAGCAGCTCCGATTCGCCTTTCTGCAGTCAGGCGAAGTCATCGGCCTCGCGACGGGCTACATCGTTAACTACGGCCTTGACTTTCTGGATGGACGAGCAGGCATGCAAGGCTGGCGCTGGATGTACCTAGTGCAGGGCCTCCTCAGCTGTGTCCTTGGGATCGTCACGTACTGGTGGATCGTCGACTTTCCGGAGAATGCCCATCACAGCTTCCATTTCATGTCCGAGATGGAGGCCCGCGTGGCCACCCAACGCATCAAGGCAGACCGCGACGATATCGTCCCGGATCCATTCTCATGGCGCAAGGTGCTCGCGCCGTTTGCCGATCCGAAGCTGTACGGCTTCGCGTGCATGTACTTCCTGTTGAACCTAGTATCAACTGCGTTGAACTACTTTCTCCCCATGATCCTGGAATCGGGCATGGGGTTCTCGAGCAACGACTCGATTTTACTCTCTACACCGGTAGGCGCCTTGCTACCCCCTTTCCCCGCAAGTCTCCTATGCTCACAGCTGTAGCCATATTACTGGGCGGTCATTCCGGTCCTCTTCACCTCGTTCGTTGGAGACCGATTTCGCATCCGCGGCCCGCTCATCACCTTCAACGCGCTTTGTCTCATCGCCGGGTTTCTCATGTTCGGACTGCCGTCATCTACACAGGTCACTGTGCGGTACATCGGGACATTCCTCGCAACCGGCGCGTACGTCTCCAACTGGGCGGCCCTGAACGCCTTCATGGCCAACAACGTGGTGGGACAATGGAACCGAGCCACCACCGCAGCGGCTGTGTCTGCCTGCAATGGTCTCGGAGGTGTGGCAGGCAGCTACATTGTGCGACAGCAGGAGGCACCGCGGTATGAGACCGCGGTGTGGGTGTCTATCGGGTAATCCCCCTCCCACCATCTGTCTGTCCTTCAAACGTGAGAATTAACGGTAATAGATCCCACATCTTGATGGTAGTGATGGTGTGCGTCTTCACGGTGTTCTTCTGGCACCTCAATCAGCAGCAGAAGAAAGGAAGAGTGCTGCAGAATATGGTACGTCTGTTGTCCTGCAACGGATGGGATTTGATATTAACATGACGCAGGTCGGGTTCCGCTACACTTATTGATGATGTCCATGCTATCTATGACTTGTCATGAACAGTAATGCTATGAAAGGATACCCCATATGAAGTGCAGCTATACATTTCGATGGACGATTCGCTCTACAAGTCCATCCACACGGATGCACTACATCAAAAGGATCCACCACTATCTATACTTCTAGCATATCTACTGTTCATATCATGAATAATGACACTTGCATATTCTCTCTTCCCCCCCTTCCCCCCCTTCCCCCCCAACAACTTGATCCCACCCACCCCATAAAATCAAAAATACCCCACCACACACTAACCATCATAAAACAATCCCCAACCCACGAGAATCCCCAAACGAAACAGCCAAACAATCAGCCATAGAATGTCACCCCAAGCTCCCACTATATCCCCAGACCGAACCCGTGTACCCGTATTCCAATCGCAACAAACCCACGTGGGACAAAGCATAATTTCTGATTTCATATCATACAAATACTACCATGTCTCCCTCTAAACAGCCCGCGACAGTACTAGAACAGAGGGGAGGGGGGCTACTGGCATGAATTATGTTCAGATTCGAACTAACTCGTAGTACCTTGCCCCGCATTACGTAGTTCCTGACGCAGTAAGTGCTGTTGGGTCATTTTACGGAGTAATGGAGAATTTTTGTTTGAGGGGATTCATCATATAAAAGACTCGGCATTGCACGTGGAGAGTTGAATCTAAAAAACAGGAAATGGCATGGGAACACTATGGACCTCGCGCTATGGAAATAGAACGGGTGAATGTCCTGGTTCCGTGGGAATTTACTTTATTTCCGCTATAGGCAATACCCAAATCTATAATTAATTCTGCTATTATTCCTTTGTTTTTCGAAACGGCTACTAGCCCCCTTGATTTATCAGGTACATACTGATGATCCCTTATCAGATCCTTGGGACTTACGCAGTGCCAACCCCGGCTTCCATGGAACCGATAACTTCGTTCCGACAAAGTACGTTCCGGGGTCAAGCCACCGATCCGCGGTGGGACCGGGCCAAGAGCTTCTCAGTACTCGCACCTGCCGAGGTGCCATATGCGAGTCAGTGAAGTACGTCAGGTGCCCCGTAGGTACCTTGTCCATGTCTACCCTCTGGAACCGTAGTTCGGTAGATGAAGCAGCCTGGCCTGGGCGGGTGGCCCGGAGATTGAGTGGGCCGCCAATGTTGGCACTTGGCAGTTGGCACCGATAAAGTGGTTCGTGATGACGATTGGGTTAGGGCCACTTTATTTTGCTTTGGGGTGGTGGAAAGCTGGGAACTGGTAATTTAGAGATTCGTCAAGGGTTCGTCGGGGCCCATCTACTTGTCTCGGACGGGAAGCAGGGCAGGACAGTTGAACTCGTCATTCATATTCGTGAATACTTGATCAGTCTCATGGCTCTTCTCTCGGTCGCACCCCATGCATCACGTCCAACGAGATGCTATCGGAGTACTGATCGGGTGTACGCGCCAGTACCATCCGGCTCTCCACGGATGGGGTCTGGCACTGATCGCTCTGGCTGTTGTCCCCCAGCCGGGAGAATCCCTCGGGGCCCTTGGCTTTGGCCTGGCTGGCTGTGTAGCGGCGTTGTCGGGTATTGGAGGACCCTTTGCTGCGCAGTTGTTTCGGTAAGATGCGCACGAGCAACGGCCAGATGGGCGGGAGACAGGCGGAAATGATGATGATTCCGCCTTCCAAGACGGTCCAGATTCCCAGTTTCGTGGATGTCCCTGGATGTTGCCAGTTAGGATCAAACCTGGCGATATGCGGAGTAGAGAGAACATACACGTAGGATCGGTCGTGGCATTCTCTTGGAAGAAAATCGCCATGCGCAGGATACTGGCCACCGTGCCCCTGGAATTGGTTAATATCGGTAGATTCGCTGCCTAGGTTTCACTCACACGCCCCCAAGCAGGAATACTCCCGTCAATGCCAGCTTCTGGCCGTTCCGCGTGTGAAGTTTCCAAACATATGGCAACGGCATGACCAGAATGAGAACATCCGTCAGAATATTCGGAGGTGACACGTATCGATAGAATGCCACTTGGTTAAAGCACGATCCGCCCTCGATTGTATGGTTCCAGACATACGCAATCGGCCAGCACTGAAAGATCGCTGCGAACAATACCCCGATACCATGCCCGAGGACAATGGCGCCGACCACGTATGCCATGATTTTGAAGGTTCGGGTGCTGAAGATACGAACATAGAACATCAGGATAGAGATTTTGGCTGGAGTGACTGTGAACGGGAAATCGAGGATCTCGTTGGCATACAGGCCCTGGATCATGTTAGCGAGCATCCCGTGGTTAACCAAACCAGGAATCTCTACCTTTTGCAGGATGACCAACTTTTTTGGTGTCTGTTCCACGTAGCTCATATGATGTCCAACTCCTGCAAGCTTGACCACTATCCAAGAAACCGCAAGGTCAGCGCCTATGGCCAGCTTGTCGAGATACCACCACTTACAGATAATGTACAAAGCCGACTGCCCGAGGCTAGCAATCTGCAATAAACGTAAGCCTCAATCAGTTGCCAGGAGGACAATCAAGTACCAATGCCAGAAAAATCAGGTAGTCATCCAGCGCCAGTGCCAGCTTCTGTATGTGTCGCGTATAGAAACGAGCTCCCACTATCACAATCTGAACAATGGCGATCGCAATCGACACGCCGATCAGCGCATCGCCGTTGTACGGGACATGGGAAGCCGAGCGTCGATCCATTGTCACCTGGGGCTCCAGCTTCTTTATGCCACTAGGAGGTCCAGGCCAATGCTGCGGCAGTGGTTGTGTGCATCACAGCTGGCGCAGAGCCACGAGGATGGCGTGGGAGGCACATCTTTAAATTGCAGACGGCCAAGATCACGGCTGGTCGCTTCAAACGTTTTCCCTGGAAGGACAGCATTTGGACCGTCTTGGGCGATGGGATCCAGTCAATTACATAATTGATGCCAGGCGTTCCGTGCTGGTGCCACGGGCAAACGGTGGGCTGTTGATGCGATCGATATCGTTCGCAAAGGCCAATCTCCGCCGATCTCCACATGGCGGTTGGTGGCCCGCTGAAAGTTTGGAACCGACAGTGCGATCCGATTGTCAGTTCGCCCACGCGGCCCAAGATCCAGTTCCTGAGACACTTGAGCCCACTAGGACGCACTAGGGCCTCCTTCGGGCTCGATCGTCCAATTTATTCGTTCTTGGTGACCCACGCATGCGTTTCTTCAGCTCATGGTCCGGTCATTCCCCCCCTCATACTAAAGTCCTCTATCCGCAGGTTAATAACTCCTGTATGTTCATCCTGCGTCGAATGCCAAGGCAGAGCAACTGTTCACGGCGGAAGCAACACCGGAAAAATGTCGCTTGACTCTCAGATAACAGCGCTGACAAGCGCCGTGCAATCCAACAGGCAAAGTATTGACGATGCCACTCGGTTCAAGGCCATCAAAGCTGCCCAGGACTTACTGGCAGCTCTGGGTTCCCCAGCTGAAACCGTCATACAGGATGTCGTCCTGGTGAGACTGAGACATATTCCCATTGTTAGAATGCCCATTAATTGATATGGATCTGAAAAGAACTCGGTCCTTCTCATGGCACTTCGCATGGGTGTCCAGCTCGGTGTTTTCACGGCAATCAGAGATAATCAAGGCCAGACGACGACAACGCAGCAGATCGCTGATAAATCCGGTGCAAGTGTAGTTCTCGTGGGTACATCTCCCTTGATCTTATCAATCTCTTCTCGGTCGTCATCGAGTCTGAACTTCGGGTCACCTTATTCTCTGCGATCCCACTCTAGAAGACTCAATTGCATATACTGGCATAAACTCGAATAATATGTATGCACTAACCTAGGTTCATCATATAGACCAAATCATGAGGTTGCTCACAGCGTCCGGTTATGTTCTCGAAGAGGATGTCCAGACATACAAGCCTTCACCCCTCACGATGGTGATGGCTGAGCAGACTTTCGAGGCGACAACAAGAGCATGGTAAGTGGGGCCTCGAGTATCCCAATACATACTCATTTGACAATTCCTCAGCTTCGATATTGGCAACTTCTGTACCACGAGAGCCCCGGAGTTCTTTCGGAAGAACAACAACCAGTTTCCTGAATCTGCCAAAAACACGCCTTTCCAGCTGGCAATGAACACGGAACTCAGCTACTTCGAGTGGCTTGGCCAGAATCCTGAGCTGGCAAGAGACTTTCAACAATGGATGACCCTGAAGCAGCAGGCAACACCAAACTGGTTTGATTGGTTCGACATTAGAGGCTCTATCCTGGATGGATTCAACAGTAACTCTGCTGACAATGTCTTGATGGTTGATGTCGGAGGAGGCGAGGGGCACTATCTGCACGCGCTGAATGAGAAACTCCCGTCTCTTCCTGGGCGTTTGGTCCTGCAGGACTTGCCGCATGTTGTGTCAAGTATAGAGAATCCTCCAAAAGGAACCGAGCTGATGCCGCATGATTTCTTCACTCCACAGCCAGTGAAAGGTAAAATTCTCTTCAGTTATGAGGATCTTGCAGTGAAAGGACGAACTGGGTATGCTAACAACTATTATTTCGCGCAGGTGCTCGGGTATATTATATGCACTGGATCTTGCATGACTGGGCAGATGAGCAAGCCCGCAAGATCCTCACTAACCTCGTCGCAGCCATGGAGCCCGGTTATTCGCGCCTCATTATCAACGACTATATCATTCCTGATAGAGACTGTGACTTTCCCACCGCCTGCATGAGTATCATGATGATGGTGCAGGTCGGCGCATTCGAGCGGTCCGAGAAACAATGGCGCGAGCTGCTCAACTCGGTCGGACTGAAGGATGTCATCTTCCACCAGCCACCTGGTAGTGGGGAAGGTATCATCGAAGCTATCAAGTCATGAACTCATGAGTTGTGTATCGATGTCATAAGTTATATTATGTGGTAGAATCTTTCTGGTCTCAAAGCCGCTTCTGAATATAATACTATCGGCCATATAATCCCTGCCGTAGCTGAGCCAGAAGGAGATTGATTGCTATACCTAACGGAAGTCAAGAGGAGGGAGTAGATGCCAGAACGCAGCGGTGTTTGTTGGTTGCAATCACGTGCAACTCGTGACTCGACCGCCTGTAGAGAGGTGAGCACTTTAATCCATGAACCAGTGCAGTGTCGAGTCGACCGGTATTTAGAAACTCTTCTTCGTTCTCCTAGCCTAGAACATATATAGATACATCAATGAGGTGCCCCGGGGTATATGATAAGCTAAATAGAGGCGCCGCTAGAAACTTGTTACAGGTCGGGAAGAAGACTCAAGCAGCCATAATGGATCAACCAGTGGCTTGGTGCTGGTGAGGACGGATATAGGAGAGCAGACCAACCTTGTCACCCAGTATATCGGATGCCACAAGACGGTCACGTCTCCCTCCGTTATCCGAAAGGATGGCTGGAAAGGATAACACTAGTAGGGAGATACGGCACACATATCAGTTGTTCCGATCCTGCTGTTCCAACTTCCCAACGAGTTTCTTCATTCCCGACCATTCCTCGGCAGGCACGTCTTCGGGTGTACCACTAAGGCCCTTTCCTACTTCAAAGACAGTGACAACACCATCAAGTCCGCCCGTTGCAATGCGCCTGCCCTCACGCTCCTCCCAGGCTACCTTGTTGAGACTTCTGGTCAGGATGCCCCCACGGCCCTTGGATGGTGTAGTCTTCACGACGGGTACCTCGGTGTCCGTGTAGAGGTCCCAAACTTCGAGGTTTCCGGCACCATCGACGAGAGAGAAAACTCCAGGGCGGTGGGGTGACCATCGTGCGTCATAAACGACGTCTTCACGGTTGATGTCAAGGATCGGTTCCACGACCTGTGTCGTGGCTATAGCCGAGGTGGCTGGGGCGGTCGTTGCCGGAGGGCGAATACGCCAAAGCCGCACGCTCCAATCCAGGCTGGAGCTTAGCATGAGATCACCCAGGTCAACTGGGCCGCGTGCTGGATGGAATGCAGTGGACATGATCGGGGCCTTATGACCACGATATACAAGGCGATGATCGGTGCCAGCTTTGGCTCCTGCCCGGTCGTAACGATGACAGGGGTAGATTCCTCCTTCCTCAGTACCAACAATGAAGAACGTGGGATCGGATTGAGGGAATGACATTGTAGTGGGTGCAAGATCTTCTGTCTTAGAGGGCGGGGGAGTCGACAGCTCGAGGTACTCCTGAGGCTGGGAAAGCATATCAACCGTCCAACCGCAGACCACACCGTCAGTAGATGCTGTCAGGATATTGTGGGCATTCTGCGTTCCGATGATTGAAATGCTATACACCGGGTGAGTATGGCCAGAGCCCGTCAACGGTGTCTTCTGCACGGGAGCGCCGCCTCCTGCGCGCGACGACCGAGTGTCCCAAAGTAGGACCTGTCCCGAATACGAACCACCGACAATGAGATTAGGATGAAAAGGGGAGAACTTGGCCGCTAGGATGTCGGAGGTGGAATGAAAGACATACTCCGGCCGGGAGTGCAAGTGCTGGTTCCATATTTGAACGAGGCCATCGGGTTCGTGAGGGGCAGAAGGGTTTTTGGTGTATGCAGCCAGAACGAGTTCAGGAAACTGTGGGAGGTGTCAGATCTGAGGGGGCACTGACCAAGGCGATAAGAGCAACAAACCTTCGGAGAAAAGCTCAGATCACTGATCATACGTTTCTTACTCCATCGCTCGTCCCAAAACTGGCAAACCTCTCTGATCCCTCGCCGTTTCCGCCCATGTTCATCATCGTCTTCTAGCTCCCCGTCCACCCCTCCAAGCTCATAGTCTGCTAGCACATCGTATTCTTCGTCCAATGCCCGCTCAATCACTTTCGCTGACCGTTCCACGAAATCCAGAAAATCGTCGGAGGACGTGACAGCCTTCAATTCATCATCATCTAGTGTACGTAGCGGATAACGCAAGCTTGAGGACTCGGCGCCGGCATCATTATCAGCTCTCTGCTGAGTGGCCCGCAGTTCTTCTTCGATCTCTTGTCGGAGCTTCTTCAGAATCTCTTCGTCGCGTTCACTATCTTTCTTGCTGGCGCCACTTTCTTCGTTCTCTGACTCTGCAGGGTCCGCCGATTTCAGATCATCTGTCTGCACTCCTTTGCTGTAGGTGACAACCTCGGGTTTGGGCTCAGGGGCCGGCTGTGGTTCAGGAGCAGCGACAAACGGCTCCGTTCCGACGGTTTGGACGGCAATTGACTGAGAAAGTGGTCGCGTAGGTGGGATGAATGGTTCGGTGTTGTCGCCACTGAGCTGACTCGCACTCAGCACTGAGTTGGGTCTACTCCCTTTGCGAGAGAGGCCATCCGCGCCGTGGCTGATGGAAGCCGATCCCGGGCGGTCAACCAGGCGTGAAATCAGATCATCGAGCTCGGCTCTGCTATCTGCGCGGCTCGGAACGGGCGATACGACCTAAAAAACGGAATGTTTTGAGCGCTGCAGCTTTCCAAGGCTGACGGATGACGTGTAGAGTGAGGGGGTATCCTACCTCAGAGGCATCGCCGGTATTAGCTCGGGCTTGCGAGAATTCCTTCTGGCGCAGCTCCCTCTGGCGCTTCAGTTCGGCAAGTTTGGCTCTCTTGGCGAGGATTTCGGCCTTGCGCTGCTGCATGGCCGACGACATGATGGCGGGGAAGAACCTGGAGGGGTTGAAATGGCGCCGTTCCCTCCAGACGAGGTTCTGGCAGACAAGCAAGCGTAGATAGATAGTACGGGGGGGTCGTGCAACTTCCCCGTCCCGCGCCCAGAGACCGGGTTGGTGATGACATAAGCGCCAAAGGGCCCGACGGTCCGGAAAAACTCGCGACAGGGACTTCGTCTTTACAAGCTCCAGAGTATCCTGTCCGATTGCCAGCCATTGACAGTCGATCCCTCCAAACGGTCGCTCGGAATCCGGCCCTCTTTTCTTGCGTTTACTGATCTGTTCCATTGCCGCTCCGGAGGCCAGGGTTCTCATAAGATGGCTGCCACACAGGGTGTCAACGTGAGTGTCATCAGTGTCCGCCCTGGACCCGTCGTCATACAGGGCCCTCGATGTTAACCCGATCCCTTCGCCATCCAGGTTCTGCGCTATTCGGCCCTCGTTGCCGGTCTTGTTTACGGCTTCTACCACCAGTCCTCGATCACCTCCAGCGCTAAGCATGCCGAGGCCGAACGCGAATACGCCCGCCAGGAGCGCCTGATCCAGCAGGCCAAGGCCGAGTGGAAGAAGAAGACGGCGCCCAAGGACTCGCAAAACAGCGGAGGTACGTTGTGATGCTCGCCTTTGTGAAGCTCTTGCTGTGTCGAATGGCCGCCCCTGGACACAGCAGCGTGTGCCGGACCTATGCTAACTAGGGAACTTGCAGTCATCACGGATCCCGAGGACAGCCGGTTTGACCTTGAGGCCTTCCTGAAGTTGAAGGCTGGCGAGAACTAGAATGGAATTGAAGTATACAGCAAGCAAATGAGTTGCAGTTATCTCTCCCCGAGTCGTACCTTGTAAGGTACGGACGAGAGGTCTCGGGTCGGCCCCGATTATGTATTATTGTTTGGTCTAATTTCCCAGAGTCGTGTCATTGCGAGCGAAGGAATGATTTTTCTTTTTCAACTATAGACATCATCCCCGCATCTTGTACATACCCTGGGCTGTCGTGCGTGTGTACACTACAGTTGGACCAGAAGAGCAAGAGATTCTGTTGTATGCTTCGGTTTCATTGCTGATCTTCTCGTACTGAGTGCGCTTGCGCAATGTTATGCCCATTGTTCATGGTGCCGTTCTATGGTTGCTCGTGAAGCCGTCAAGTCATTACGAGCGGACGCGGGATGTTTCGCTCTGATATGTAGCCATCCGATCTTGCCGCCCCATCCCCTCGATTACAGTAGGATAATCCGTTGCAAGGTAGCCCGTGCGTGCAATCCCCCATACACTCTAAACCCGGCGGCTCCCGACCAGTGCCATGACCTCACTTAGTTCATTGTATAGCTTGGTGTCGTCCTGTGGGGCTTCGATGATCGGTTTGGGGTGCAATAGCCCGGTTTCCTCCTCCCAAGTCCATCCACAAGCTATGAATTTCTGCATAGTGGCCGGATCTCCCTGTTCGACAGAGGCGGGGTCGAGGCCGAGATAGGTGGCAGCGGCAGCTGGTCTGATCGCCTCATACGCTCTGCTGAGTTCCTTCAACGTCTTTTCCTGAAAATGAGCTGAGGAGTGTTAGAAAAGCGTCGGCAGGAGGAAGAGAATTCTAAAGGATATCTCGTCATACCGTCATAGCTTTGGACTATTGGTTTGAGTGGTTCCGACCATGGCAGTGCTCTCAGAATCGTATAGACTTGTTCGTATTTTCGTTGCCAAACAGCCCGAAGTAGATTTAAACAGTTCTGCAAGGAAGGATCATTCTGTAACAAGTCTTGTGGCATACGCTTCGTCGATAAACGAGCTTCGCAACTATGCACTACGAATTAGCTATTTCGCAACAGCCGGGTGAGCAACCACGAAGAAGCCGGGATATCTCACATTTGATCTGTGAGAAGGTGAGAGAAAAAGAAAGTCGAGTAGTAAAGGCTGAGCAGCTCCGCTTGTGTCGCATCTGAGGTTGAGAGGAGACATGCCTCACTTTCATACTCTGATAGTGTGCTGTAGAGCTCTGTCGGTGACTGAGCCGAGGCCACCACAGCCGCCAGCTGTTCGCGAGAGAGCGGAGGAAGATCCATGAGGTCGATCTAGAACGAGATGGGACTTGGGGATGGAGACTGGTTGTCGGAGGGCACTACGCAATGGCGGTGCGGGGACGTGTCGGAGGATTGCCCCAACCCGCAACGGCAGTGCCGCGGTGACTTACGTACCTGGCGCCAAGCCCTCGAAGAGACCACCTTGCGAAGCTCTCGCTCTCTCCATCCCCGTCCACGAACCACCTACCTTCCCTCTCATCAGCTCCCGGGGCAGGACGAGGGCCATTCGCTCACTTTCTTCCCAATTGGATTTTGACTTTTCTCCTTCCTGGCCATTATGGCCGAATCACCCCTCGATGTTCTCCTCAAGGGTAACTCCGGCAGAACCACACGCGGTCTTCTACGGATTATCATTCTAGCTACTATTGCCGCTGCCGCTGTGTCCAGTCGTCTGTTCAGTGTGATCCGTATGTCTCCTATTCCAAAAAGGATCGAAAAAGGGATCAATCGGGCTATGCCACTGACATTCTTTCCCTAGGCTTTGAGAGTATTATCCACGAATGTATGTTCCATGGCTCCATCTATACCCATGTCCTCGGCGGATCCGACATTCGACCCGTGTGCAGACAGCTTTATCCCAACAAGAATTAACACTGATGTGATCCATTTGCAGTCGACCCCTGGTTCAATTTCCGCGCGACAAAATACCTGGTCCAGCATGGCTTTGAGAGCTTCTGGGATTGGTTCGACGACCGTACGTCCTCTCCGCCCGAACTCAGTCAATCGTACTTCATACCGAGATTGATCAAGATGTGCTAACTGATGGTCCGGCTCAGGAACCTGGCACCCTCTGGGACGTGTCACTGGTGGCACCCTATACCCCGGTCTCATGGTGACCAGCGGCGTGATTTACCACATTTTGCGCTTCCTCACCATCCCTGTCGATATTCGTAACATTTGTGTCCTGCTTGCCCCCGGATTCTCTGGGCTGACTGCGCTGGCCATGTATTTCCTGACTTGCGAGATGGCGACCTCTCCCTCTGCCGGCCTGCTTGCAGCTGCCTTCATGGGAATCGTCCCCGGTTACATCTCTCGTTCCGTCGCAGGCAGTTATGATAACGAGGCCATCGCCATTTTCCTGCTTGTTTTCACCTTCTTCCTGTGGATCAAGGCTGTCAAGAATGGCTCCATCATGTGGGGTGCATTGGCTGCATTGTTCTACGGCTACATGGTGTCTGCCTGGGGTGGATATGTCTTCATCACCAACTTGATTCCTCTGCACGTCTTCGTTCTCCTGTGCATGGGCCGGTACAGCTCCCGCATCTACATCAGCTACACCACATGGTATGCTCTGGGAACTTTGGCTAGTATGCAGATTCCGTTTGTTGGTTTCCTGCCGATCCGCAACAGCGACCATATGTCCGCACTCGGTATGCACCTCTCTTGACCGTGCCGACGAGCCCTTGTACTGACGTTGCCAGGTGTCTTCGGGTTGATTCAACTCGTGGCCTTTGCTGACTTCGTCCGGGGCTTTATCCCCGGCAAGCACTTCCAGAGACTTCTGACGACCATGATCATCGTTGTCTTTGGCGTCGCCTTCGTTGGACTGGTCGTCCTGACCGTGTCGGGAGTGATCGCCCCCTGGAGCGGTCGTTTCTACTCCCTGTGGGACACTGGCTACGCCAAGATCCATATCCCCATCATTGCGTCCGTGTCGGAGCACCAGCCCACTGCCTGGCCCGCGTTCTTCTTTGACCTGAACTTCCTGATCTGGCTTTTCCCGGCGGGTGTCTACATGTGCTTCCGGGATCTCAAGGATGAGCATGTCTTTGTCATCATCTACTCCGTGCTGGCCAGCTACTTCGCCGGCGTCATGGTCCGACTGATGCTGACGCTGACCCCTATCGTCTGTGTTGCGGCCGCCTTGGCTCTGTCCACCATCCTCGACACTTATGTGTTTGCCACCAACGGCCCCAACCCCCGCGCGAAGGTGAACGAGGACACATCCTCGGAAGGTCTCCGCTCGGCCCGGAAGCCCGACGTTGGGATCACATCTTACCTGTCCAAGGCTGTCATGACCTCCTCCGTGGTTGTCTACCTCCTTCTGTTCGTTGCGCACTGCACTTGGGTCACCTCGAACGCGTACTCCTCTCCATCCGTTGTTCTGGCGAGTCGCATGCCGGATGGAAGCCAGCACATTATCGACGACTACCGTGAGGCGTACTACTGGCTTCGCCAGAACACTGCCCACAACGCCAAGATCATGTCCTGGTGGGACTACGGCTACCAGATCGGTGGCATGGCGGACCGCCCGACTCTTGTTGACAACAACACGTGGAACAACACCCACATTGCCACGGTTGGCAAGGCGATGAGCTCGCGTGAGGAGGTCAGTTACCCGATCCTCCGTCAGCACGATGTGGATTACGTGCTGGTGGTGTTCGGTGGGTTGCTGGGCTACTCTGGTGACGACATCAACAAGTTCTTGTGGATGGTTCGAATTGCCGAGGGTATCTGGCCCGATGAGGTGAAGGAGCGTGACTTCTTCACTGCCCGTGGCGAATACCGGGTGGACGACGAGGCCACCCCGACGATGCGCAACAGCTTGATGTAAGAACCCCGTGATTGGCTTGCCCTGGATGATCTGCTAACGGTGCTCACAGGTACAAAATGTCCTACCACAACTTCAACGCGTTGTTCCAGCCTGGCCAGGCTGTTGACCGTGTCCGTGGCTCGCGACTCCCTGCGGAAAGCCCTCAGCTGTCTACGCTGGAGGAGGCGTTCACCAGTGAGAACTGGATCATCCGGATCTACAAGGTCAAGGATCTGGACAACCTCGGCCGCGACCACAACACGGCGGTGGCCTTTGACAAGGGCAACAAGCGCAAGCGGGCGACGAAGCGGAAGGGCCCGCGTGTTCTGCGGACCGAGTAAAGGTCCGGTGTCGATAGCGAATCGGGTGTAAAATGATCCTTTTCTTAGCCTGTCAATTCCATGTTTGTATTGTCACATCATATAGGCGAAGCCGCGAAGTATAGAAGAGATCTGTTAAAAATCCGCCTTGTGTGGATACAGCGTGCCTACCGTTCATTGCACCGGTAATCCGATAGAGGGATATGCCTTCAACCGAAGAGATCACTGAAATAATATACAACCGACGAAATCACACGAGCAGAGATTTTCCACTTGAGCAACCACCATATACATACATCCATCTCACCCACTCACTCACTTCCCGCGCAACTCATCCCCTCATAGCCTTCCAATCAACAACGATGCAGACTTTCAAAAACGACCAGAAATATTCAACAACCCCCTAAACTCCACAAATACCCAATACACCAAGCATAAACTGACTGACTGACTGATCGATACCGGCAGTGGGATCTCAGCGCAATCGCAAACGAAACCAAACAACGCACAAACAAAACTTCCTTCCATTCCTCGAATGTAGACAATAAAGTCTACTTATTACTTCTTCGCAGGCGCATCCGGGACCTTAACATCCGAGAACTCATCCTGCCCGACGGCGCGGATCGTGTAGGCGTCTAGAGAGTAACTGTCAGTGGGCTGCGTATGTAGACATGGTGAACGATCCAATATCGGTATCGGTATAATGTGTAATCTGGTATGAAAAATATGAGGGGACGTGGATAACGTACAAACGCTCACGGTAAACGACACGAGGGCAAGACCGGTAAGGGCGTTCTTGAAGAGATAGGGACGGCGGGCGCGGAGGAGAGCGGCTCCGGCGCGGTAGTCTTTGCCGTAGTAGGTGGAGTTGAAACTGTGCAGTTACCAAAATAATTCGTTAGTTAGTGGATCAATCGGTCAATGGGTCGGTGCAATGGCTGCACTGGTGGTGGGAGATCTCATGTTTGGAGATCGGGGAGACTGGGTGAGGGGGTTGCGTGGGTGCGTGGGTGGCATGTCATGTCATGGCTGGAGGTTGGGAGGGGAGGAGGGGACGTACATTCCGGCGGGCATTTTAGGAGAGGATGCGATGGTATTGGGTCCGCGGATGAGGGTATAGGGACGAAGAGAGGTGGATTGCGTTGCGTTGGAAAGGGTCGGAATTTGGAGGGCGGATTGGAGGAGGAGGATCCGGTCAATCGTGAAAGTTGAAGATGATCCAGGGCCCGGGCTTGGCGGTCGACTCCGGCCGGAACGGAGCCGCGGGGATTGCCTGTCTAGTACGGAGTACGGAGTACTCTAGATATAAGAGCTTCTTTTCTTCTACGGATTTTGATATTTTGGTGTTCGAAAGATGGAGCATACATTGAATGGGTGTAGAGAATTGGCTATCTGGCCATGCCGTGGATTTCATTAGGTGTCGTTCTGCTATATCCGCTATATATACTCCGTAAAGTCGACGCGGCTCTGAGGGTCCCCAACTGCGAGACATTCATCTTCAGTTCTCACAACTTATCTCGTATGAATCCACAGTACTACTATAGTGCATCGATCAGATTGCACTCATTTGGCTAGTAACCTGCAACCAACTGACGAGGGACATGCCACGAGTCGGCATAACCATGTTATCTGAACGCTGCGTGCGACATAGACACCAACTCGATGCATAACCGGGCCAGTTTCCTTGGACATTCTTCTGATGTGGATAGACCCCTGGACATACCTGGTGGTCAAAAAATCATCATAATTTCGGTACGAGTCCCTGTCCATGCACCCCAGCCAGAGGTATCTTCAGTTCCACCGGGTTGACATTGATGATGGACTAGTTCCCTCGGACTCTGACCGACGCGGTCATGTAGCAATCCTGGTGGGCGGTCCACCCTGTCATCCGTAATTCATCGACCGATCATTGAACGACGCTACAATGTAGTCGAAGACCAATTGGCTCGGGGTCTTAACCTTTAGCAGCCTCATGGGCTCTCGTCAGCTCATCGTCTTTGTTGCATGGCGAACTCCGTGGTTTGACCGAGCGAGACCTTTCCATCATACAAAAATGTCCAGTCAGCACCCAATAGTCCAAGTAGGCCTTTCAAAATCATACCACGATGGTATCAGTCTTTGATTGTCCGAATGCAGGAGTTGTGTTCTGTGCAACTAGTCCACCGGGTCGTCCCGCTCCATCACGGCCGCAACCGCGAACCCACCGTGGTCGGCCCGAATGCTAACCAGTCGCCCATCCTTACGGTGCATCGCGGCCATAGGCGGCAAGCGATCCTAAGCGATCCAGGGTGGTTATATTAAGGCGCCACATCAGCTCTCTTTACCCAAGACACAAGTGACTACTACCGTCACTTGACTTATATCTCCATCTTAGTCCTTGGAGATGGAAGACGCTTGCGTTTCCAGTCCGCTGATCAGGTTATGCTCCCTCTGGATGGTCCTGCCAATAAAAGAGGCAGTCTTAGTTGTAGTCCAAGTATGCTTGCTTGCGCTCCTCATCCTTTCGTCCGAAGACCTTCTTGGATGGAGAAAATCCATGCCCTGGTCTCTGCTGGGACTGCTCGAGCCATGAGAGACATAAGCATACACGTCCGTCCCAACGGCTTGGATATAGCGATTGTCGGAGGGGTTCGCCCGCAATATCTAGCTCTGTTCCACAATTGTGGTCACGACGATTCGCTGCTGGCTTTCGTTGTCGAGACTCTCTGCGTCGCCCTTCTTTTGCCCCATAAGTTTATGGGCCCAGTGAGGGTGGCTACCCAATTGGTATCCACTATGGCTGGGGCCTTGTTCCCAGCCCCCACTCGGATCGGAGTTCTTGTTGCTGCTGTTCAGGCCCGGGATAGACCTGAGCAGTACCCGTAGTGAAGGGAGCGATCCGGTGATCAAGCCGAGCGCGTATTCGACGTTCATCAGTATGAGGGGGACAGCACCAACGTCTAGGATATGGTCAGCGGAGAAGCTTTACCCACGAAGGACAGATCGTACAGGTATAGTCGGTGGAATTCACTTGGAAATTCAATAGTGGAATGCGTGCAAGGCCGGCTCCACACGCCACAAACCCTTTATTCAGTTAGCTCGGAGTCGTTTAAGAGAATAAATGCCTTGAACTGACCGATACAGAATAGACCAATGATAAACAGGCGCCGCTGGACGGGCATTTGAAGGTTCCAGATGGTCGGTATCGGGAGACTAATGATGCTCACGTCGAACAACAGCATCAGGATCGCCTGATAGAGCTGAAGGTTCTCTAAAACGGTATTGGAGAAGCATTTGTAGTTGGGGATGGTCTTGTCCCACGTGGCACGCACTGGCCAGCACTGGAAGACCAAAGGAAGCTCTCCAGAGATCGTCACGACAGCCATGAGCCCCATTATTCCCAGCCCAACCCGTCGAACCCATTTGGTCGGGAACACTCGCATGATGAAAACCGTCAGGCTGCATTTGACAGCCAGAGCCACCCAGAGATAGAGACAGAACAATATATAGACATACTAGACACAGTAAGCACAGGAGAATTAAAGGCCGGGGAAGCACCAACCTTCTCCATCATGATCATATCTGCATCGGGAACGGTATCCTGATGAAAGCCAATTCCGTATGTTGTGAGGATGATGGAGAGCGCGGCGAATACGAGTACCATTGCCTGTCCTGCGCGGTTAGAGCGATCTCAAGTTCCCAAGCTCTATCGCAGGATTGTACATACCAAGGAAAGAAGCACGAGGTAGTCATCAAGACCGAAAGCTTGTAAGATGAACCTGCGCAAGTAGAGCTACAGCGATGAGTCAACCATGCCTCACGAATGTTATCCTTGTGCCAATGATCAACATACCCTAAGACAGCAGACCACCAGGGTGAGAAGACCGAACGCTCCAATGATCCCTCTCACGATGTACACCATCGACGGCCCAGGATCGGGTAGATGCGTTGGAGAGCCATTTGAGCCGGCCATCTTTCAGTCACTCGCTCTGATGACGTTTGGGGCTTTGGTTTGGTGTGCTCATTCGGGGGGGATTCGCGTGGAGGCTGCAACAGTAGGAGACACCCGCAGGAAGAAAACCTAGCAAGCAGCCCTGGCTGGGGTCCCTGTCGAGTTAAATTCAGCCACCGTAGCTCTTCATTTGGCAGGAAAAGCTAAGACCTGAGCAGGGCTCCTTCAGGCTGGCAGCCTCCTGCCTAGTCCCATGCGACCGACTGCAGGGAATAGCCCGTCCAGCGAGTAGTAGATAGGCGTTTAGCAGGGGGGTCAAGCCATGGTAGCTTGGTTACGCCCAAGTGGGCCAGCGTTAAGATGGTGGGCGAACGTGAGCTGTCATTCGATTCGGAGCAACCTTGACGGCCCACTTGGCGTATGGACGGGCCGGTGAGTGTCCCGTTGACCGCGGAGCGAGCCGCGGCCAAGAGGTAATCAATGCCTCCCTCATTGCCAGATTGCCTGGCACAGTAGGTAGCCCGAGGATGATCCCGTGTGGACCGTTACGTGCTCGGTGTTGTATGACGCTACTCGCTAGCGAGGGTTGCGGCAGTGTCGAACTAAACAAGTGCTGACCACACTTTCCATCTTCATAGTTAGCTGTTTTATTCCTTTACAACAGGACTGGCAGTTACGAACCACTTTAAAAGGGGCCAGGGGCGCGTGGAGAGGATGCAAGCTCTCAAAGGCGTGGTGCAAGGCAAGCCATTGGCCGTAGTTGACTCATTTGCTTCTCGATCTCCTCATCATGTCAGGTGTCTCAGATCTGCTGGCCTTGAGCCCTCTGGATCACATCCCCGCGAAGCTCTTCCTGCCATATATCTTGCACTTTGACACATCCGACAACCAAGCCGCCCTCTCCACCCTCCGGAAGGGCATCGATACATTGATCCTACAATTACCCTGGCTCGCTGGAGATGTGATCCTCCATAGTGCACCCAACGGTCCCAAGAACCGGATGCATATTGCGCCCCCAAGTATTCCGCTTTCTGAAGTACCCATGCTGCGGGTCAAGCACTTTGATGGCGACGAAGATTTCGGCACGCACCCAGTCCAATCTTACCTGCCCCTTCCCACTTTCATTCCCGCCTCCCAACAGCGACCGGTTCTCCGCTTCCAGGCCAATGTGTTCCCCAGCAAAATCGTTGTGGCCATGTCCTTCTGGCACAGCGTCTTCGATGGTACCGGGGCTGGTATTATCCTTGAAGCGGTTGCCGAATGCTGCAGGTCAGCCAACGGAGAGCACGAAACACCTCTTGCGGAGACCCTCGCAAAAACCCATGTCGACCTTCGTAACATGGTCTCGGGTTTCCCGTTTAAGTGCGCAACGCGGCTCGATCACAGCGTTGAGCTGGGCACGCCGGTTTTTGACCCCAATACTTCCACGGAGCAGTGGAATGCCATGGAGTGGGCTATGGCCTCTAGCGTCGAGACAAAGCGATATAGCTTCAGCCCCGAGAAAGTAGCCAAGCTGAAGAACATATGCACCCGGCTTCTCCCACAGCTAGAGTCCTCTGCGTGGATCTCCAGCAACGACCTTATTACAGCAGCGCTCGCTATCTGCGTTGACCGAGCCCTTCACCCAGAACGGGCGAGCAAGACCCAATCTGCCGATTTCCTCATGGCCGTCGACTTGCGCAGCCGTGTTCAGCCCCCACTACCAAAGACCTACCTGGGTAACTCGATCTTCCCCGTCCACGACGAGATCTACATTGAAGACGTAGCAGGCCAGACCGGCGACGATGCAGACCTTCTCCACCTGGCCCACCTGGCGCTGAGGGTCCGCACCAAGCTTGCCTCAATGGACGAGACGCTTATGTACAGCGCGTCCGCAGCGGTCGCCGATTATGATGACTGGACCAAGGTCGAGGCAGGGCCCGCAGGTATCATTGTGACCAGCTGGAGGGGCCTTAAGGTCTTTTCCTTGGACTTTGGGGCTGGGCTCGGTCACATTGCCGACTTCGAGCCTGGGCTGACGCTTGTCCCAGGCGGATGCATCTTTCTGCCGTCGCGGAAGTCGCTGGAGCAGAGTGGGTCGACGCCGACATGGGAAGTATGCATCACCCTGAAGACTGGAGATTCAGAACTGCTTGAAAAAGATTCACTATTCAAGCAAATCCTCGCATGATTCAGTGATAAAAGGGATGACTAGAATGATGTTCATTCATAAATATTGGGTTCGACCTGAGCGTCAGTGTGGGAAGGAGTCTGTGACAATGCCAGCAGTGCTGCAACGTCCATTCACATGCTGCTTTCTACTTCTATCCCGAGCCCGTTGCTTGCTTGAGCTCGGATTGCAGCTCCACGCCAAGCTGCGAGCCCGATCTGGGAATCCATCTAGGGAGTGTAATATAATAGCAATAACATCCGTCCAAGTTCTTGATTTCTCCGAGTCCGTGCAAGCTGGAAAACCGAGTGGACAGTAGAAGGTCCTGCAAGGATCAATTGCAGGAGATGAATGGTGGGATGAGGCTGCTGGGAAAGTCGCCGGGGAAGCTTGAGAGTGGGGAAGGCGGCCAGTCGGACTGGCTGACCGCTCACGTGAGGGAATCAACCGCCGGCCAGATTCCTGCGGCGGCTTCTCTGCATCCATTCAGCTTCACTGCTGCCTTTTCCTCTGTCTCTCTTCCCTCCATCCTTGGTTTCCTAACCACTTCTTCTTCATTTATTACACACATCTTCTTCCCACCCGAGTCTTCGTTACCTCCCCCCTCTGATCCTCCGCCGGTATCTCCATCTAACACGTTGTATGCCGCCTCGTGGGCCGATTATCTAGTCCTCGCATCCTAAGCCCGGTGCTTGCACCTTGAATGACCCCTCCTGCGTAGACAAGCTCAACCAGCTCCATCCTCCCACTGTGGATATCCGCTCTCTCCAGCTCGTTCTTCTTCCTCCCGCTGGGTCGGTTCCGCCGGCCACCGAACGGAGTCGTAATGGCTCAGTCGACCGACCTCGTCGATCAGATCGCCCAGCTGAACGCCGCCCGGAACCTCGTCCTGGGCGATGCCGCCTTCTACCCACAGATTGTGAACGGCGTCCTTCCTTTAATTGGCGCGCGTACCCGTCTGGAATTGCGACAATGGGGCGCGGAATTCCTGGCCGAGACCTTTGCCAGTCCCGCGCTGGCGTCGGCCCAGAAGGAGCAGCTGGCCCCGAAAGTGCTGCAGACATTGCGGGAGATACTGGAGTTGCCGGAGGGGGATTCCCTGGTCTTGAAACATATAGTGCAGAATGCGGCCAGTTTGTATCCGCTCGTGTTTAGGCACATGTAGGTGACCGATGCTTGTTTCTTTTGCCCCCTCGGGAGAGCTCTCGTAGATGGTCATATGGAAAGACGATGATGGGATTCCCTAGAGCGTCCTCTTGGGTATCGCACTGACTAACGTTTGACCTCACAGCATAAACAACCCGGCCGATGCGACGGCATGGGAGAACATGACGGCCATCAAGGAGGATATTCTGCGTCGATGGGACTCGTTCCCTTTCCCCGTCAAAATTTGTTGCATCAAATTCGTACAGCGAGTCGTCCACGTGCAGACACATGGCCCGATCGCCGACCCTAGAGTATGTACCGCAGGATGCTGCATCTGCGGAGAAGTTAATGACTTGCTTTCTAGCGACCCGAGCAGAACGAGACCTCGTTGGCCATTGTGCCGCGAAATCACCCCCTCCTTTCGCTCCCGAATCTGGAAGCAGAAGCGTCAGGTTTGTTAGATCGACTCCTTTCCGTCTTCCAGGAAGATTCAAGGTACATTGATGGCCGCCCCGATCCGTGTCAGCCTACTGTGTCGCTAACGGCTTCGAAGCGACCCCCTCCTCGTCAATGCGACGTTGAACTGCCTCGCCGTGCTCATTCGAACCCGACCATCCGTCGGTAACAAAATCATCAACGCGATTATGAGTTTCTTCCCCGCGAGACAAGTGCGCCCTCCGATAACCCCCTCTGTCCGGGTCGGGGTGAAGTCGATGGAACGGACCGCCAGAGCGGTGTTGATCAACATAATAAAGAGGTGAGGGAACATAGGCGCATGGGATTCTCCGGATGAAGTGCTGATATAGTTGGCCAGGAACTCGAACCACCCCTTGGTGGGGAAGATGCAACAGTACATCGAGCGATTGATGCAGTCACGTATCGAAGTGGTCGACGAAGCCTCTCGGAAGCGTGGCCTGCCGTCCGAGCCAACCGACGGACTCGATAACTCTAAACGGGCGAAGCTGGATGCTGAGGCGCCAGCCCTGGTCAAGATCCCCCCGCTTCCACCAGGCCCGACCAGCTATGCCCAACTCTTCACGCTGACCGAAGATACGGGGCTACGGAGCTTCGATGTGAAGCAATTACCCGTCGACTTGCTCGTCAAGATCGTCGTGCCTCTTCTGGCCCGTGTCGACCAGTCGATGATGAACCAGTCGATCGAGGTATGCCGAGATTACGCGGCTGAAACCTGCAGTGCTGACAGGACGCTAGGGAATTCGTATGCGGTATCAGACGATCCAGAAGCAGCAGGCCGCGCAGCTTCCAGCAGCAACAGCGGAGGCGGAGGATGACGATGACTATGAGCCTGAGTACCAGCCCATGGACATCCCGGAGCCAGAAGCCCAGCAGGCGGAAGCCGTGGCTGCTGAAGTCGCCGACCTCCAACCGGACTTGGTGTCTTTAGGGCCTTTTGTTCTACCTCAGCCACCGCCCCTGGCTGAAGACGAGGCGGCCGACATTGGTCGCAGCGCTGTTGGGAGGGTGTTTGGCATGTTGGCGTCTACCGGAGTCGCCCCGAACCCGGCGAAAGGAAAAGGTCAGCAGCAGCCGGGCTTTGCTCGCCTGGCCGGAAGCACCTTTGATCGCGACGCCTGGGTGACCTTGCTCACTAGACTTGCCACCCGAGCTCCAGCTGGTCTGGAAGAGGCAGGGAAAGCCGACAAGGGAAAGCCCAAGATATCCGATTCCATTCGCGAAACGCTCTACCGGTACATCCTGGAGGACTTCCGCGGCCGCGTGAATGTTGGCATCATGTGGCTGAACGAGGAATGGTACAACGACCGGATCCAGATGGAGTTCACTGCCCAGCAGCGGAGCGACGAGGACGAGGAGGCCACCGTTCCCTTGCACTATGACCACTGGGTCCTGCGACTCCTCGATGGATTTCTGCCGTACCTCGATTCCCGCGATACGAAGATCTTCATCCGCTTCCTGAGCGAAATCCCCGAGGTGACGATCCCTATCACTAAGCGCGTAGCCAGTCTGGCAAAGGATCCCGAGCGCGTGAACCTTTGTGTCCAGTCCCTCCTGTATGCCCTACCCTCATTCTGGAGGCAAGAATCAAAAGCTCACAATCACTTAGGTACTTGGTAATGTTCCGACCTCCCGCACGGGAAATGTGCCTCAACGCCCTGGAGGATGTCTACCAGACCTGTCAGTTGCATCCCCGCACTCTCCCCCAGGCAATTCCCCGCGCTAATCTTACCCCACACTCCAGACGAGGAATCCCGTCCCTTGGCCGGCAGAGTCCTCACCAGATGGCGACCCCAGAAATCCGACCAACCCCGACAACCTGAATCTCAGCCGCAACCCCAAGACCAGCAGCCACCCCATACTATCGCGTCCGAATCTAATACCCCGGTTCCGAATGGCACCGACGAATCGGTCCCGACCCCGCCCCAGCCCGCTGATGGCACCCCCGCCACTACTTAGGTAGTTTTGTATCATCTCGCACTTTCCAGATACTAAGCAAAACTCATGGATGATTCCCCAGTAGCCTGTCTCATAGATAGTCCAATGTATTATTGGAATACCCCATCGTCATATGATAACCCTTTATTCATGGCCGTGGACTTACCGTCGTATTTACTGTCTACCCTACGACGAACGCAATGTATAACTAGGAATTAATTCCGCTCGGATGTATTCAGCCGATTGATCACTGCCGGGATCGGGATCTATCCGAACCCTAATCTCCCATCCCATCCCATTCTTTCGATTGAAAAACTGATATAAAAAAACAAAAGGGATAACAATACGCTGACATTCATAGGGATCAATTGCAAGTTATGTCAAGATCAGGACCCTGATCATAATCATATCAGAGATTTACATTGCCCTCTATACTGTTCCTAAGAAGTATATCCCTAATTGAACTACAGAACGAGTACCTAGCATTACTATCGCTACGACTATTCTAATTGAGAAAAAAAAAAAAAAAAAAAAAAGAAAGAAACCCCTCAAACAATCCCCTAGCCTATCATACCACCAAACCAACCATACATCCGACACCAACCGCAAGGCACCGCAATCACAAAAAGCGACGGCTCGCACCCCGAGGAAGTCTACTCCATCTCCGACTCAGCAACCCCAATCCAACTATCCCACACACAGTACCTCCATCGCCGCGCTCCCCATCTCCAAATCACGGCCCATTACCACCCACGCAACAGACGGCTACTACATAGTACCTCGACGGAATCATCTACGTTCCCTCTTCCTACACCCCCGACGACGGACCCCCTCCCCACGATCCTCCTCCCGCATGGAGGACCCTACTGGCGCATCACCACGGGTTTTGCAATCTGCCATTGTCTCGAGGCCCCGGTGCTACACTCCAGCGGGCTATGCGGTTCCGTGTGTGTGTCCCAATTACCGCGGTGGGAAAGTGGGCGCGGGGAACAGCATGCGGCGTATGCGCGCGGGGGAGTAGGCACCGTCGATTATACAGATTGTATTGACATCCTCCGAGATAGTATCGCCCGGGGTTGGGTCGACCCGTCGCGGGTGATCATCGGGGGTTGGTCCCAGGGCGAATTTCTCTCGTATTATGCCGTCACGCGTGAGGATTTCCACTTAGAGGAGCCATCTGTGGGGCTGGGGGTAAGGGAATGGACCTCCATGACGATGTCGAGCGATGCATACTGGATGCAGAGTGAACTAACTGGCGGTGCGCCTTGGGATGTGGATGCGAACATACAGCCCGAATCTGGTGCAGACTCGACTACTCCCAAGAAACAATGGATCAGCGACACCAATAGTCGGAGGAGCAGCGCATTATCGCACATGCGTCAGGTAAAGACGCCCATTTTGATTCTGCACGGTGAGAACGATGTGCGGGTGCCCATAGCACAGGCCATTGCGTTCTATCGCGCATGTGTCTGTAACAAGGTGTCGGTGGAGATGGTGACGTATCCTCGAGAAGGGCATTTTATTGTGGAAAGGAGAGATCTTTGGGATATGTGGGAGCGCTTGAGGAGGTGTTGTGATCGGTATTTACGGTGACCGAGACCTGTCGAGATATTGATCTAGGGGAATACATTCATGGTAGAAGGGTCTGGAGTGTTAGGTACATAATCTGATGTCTGATTCATTGTATATGACCAGAATTGCCAAGCTTGTAATCAATTCATCCTTCAAATACAGACCGATCCAATTAACAGCCCTAATCGCCGCTTCAGCGGCGCTAGCCTCACATTCTACAAGGCCATCACTGGTCGCCAGAACATAGGGAATGATTGGGTTGCATCAATGTGGTATCATGAAGGATCGGTTGGTAGATGAGAGCCAATCAGTGAAGATATTTCTATTCTAACCTCCTCGCACGGCTGACCGCGCACTCAAGCAAATACCACAACGCCATGAAACTGTAGGTAGACATCACACCGTGGCATATGTATGTATCGTAAACAGCAAGTCCAAGTCAAACATGATAAAAAGATTGTGGAACATCAAACCCAGCAAGTATTAACCCCGATGCATCCGTTCGCCCATATTCACACATGCCCAAAGCAGTCCCTATCAACAGCCATTGATAGGAACCCGCACAAATTGCAAAATAGATCACTTGAATTCGTCCCTGTTGCCAGTCATACATGCCAATCCGTACATACATTAGAAGAAACACTCTACAACACCGGAAAGCGAAGCCCTGTACAATGAGATGTGGGGATCCCACCCCCGGAGATATCAGTCAACGTGGGTTATCGCGCCGCCATCTGGTTCGACCCGGGGCCAAGGATCCCCGCTGACTGATGGATGGAGTTGACCGGTCGGGAGGAAAGGGGTGGGGACGGATCTCGTTTGGAGGCAGCCGCCTGGAAGAGTCCGAGTCGCGCGGAGGAGGGTGAATAGGCCGCATTTTGAGAGGGCCCGGGCGGAGAGCGGTGGCCGAGGGTACTATTATACGGCACGGGGTGTGGTTTGCGTACGTCGAGTGGGGAGGAGCTTAATGATCGGAACCCAGATCTCCGCTCGGCCTCATAATCAGGATTGGCAAACGGCCCAGGGTTTTGAGGATGCGGTTCTTGATCGTAGGGGGTGTTGTTCGCCGAGGAGTTTTCGGCAATCGTGGACGCGGAGCCATTGGGGGCATGGATATCGACCACCCGTTTTTGTGCGGCCGGAGTCGTAAACACAGGAGCCCGGGGGTTCTCAAAAACCCGGCTCTGTGGTCGTTGTGGCATCTGCTGATGCTGATGGATGGGATGCTGCGGGTTGGCCCATGGGGTCTGCTCCAGGAAAGCCTCCTCCGCGGCTGTGCGGTAGACGCTCGATGACATGGCCGGCATGGCACCCCGTGGGAGCGTGGGTTGAGCTTGTGAAACGGGCACCCTCGGTTCAATGGAGATCTGCGTAGGTAGAAATTAGCCTGGGCGCTGCGGACGGATGATAGTGTGGTATGTTTCAAAGGACTTACACCCATCTTCTCCATATCCTCGTCAAGCTCGGATGGCCGCGCCGCCGACAGCGCCGGGGCAGCCGGGAAACCAACATATTTGGCAACCCCCGCCATGATAGACACCTCTTGATTGTACGCGGTTTGGTGGGCAATCTGCTGGGAACGGCGCATCGGGAACGGAATGTAATGCTGTGGGCTGACCTCGTCCGTTTTGAAGCGATCGTGCTGGATCGAGTAGAACTGCTTGCTGATAGCGCTCGAATGCTTTTCGCGAATGTCCCGCGTCCGCTGAAAGAACGTGCTGTGTGCTTGAGCTCGCTCAGCCATGCTCTTGTTCAAAAGGGCCTTCACCCGGTACTGAAACAGTGTTTGTTCGTATTTTATCTTGGTATCGCGGTAGCGCCCAATGCATTCGAGCTGCCGCAAGTATTCGGGATGTGTCGGGTTTTTCTCGTCGAGCATCTCCAACTCCCGGTTCAGTTTTGAGATCCTCTCGTCGTAGATTCTATCAGCCATACGATTAGCACGCGACACAGAAAGCACAGGAGTTTTATAGGGTCCTTACTTGTCTCGTAAAGTTGCAAACTCCCGTTCTAATACAGCTAACGAGTCCATCGCAGAGATTCTCTTGGCTGCTAGGCATGCAAATTAGTATTGGGCGGATTAAAACCGGGATGACTGTAACTCACACTCTTCCTCAAGTTTGGCGGCAGCCTCGCCATCGTCTGCATCTTCACCACGTTCTGCAGTATCATCATCGCCAAGGTCGTCGGCCTCTGCACCCGTCTCAAGCGCGCCGTTATCGACCTCGTCATCGGCATCTCTGGTTTTCCGACCCTTCCGCTTACCCTTCTTGGCCCTCTTGCCTTTGGTGGGAACGGCTGGTAGGGTGGACTCGGGGATTTCGTCGGCTGCGGTATCTTCCTCAGTGGTCTTGGGAGGTTCCTCCATTGGTTCAGGAGTGAGCACGATATCGTCCGGAGGAGGGTCGCTTAGATCGCTCTTGACTGAGCCACGGCGCTTCTGGGGCGGCAACTCTTCTTCGTCGACCTCGGTGCCCCCCTCGTCGCCGGACTCGAGTCGCTTGCGCTTCTTGCCAGTACTTTCTGAAAGAGCAGAATCCTCCATCCCAGGCGTCTCATCGGCAACTTCAGCGGCCCGGGTGCTTTTGGCGCGAGGCTTGCTGGGCGAATCATCTGCCACCTGCTCTTCATCATATTCCACATCATCGTATGTCGTCGACTGAGCCAGTTTGCTAGGACTCGGCTCATAGCCGGCCGCGCTTACGACGATGTTTGTTTTGGAGCGAATATTTGGCGAGTCCTCGATGCGCTCCGTTTCCGCTTCCGAGTCGTTTTCCGGCGCCACCTTCTCGGGCTTCGGGGACTCGTAATCGGAGGGGATATTTTCAGATACGTCATCGATTTCACTCAGACTGCTGGATCTATCATCTCCCATGAATGAATCATCCAGAAGGAGGTTCTGTTCGCCATTGGTAACAGCAGAGTCTGCTCCAGCTGGCGCACCCACCGAAACAGGCTCTCTGCTTTCGGCCACCTCCATAGTTGTGCGCGGACGTCAGATTGATCGACAGGACGGGAAAAATGGTAGGGAAAGAAGGATTGAGCGGATTTTGTGTGGAGGTTGTGGTTGGGGGACTTGTGGGGGGTAGACAAGTCAGTGGAGATCGGTAGGATCAGGGTCGTAATTCTAGATCAATGGAGAACAAAGCGTTAGAAAAAGTGAGAGACAACATGATATGACCAAGAAGACGCGGAATGGGAAATATCAACTGAGGGGAGGGAATCGAGGAAATTGTCGAGGACGAGAGGGGGAGAGGAGAGTTGCCAAAGGCGGTGCGGAGGTTCTGATCACACCCCAGACGGAGCGAAAGTCACTTTCGCTCCCGGTTTGGGCTCTGCCAACTGCGACGACCCAACAGCAACGCTCAGGGCACTGTTTCGGGCTTCCAGAGCCCTGAGGGCATCGCGTATGTCCGGCACCAACTATGTATCCGTCTGAAAAGCCTTGAAGAACATACCGTTCAGTAATGCGCCAGCACCGAAACTCGTAAGATCCCAGCTGCCGCGACCGAGTACGATTCCCTGAACCACCGCGGTCGCGGAGAAGAGACAGGGTCAAACCAGATGAGCCCAGAAGTATTGACCGAGATCGAGTGTATAGGGGCCTCGCGAGGGTCCGTGCAAGCCAACCGTCGTCGAGAGGGTGTCAAGGTCGAGGGGGTGGACGTCAACGCTCACGAAGCGGGCAGGACGACAGTGCAGCGTAGCGGGAGAATGGGCGGCATGGAAGAGAGGAGCATAGACGGTTGGAGGGGGGAACGTTGTAACCAGCAGAAAGCGAGCGAGTAGTGTGGGGAAAGAGGCTGGAGATGAAGACCACCAAGACTGAAGCGCTAGGGGAGCGATGGCAGCTTGGAGGTGCGAGGAAAAGAGGAGGAGGCGGCGGCGGAGGGAGAAGAACCAGAGCAGCAGCAGCAGCAGCAATGATGGAGATTCACCACTGGCCGGCCGCTTCTTTCGCTGCTCTCTCGCGGGCGTCACGCTGCCCGTATGCCGCCCGTATCGCGTTCTGCCGGTTGTATCGTTGCCGGGCCCCATGACACCTCACCGCCTTGGGGGGTTCGCTCCCCATCCTCGGTGTCATCCCCAATTGAAGGCCACTGGATGGCAGGGAGAATTCGGATCGGCTGGATGTCAACCCTAGAGAGTTCTGTTCGATTCTATCATTCTGACCGCATTTTCCTGTTGTTGAGACCCTCAACGTCTGCTAATCAGTTGGACCGCTATCAGTCCCCACGTGACTTCCCCGGCGCCTATCGCCAAGACCCCCCCCCCAAAAAAAAAAGGAATATCAGAAACAGAAACGCCAAGGCAGGGAATACAAGAAGCTCGACAGCGGAACGACTGTCAGCCCTCCCATCTTACATCTCATTTCATTTTTCAAAAGGGACGGGATCCCTAGATTTTTACCATCATGGGAAAGACCGATGCGTCTGTCCCTCTCTTGGGGGGGAAAGCCTCCATTGATCCAACTCTAGCTGCCTTGTTCGAGACGAGTGTGCGTAACACAACACCTATTTTGCCCGCAGTCATCTTTTGGACTAACATGGCCCCATGAGGCATTATTAGGCTGGCCCAGTCAAAGCTCCATCCATCCCGACCAAGGCGGAGAAGCGGGCTGCGGAGGACGATGAAGATGAGATCTCCGAACTGGAAGACGAATCTTCCCTCGAGGACGAAGAGATGCAGGAGGCTCCGGAAGCCTCAAGTGACGCTGGCAGTGAATCGGCTCAGGTAGCCGCCGAGGCACCCAGCCGGAAGCGCAAGAGGACAGCCGCCGAAGATGTCGAAGATTCATACATGCGCCGCATAGCGAAGGAGCAAAAGAAGGAAGATGATAAGCGACGGGAAGAGAAGGCGAAACGACAGAGGACAGCAGAGGGCGAGAAAAAGGACGATGAGGAAGAGTCTGAGGATGAGGGAAGCTCCGCAGAGGTTGAGGAGAGTTCCGATGAGGATGAGGGCAAGACGGAGATCCCGAAGCACGAGAGCCAGGCCGGAGACGCTGAGTCTAAGGAACTGGAGAAATCCAACCGGACTGTCTTCCTGGGCAACGTGTCTAGTGAGGCGATCAAGTCCAAGGCCGCTAAGAAGACTCTCCTCAAACACCTGGGATCGTTCCTCTCTACACTTCCGGAGTCTACGGGGCCTCATAAGGTCGAATCGATTCGCTTCCGTTCTACGGCCTTTGCCAGCGGTGGCCAGGTTCCCAAGCGAGCTGCATTTGCCAAGCAAGAGGTTCTGGATGATACGACGCCATGCACCAATGCATATGCCGTCTACAGCACCGTGCAAGCTGCGCGGAAGGCGCCCGCTGCGCTCAACGGTACCGTGGTTCTGGACCGCCATCTGCGTGTCGACAGTGTTGCGCATCCCTCCCAGACCGATCACAAACGGTGTGTCTTCGTCGGTAACCTGGACTTTATCGACAACGAGGCCAAACCCGATGACGAGAAGAAGAAGAAAAAGAGAGCCCCGGCAGACGTGGAAGAAGGACTCTGGCGGATTTTCAACGCCCACACCGGTGGAAAGAAGGAGAAGAAGGAGGGTTCCAAGAATGGCAATGTCGAGTCGGTTCGCGTGGTCCGTGATCGTCTCACTCGGGTCGGTAAAGGGTTCGCCTACGTTCAGTTCTATGATCAGAATTGTGTGGAGGAGGCTCTTCTGCTCGATGGAAAGCACTACCCGCCCATGCTCCCCCGCAAACTCCGCGTGTCGCGGGCCAAGAAGGTTCTGAAGAAGCGTGGAGACAGTGGCAGCCAAGGGAAGTCACTCGGAGAGGCCGATAAGACCCTCCAAGGTCGCGCTGGCAGACTTTTCGGTCGCGCCGGTGCGGCCAAGTTGAAGGCTGCCGCAAATACGTCCATTTCACAGAACTCCCTGGTGTTCGAAGGCCAGCGGGCCACGGAAGGGGCCTCGCGCATCCGGGTGAAGACAAAGAGCCGCGGCTCCAAGGGCAAGCCGAACAACCGGAGCAGCAAGCGTGCTGCGGCCTACAAAGCCGCCGGAGGGTGGAAGGGGAAGACGGCTAATTAGAGAGGGTCAGGCCCTGTAGTGATGTTTCTTTATGTAATTTATTCCCTCGGTGTACATCGGTTCTTAAAAGCCAATCCATGCGTTGTGTGAACTATCAGTATCGTACTATTGTACCTGTGGTACGGCAGACGTAACTTTGAGCCCAGGAACATGGCCATGACGTCATATCTCACTTGGCCCGATCGATATCAATCACGCCTCTCCTCCAGCCCAGGCATTTGCGCTCTCTGCTCGTTTCCAGGCCAGCATATGAAGAGATCGTGCAATTGCTTCTTCCGCGCATCGGGCGTCGGTGCATTGATTCCTGACATTGAACCGTGTCTCCCATTGACACCTTATCTTCCCCTCTCTCAATCCACCCGGAAGGCGGGGTGAGAACCCACGGTTACACCAGGTATCACCAGCTCGTTGGCCAACCACACCGGAGTCAGACTGGTGCCAGAGACTGTCCATTCGAGATGAGTTTGGCTTAAGCTACCATCTATCTATTGTATAACCGTTACCGGATTAGCCTATCTACTAGACTTTGAAGGCAGACAGTTCAATTCCATACTGAATCCGCAAGTCGGTCGGTGCGTGACTCCGTGGATTTACGGAGGGTAACGCGCATCACAAGGTTCTAAGTTCTCTATCGCAGAGCCAACAGTGGCATTCTCTATCTTTGCTCCTTCTTCTACTCGAGTGGCTCGCAAGCTACAGCCGCAATGATGCTCCCTTTTGTTCGTCGACTTCCTGGACATCGGCGACGACCGCACCCGCGCAACGACGGGTCCAACAACTCACCGGACGAGGATGGGCAGGGCGCCCCGGCAGAAGATGAGACATATTACCCCAGCGGGTTCGATGTGCTGAAGGTTCGGTATCTACTGCAGCATATTTGGCAATGGACAAGAGGCTCGCAAGAATTGTTGCCAGTTGAGCTTGTGGATATGATCGTGGATACAGCCGAGTACTGGGCTTCGTCGGAGTCCGTCATGGAAGGAGAGACTCTGATCCGGAGGGATCAGGATCAGGTGCTTCTGACGACATTGCCTTTGTGCTATGATGCGCAGGTATGTCATTCTGCATGCATCCCTGCTTGTGTGGGAGGCTTTTTGAGACATCTCTGCTGACCTGCAATTCCTTTCCAGACGTTGGACACGGCCTCTCCCAAACTGCTTCCATACCGGTCTACTCACCCGTGCCGTAAGGTCATCTTCACTATTTCATCCCACGACCAGGGCTGGGGAGGAGGGGCAGGCGATAGAGGCCAGTACGCGGGCTCCTATTCGTGGTTCGATACCGAAATCATCCACTCAGCACATCAGTCCTCACAGAACAGAGCCCCAAGCAATCAACCTCATCAACCAGAGGGTCCATTTCACTTCGGACCGGACCATCCTAACTTACTTCCAACTGCCCGGAAGCTACAGTCTAATCGAACCGCCGTGTCACGCTCGCAAGTGCATACCATAGTCTGGCATCATCTAGACAACATCGCTACAGACTCAGACGAGGCAGTAGAGATCGAACGTGATCAGGGACGAGGACGGGCCACACTGGATGGGAGCCAAGTCCGTGCTCTCGAGGTTGGAGATGCGATTGCAATCTGGGGACGAGCACGGTTTGCAGGGTGGGCGAACCATGTGCAGCGCGTGTCGGTGCGAGTGTTTTGGGCGGTCTAAGCACCGTCCATGGGACCATAGGGACGTCGTATACCTACGTAGCTAGAAGTTAGTTAACTATGCCTCGATGGCTAACTAAGCACCTATAATGCATTGTTATAATCAGCAGACGTCTTATCGTCGGGTGGATGGTCGATAAAGTCCCTGAGCCTGCCGAATGCGGCGGGGCAGCATCACCTCATTCTCCAAGGCGATCACGCAATTGCGCCAAGCCCCCAAATTCCGTCATCTGCGTGTCTGAATATAAGGTCGCTTTCTTCCTCCACCACCAACGACGCCGGTTTGTTCTCTCTTTTCCGGCCAAACTAGACGAGACAAACCGTCAATCGGTTCAACCAGGATTCAAGATGCCCTCTGTTCGACGGTGACCCATCTCCTCAACCTCCCATCGCCCAGCGTCCCTCCTTCATTCCCAGCCAAGGCGACAGAATGTGACAGCCGACGGAAAGCGGCTCAGGGGGTTTCCAGAGGGAGCCCAGGTGGGGCAGGCCGCAGTGATTGCGCAACAACCGAGCAGTCGTGCGAGAAGCGAGAAGCGGTGATACACCCTAGCTGAGCCAGTGAGCAATGCGGTTATCACCGCCTGACCGGCGGTGGCGGCGGCATGAGGTTTATCTCGCCCGAGAGAGGTTCTTCCCAGTCCCTGCACCGTGACTTGGTTGCTGGCCGGCTGATAGCTGACTGGCTGATCGGCCATCTGCCCATCAGCCTGCCCATCTCGGCCGTCCGGTTACTTGGCTATCTCGAGTGGTCATTCACGTTGCCCCGTCCGTGGCTTCCCCTCTCCCGCCAAACATGGCGCCGACGCTCGTTCGTCTGTTTCGCCGAGAATTACGCCGGCAATCCGTCGCTCCCCCCTTGGATTCTCTGCCCCCATAAATGCCTCTCCCGCCCTTTTGAGTTCTCGCTTCGATTGCCAGACTTCCCATCCCCAACTCTGTGAATCTGGGATCTACCCGACTTTATCTGCTATTGTCTTATCAGCCCGACCTGCCTGGGCATCGTCAGAATGGCTCAACCACAGAAATGTGCTGCTGTCGTTGTGGGAGCCGGTCCGGCCGGTCTGGCCGTGATGGGCAATCTCCTGGAGAAGCAACTTGGAGGGAAGATTGCCTGGGTCGACCCGTTCTTCCAGGGTGGCCGGATCAATCGCAAGTACCGCGAGGTTCCTAGGTCAGTAGCCAGAATGAGCTGAAGTCATCGGATGAGGAACACTCGTGCTGACTGGCTCCGTCGGTTTGATCAGCAACACCAAGGTGTCCTTTTTCCAGGCGTACGCCACGGCCGTGCAGCCGTTCCGCACCGTCATCAACAACACTCGCATCCCCAGTCCATTTTCAACCATGGCCAAACTCGATCAGGATAAAACCTGTCACTTGCACCATGCGATCGATGTGGTTCGGGCTCTCACCGACGGCATTGTCAAGATGGACCGCGTTCTGGCATGTCGAGGAGTTGTCACAGCTGCCAATCTGGCAGAGAAAGTCAGTTTACATGGAACTCTGGGGTTCAAGGTGTCCTTCATCACTAACCTCTCCGCCCCTGCATAGACTGCTACCTGGACTGTTCGAATCAGATTCCAAGATTCCCAGGATGAAGTCGAGGTGTTGACGTCTCGACTCGTCTTCTGTACCGGGTCGTCCCCCACCGAAGTTCCCATCTCCGTCCCAGGACACAACATCGAAAGGCTGGACCTAGATGTAGTGTTGAAGCCCAGTGACCTGGTGTCACATCTGCCCCGGAATACGCCCTTGACCGTCGCCGTAGTGGGCGCCTCTCATAGTGCCATCCTAGCCCTTCTCAACCTGATAGACTTGGCCCGCACTTCTCACTCCGAGCTCCGTATCAAGTGGTTCACCCGCCATCCCCTCCGGTATGCCGAGTTCATGGACGGTTGGATCCTCCGGGACAACACGGGACTCAAGGGGTCCGTGGCCGACTTTGCACGCCAGCAACTGGAAGATGACAAGCTGCCCCATTCCGAAGCCGGTCGGTTCATCACGAAGGTGGACTGCGGCGGAGGACACGAGCAGGCGCAGTTTGAGCGGCATCTGCCCTCATGCTCGCACCTGGTGCAAGCCATCGGATACACGCGGGACCCGCTCCCTGAGCTGTCCGTCAACGGCTTCTTATTGGAGCCCGAGTTCGACTCGATCTCGGGCGGCTTCCGCGACGGCAACGGCCGCACCGTCCGGGGGTTGTACGGCGCGGGGATCGCCTTTCCGGAGCGAGTGGTCGATCCATATGGCAACGTCGAGCACGCGGTTGGGTTCTACAAGTTTATGAATTTCCTCAAACGGGTAGTTCCGCAGTGGACGTCGTAGCTTGTCTGTTTTGTGATTCCCCTGAGCCCAAATGTGTTGCCGTCGTCCCTCTGGCAGGTGACCGGCATGACTTATGATGAATATAATGGATTGGTGTGTTGCATGATGAGTCTTAAATCATATTCTAATCTAAGTGGACAAAATGCATACCATCGACTCCCAAAACGAAGCTGAACAGTCGACTCCTCCAAAAGCCCACCCTTCTCCATGAAATCCAACAATCACAAACCACTTCCGTCCCTAAACCTGAATCTCGTCTGGGCCTAGACAGTAGACACATATCCCCCTCCCCTCCCCTCCACTTCACTACGTCATCCCATCACCCCCGCCTATCCTATCTTCAACTCCATACAGTATAGACAGCAGTAGTGACACCCACTTCAGGCAGAAACACTCCCTTAGATACCAAGTACATAATACTCCGCAGTTAGCCCATATCACCGTACTAAGAATAATAGCAAGAAAACCATTACGCAACCCGGCCCCCAACCTGCCGAAATGAACACTGACACTGCTTATTCTCACCCCACCCTCGGGTAACCCACCCAGCTACTATCCACCTTCAGGCAGACAATATACTGTGTATGTACTATAGATAGATCATTCACAAGATGACTCGTAGTATCCCATATAAACCTACAGTTACGTAGTTGACAAGTAGACAGGTAATGTAAGAACATCCGATTTATAATCATGAACAGAAGATTGGAAATCCAGATCACGGGCTCGAATGGATCTTCCACGGTATAATCACGATGGTTGTTATTGGGTGTGTGTGTGTGTGTGTGTGTGTGTGTGGTCTGAGGCTTAGGTGGCTATGCTATTAGAGGGATAATACGACATCACGTGTGGGTTAGTACTGTCAGCCGAAGGATTTGGAGGATAAAAAGGTGAGATTGATTGGGGAGTCATTGTGATCTTCAGTTTTCCGGACTTCAGATCTACCTGTCTATTCTTTTCAAGTTGCGATAATCAAATCAAAAGTCAATCATGAGTTTCACCTTCTACGACGGAACCATCGCGGTCATCCAGAGTACCCTCAAGTCTCTGACCCACGTCCTCCGCCAAGCCGAGACACGTCCCGATGCGACCGCCCTCCTCGAGGCCCGGCTGTACGAAGACATGTACCCCTTGACCGATCAAGTCCGCCTCGCGACCCAGTTCTCGGAGAATGTGGCCGCCAAATTGACCGGTCGGGAGCCGGTGGTGTTCGAAGGCAAGCCCACCACCTATGCTGAATGCTATGAGCGCATTGACACCGTGCTGGAAGTGCTCGGCAAGGCCGACAAGGATGTCGTCAACCAGCATAGTGATATCGTGTCGCCGTCCAAGGTGGGCGGGAATCTGACGATGGATGTCAGTGGCGCCGTGTATGCCCATACCATGGCCATGCCGAATATCTATTTCCATTTGACGACTGCGTATGACATTCTGCGGAAGGAGGGCGTGCCGTTGGGGAAGCGGGATTATTATGCGGGTTTCTTTCCTCTGTCTTGATTCAGTGAGGAGAATTTGGGGATTGTGGATGGTTGTGTCAACAGATCTGCATGATCAAGCCATGTGTATACAGTACTCTGGCGGTTGCTTTCGTGCAGTCCCCAGCTTTGGGTAGAGAACGCATCGCTGGGAAATTGAAGTTGGCTCAAAGTCAAGCAAGTCTCGCTCATATATGTATTCCTCGATGGCGACGCTAGGCGTGCTCGCACGATCAGATCATTCTGTAGAGCCATCAGTAGCGATTGTTCACTGTAATCTGTAAGGGCCTAGCTGAACAACCCCACATCAAACCGGCGTGTCCATTTGATAGGACATGTACGTAGCTTGCTCGTCGACGTTGAAGAGAAGACAGGAAGACAAAGAGAAACAGAATCAGGTGACCTCCATGCCGTCACGTCATGAACAGAACCGAAGGTGTCAAAGAAATGGTGTAACCTCAATCTCACTCCATCATCTACGTACCCCCGACGCTAAAGAATCCTGTCGCCTGTTCTGGGGCCTGGAAAGCTTGTTCCATTTGTGGGTCGGTTCGGATGCAAGAAGTAGATACCAACGGGCAGTGGCATCACGGCTAAGGATAAACTGGGACTATGTCGCTCTGGGAGACCAAGTCCGAGGGGTGTGTATCTAGGAGGATCGCGTACTTGCAGCGGTGAATACGTCACAGAGGTGCGTCGATAATGTATGTAGATAAGGAGATATCTGTGTTACGTGAGGATCATTTCCGCTGTAATGTCCATCTATCTATCTACTGAATGAACATACAGAGTACTGTATAGTGTATGAAACCCCCCAGATCAAAAACCGATAGGACCAACTCATAAAAGCAACCTAGTCTCTACCTACCAACCCGGAAGTGAACACGAACAACGAACAATCTCGAATGAAAGACATCCAATCGAACCAATCACAGCCCCAGGAATCGCAGAATGGATATTTGGCCGATCAGCCAATCCCACGGTTTCTCGTTTCTCGGACGCTGCCGATGCTAATCCGAGTTATTGAACTTTTGGCCAGTACACTAAGCAGGTGGCCTGGAGAAGATGCGCTCATAGCATTTATGATCCTATCGGGGGTAATATTTTTATATTGGTGATGGTCATAGAGGTACTCCGTACGGAGTAGATAGGTCCTCGTTCCTACACATCACAAACATACCTAGGTAAATGTGTAAACTCCTTGCTTGTATTTGACATTGGGTCTCAGGGGTAAGCATTCATTACCGACTTCCGGAAAAACTCTGGCTGCGCCCATGGAACCGTCGACTTACCCGTGATGATCTGTAGGGTACTCCGTACCTTGCAGGAGAAATCCAAGTAGGCAGCTAATGCATCCAACCCTTACCCTGAATGTCTCCGTTTTGTTCCACTCTGAACGTTTAGTCCCCTATATTTTCCCTTTCTTCTTGTCATTCCACCATCGACCACGGAGTATCTACAGAGTAGTCTGTACTCATATCGGGTTCACCCACCAGATGACGCCATCCCGATCCCCAAATCTTAGCAGTTAGCACACAACACCAATTATCAAGTACTAATCTTTATCTCACCTTTAATTTCCGACCGCTGCTGCTGATGATAATCAAATTAATTTCGCACTCGCTCCACCGGGGGAAGTGGACCCTTGGCTAACGGCCTGGTTGGATCATCGTGGAGCCCGCCAGTGGTCTGGATCTTCCCATGTCATTTAACGGGACTGCTGATGCTTCCGCGTGCCAGCCTTGCCTAGTAACCCGGCCTATATCTCAGGCACTCGGCTGTTACCTTCAGCGACTCTCAACTCCGTTTTGGAAGAGATATCCATGCCTACCAGTCCCTAGAAAATAGGGATAGACCTGTCCAAGGAGCCAAGGCACTCCCAGTCCCATCCAGGCCGGTCGAGATCCCGGTGGGCCGGCCACCACCAAGCAAGGCCCGTCTCCCCACCCCGTCAGAATCTTCACCTCCCCGTTTCATCATCCAGGTACCATAGGCACAGCTACACGGCTACACAGAAACACAGCTGTACACCTCAGAATCTGCCTGTTGCATGCATGAGACTAGTCATTCATTACACAATCCGTATCTACATACACCATAAAAGTCCCATCTCGAGACCAAACCAAAGTCGTAGTAATAATTAACATAACCCACGCCAGTGCCGACGGCACCTGACAGTGAAAGCCTGGATGTAACACTCTTCGACACACAAAGATGAGCCTCAGACATTCCAACAGGGTAAGCGAAGTGAAGGTTCCGACAAGGCGTCAGAAGTGTAACAGGGTGAACAAGAAGGCGTAAATAAAAGGCGCTCAAAATCTATGTACCAGAAAGTAAAAAAAAAGGTGTCTTAACCCGACCATGGAAATGGCAGCCCTCGGCCGGACGGGCTAAGCAGGACGTCGTGGAGAGCTTAGATGAAGGCAATGGCTCCAAGGACGAGTGCCATCATTCCAAGAGACACCCGGTTGGTCATACCGGCATTCGTCGACAGCGTGGTCGTAGTAGCGCTGGCAGAGCTCGAGCTCGCAGTCTGAGAAGAGCTAGACGAGGCAGTCTTAGAAGACGAGGCCGATGCGGAAGAGGCCGAGCCAGTGGTGGAAGAAGAAGAGGTAGAAGAGGTTGTGCTCGCGGTGGCCGTAGACAGCGTGGTGGCACTGGCAGTGGTGGACTGCTCGCTGGAGGAAGAAGAGGAAGAAGTGCTAGAAGCGGCAGAAGACGTGGTCGACGAAGCAGCACTGGTGGTCACCGAACCCGTGGTACCGGCAATCGAGAAGCGCGGGGTGTAGTTGACGATGCTAGTGTCATCATCGTCGATAATCTCGACGGTGTAGTCGGACCGGCTAGCAAGACTGGCAGAAGGAGTCCAAGTGAAGTTACCCGAGTTGGCGATGCTCTCTATAACAATTCAATCAGCATCTAATCCAACATCTCCATGAAGCAGCAACAACAGATACGTACCGGCAATGGAATCACCGGTGGTGGTAGTGAAGACAGCACCCCACTGGAGACGCAGGGACACAGTGCCACTGGTGGTCGGGTCCCAGATGAGGGTGGTCGGGCTACCGGCCTCAAATTCGTAACCACCGTCGGGGACGTTGAAGGGGTTCTGGGCAGCGGTCGCGAGAGTCGCGAGGGCGCTGAGAGCAAGATAGAACATAGAACGCATATTGATGGTGGGGGAAGATGTAAATGTGAATGGGGTGACTCGATACAAAAGTGGCTTGATATGCGATACGGACGTTAATGCACGATGCAAGTGTGGGTAGTACAAGAAGTTGAAAGAATGACTTCAATGCAATAGACGGTCAAATGAGTGAACCGGGTGAGTGGGGGAGAGAGAGACTGGACGACGAGAACGAAGGACGGACGTCGAATAGGGCAAGCGCACGAGGGAGGGAAGGAAGAAAGGGAAGAAAGGGAAAGAGGAAGGAACCACCGGGGGGAGAAGGATGACTATGTATACGGACTGGCTCTGGCAGGCTCAGCAGCGACGAGAGGATCCATTATTGCGGGCAGCGCGACGCAGGGCACAATAAGCGGGCGATGCGATGGATTGGATGACCCTGTGACTAGTGCCAGGCAGGGTGGATGCCGGGCCTTCCTGTTCCTACTTCCTAGTGTTCCTGCCTGCTGCTAAGAGCCTTCGAGCCTAGCGTACCGGGCGTACCTGCTGTATCGGAGCCCATTCACAGGATTTGGAAAGGACGGGGCACATCCCCCACCGGCGCTAACCTCTCTTAGGGTCACTAGTCCGTCGACTCCTTCTCTTCTGGCCGCCAGTCCCGGTGAAAGCCCGGTCCGGATCCCCTCATTCTCTTCCCACTTGGGCGGAAGGAGGGGACAGGGCTCAGGCCGGCCTCGGGCGTAGCGTAGTAGTGTGTGTACTAGTACTATTTCCACGCTGAGACCGGGGTCATTGGCGGCGGTGGTGGCCAATACTCAATAAATATCCTGATAGATCCGCCGCCTCCATGAGAAAGAACACTTTCGATTCGATTTATCTGCGTTAGTCTGGAGATCGAGGAGTAAATATAGCCCTCGATACGAAGAAGAGCTGGGCGAGAGAGGCCTTCAAAGTTCAGACTCAGGGGGAAGTCCAGCGCAATCCAGGGCACACAGGCGATCATTGGGCAGGATTGAAATTAACCCTCTCCGGCTGTTCCACCCCGGCAAACTTTGTGAGTCTGCCACGCCCTCGTTCGGGTCTAGCTCGAAGGCCGCCTGAATTATTCTGTCTGCTGACTACGGGTACGGTATCATTGTTCTGTACCTGACAGGATGAGGGATCCCCATCCCCGAGCTGACTGGACGGTGGATGCAGGAGCCAGATGATGATAGGTACGGACTCAAACGCGGTCCTCCGTCCTATGTAGTATAAAGAAGGATTCGCAGTCGGACCATAGAGCGCCTCTTATTGGACTGGGTATCTATCTTATCGTGATGTGCGCGGACTTGACATGTGGAATTGTGGATGCAGCCGATCATGATTATTAATGCCTGACTACGGACCACCTTATGTACGGATACTACGGAGTACGGAGTACCCCGTACAGAGAAATGAAATCAATCTAAGCCACCGACATCCCATCGAGATCCCTGCCCTTTAGCCGGCGTTCGCAGGAACCTCTTTGTCTCACTCTTATCGCCGTTCCCCTCCTTAGCAGTTAGCAGCCCCCGTAGTTCTCCTCCGGTTCTCCCACCACTCGCTGCCCCTTTCCTTTTTCAGCAATGTGCAAAGCTTCAAGTCCACTTGGTCGCCCGATTCGCTAAGCTCACCCAATCCGTTAAGGATTATCGGGTTCTAACCTCTTCATGCGCGCGACCTCACTACTAAGATGCGGTACCTCCATCCTAAAGTCCGAAATCCATCACACTACACAATTGTCTAGACGTTAGCCATTGTTCCCCTTCCGGAAGAAGGGGTATTGGTCCGCTGGCGTTCTAATCCTGGAATCAAGACCCACGGGTTAGGCATCCAGTATCCGGAGTACACAGTACTCAGTACAGAGCCCTCTCATGGAAAGGTGCATCTCGTCCGAGCGCCCATAAATCACACAATCAGGAACCAGGCACTAGCCAGAGGGGCTAATCTTTCCAAGTGCAATTCCAAGCGGGGAGGTGCCACTCCGGCCGAGCTAAGGGAGGCCTAAGCGAAGAGCAACCGCATCGCTATTGTTAGTATCTACTGGTTCGCGGCGGTGGCCACCTCGGCGCAGCTGCGGTTACATTCACCTAAAATTGCTCAACGGCTACCTGGTTAGTGCCGGGTCTAGAAATCCCATAGCATACCCAGGGAAACAAAGAGGCACTGAATGGATGAAGTCCGATGTGGGTCTGCTAATGCTAGCCCGAGCTTGACACGAGGTGTTATAATACTACGTGAGTCTAGCTGGGTATGTACATTGATTGCACCATGGCCTTTGAGAGTGTGGAATTACCTTCCGTATGCTACGCAGTGGCCACGGCCGCATCGGCTTCCTGCCCGGAGATGGTTGCTTCGGGTGCTGCCTGTTGCTCCTTTGCAACATGCTGCGTAGCTTCCACGCCCTCGGTCACCGAGGTTTGGTCGTTGGCGTCCCCGGGGTTCTTCGGTCCATCCAGGAACCCATTCTCTCCGAGCCATGCAATCGCCTCCATGACTTTCCGATCCTCCTCACCCTTTTGGCGCTCCAGAAGCTAGCAATCGTGCTCGTTAGTTATGTCCCCACAACACAACACGACCCGAACTTGTATCAGATGGGGAATGCTGGACTCACCGCTTGTAGAAGCCCCTTCCGTCCCTGTGGTGGCTCCGCTGGCTTCGCTCTATTTCCTCGCTCAGGCGCCTCGTGCAAAAATCGGCAGTTCTGCCCACGCGCGCAGCGGCCATTCCGAGCAAAGTGCCTGCACACCTTTCTCTTGCTGTCGCGGGCCGGTGGCGCTACCCGCTCGGGTCCCTCTCGTCGAGAGCTTGCCTCCTCCGGCGCAGAATCATCGTCGCTGTCAGAATCATCCGACGATGAGTCTGACCCACTTGACGACGTCCAGTCGCTGCTATCGGAGACATCTGAAGACGGCACGTTAAGCCCGTCACCCTCGCGAGACTCTGCGGGATTTCCAGCGTCAGACTTGATCTCTGTCACGGGCGTGGCGCCGCCGTTGTTCGTTTCAGTGCCGTCAGCCGCGGTCGACCCAGGCTTGACAGAAGTATCCTCAAAGCCTGTGCTTGTCCCAGCCGCGGAATCAGAAGTAGGCTGGACCTGAGCTTCTGGAGTGGCCAATGGCTGCTCTACATTGGAGTCTGTTGCTGCTTTTTGCAGTTCCTCGGCCCTAATCCTGGCCCTTTCAGCATCTGCCTCAGCTTTGGCAACACGCTTCTCTTCTTTCATGAGCTTTCGCCGCAGTTTATCCGCCTTCTGCTTGGCCTTCGCAGCGGCGTCCATGGGGTCGATAGGTTGCTCCTTGGTTGTTTTGTCGTGCTCTTTTCGATTCCGACCATCCTTTTGCGCTCGCTTCAATTCCTGCTTCCGCAGATCCCTTTGTCGTTGCGCTTCCTGACGCGCTTTCTTTGCTTCTTCCATGGCCTTTTTCTTTTCTTCCACTCTCGCTTGGGTCGGATACCGTTTCTTCCGCTCCTCAATCCAGGCCGCAATATCCTCCGATGATTGCAGCGTGGCGGTCTTTCCGCGATATGTGATTTGAAGAGATGCTGAAGCGCCAGCAGCTCCGGCCGCCAGCCTCGCTTCCTCGTCTGCATCGTCTTCCTCCTCGCTCGACTCATGCTCGTCAGTCTTCGGTGTCAATCCAAGCTGATTATGCTTTCTCTTCTTCTTTTTCGGCTTTCGCGAGGTATCGACCGGTGGAGGCGGTTTGGAGGGAAGAGGATTCCCAAAGCTGGGGACCGGAGGCGGTGCAGGAATTCGCGGCGCGACTGACTGGGGCTTCCCAAAGGCCGAACTATGGTCACGCTTGTTCGCATAGTTCGGTGGCCTGTCTCCAGTGGATGACTGAGCGTTGTAATTATTGAACGGGCGCCCACCGCGCTGAGGACTGCGCTGAGCTCCGGCGAAAGATCCTGCCGGCCCCGTGTGCTCAAACCCCCAGCGCATGGGTGGGCCCATCATTGGCGTTTGAACCGGTTGGTTGACAGGTTGGTGCGAGGTCATGACAGAAGGATAGGCAGGCCCCGGTTGTGCAGGCGACGGCGTGTATGTCCCACCATAGTTAGGCTGGCCTTGATAATGCGGAACACGCGCTGCTTGTTGCGCAAACGGTTGCGGGGCGGTGTAAGAGGAGGCATTTGTAGGATGTTGAAAGTTCGGCGACGCTGAAGCAGCGACTTGGGTTGTAGGCATGGAGTGCGGAGTATTCGACAGAGGCTGGGTGGTATACGCAGCGTAGTTCATCGGGGCGTAGCCGACGGAAGGCGTGGCGGCAGGATATGCGCGGTTGGCATCAGGCGTCATGAAATGACCTCCTCGGGCACCTCCCCGATTCCCGTATCCTCTTCCCCGGCCTCGAAAATGGGCCCCGGGAGCATGGCCACCTCGCTGGCCATAATAGCCCTGACCACCATATTGAGCTGAGAAGGTTCCATTATGGTGATATTGTTGCTGTTGCAGCTGCGGTTGTTGTTGTTGTTGTTGCTGCTGCTGCTGCTGGGAAGGAGGAGGGGGAGGAGGGGGAGGGAAAGAGAATCCCTGAGGGTTCATGGCGAGAAGAACCCAGTCGACCTTCAGAGCGAGGCAGCATGCACGCCATCCTCACGGCATCGCGAAGACTTCACGAGGTCGCAACTCATAAATGGCCGACGGACCAAGAGTGACAAACCGTCGTTATTCCGTTCCGAGCAGAAAGAGGAATCGCGTGCCGCTCACGTGCCGCTCCCGTGGGGCCCGCGCCCTCAGGCAAAAATTTCAGGCAGATCCGCGGCCTGCGATTGGCTGCCGGCCTTGCTGCAGTGCTTCTGCGCCCGTCTCGGTCGGTCGCTTTAGAGCTGCTAGTTGCTGGATATCTACGGCGAGATATATATCATGCCTCTGGGAATGTGGAAAGCTTAGCCCCCAAGGCTGCCGGATGGAACTCAATTGAATTGGACTGGCTCCTGAACATGGAACTGCGTCCCGACCGCTTTGATCATTTCCCCGACTGTCTGTCCTACTAGAATAGAAAAAAAGAAAGATCTTTTCCGCCGCCAGCCGTTGAGCGCTACATCGAGCGACTTCATCATGTTTATCCTTGTCAGTGATCTTTCGCTTTCTGAGACTCGCAGTGAATGTTGGAGTGAAAGTACGGGCTGACTAGTCTCTCCCAGACCACCATCTCAGATCTGATCCAGATCTCCCCGGAGGATTTCTCCAAATATAGCGCTGTGGCCCTCGAGGATAACATCAACGAGAAGTATGCCAATAAAGTATGTGTTAGCCCTTCAGCGCCCATCCTGGTGTTTCATTTCCACTCGACGCTGGCGGCGTCGCCAGTTGCTTGTGAGCCTTGTTGACCTCTTCCGGTGAAGGTCATCCAAAAAATCGGTCTATGCATCGGTTTCTACGACCTGCTAGAGTCATCCGATGGCCTGATCGGCCATGGTACCGGCTTGGTCAATGTAAACGGTAAGTTTCCTCTGTGATGGTGAGATCTCTTCTTTCATAGCAGAGTAGCTAATTCCGTCCGCAGTCAAATTCCGCCTGATCGTTTTCCGCCCGTTCAAGGGGGAGATCATGCTGGGGAAGATTTCAAGTGCTACGGAGCACGGCATCAAAGGTGGGTTTCTAGTCTGTCCTCAATCTAGTCCTATGCTTACTGTACCTAGTTGCCGTAGAGTTCTTTAACGACATCCTTGTGCCTCCGGATCTGCTCTTGGATGGCGCAAGATTGTGAGTATCCCGTCCAGCCTTGACATTTGTCATCGTACTGACGTGTGTTAGTGATTACGCCGATCAAGTCTGGGTTTGGGAAAATGAAGACGGCTCGACATTCTACTTTGATGTAGGTGAAGTCGTCCGTTTCCGTGTTGAGATGGAAGAGTGGCACGACCAGATCCCCAATGCTCCGGATCTAGGAGATGCGTCTGCAATTGAGCGGAAGCCTCCCTATTCCATCATAGGATCCATGCAAATGGCTGGGTTGGGCCCGACTTCGTGGTGGTAATGGCTGGCTTTGTTCTGTGAATACGAAGGCTTTCCGTGGACAGGATGGCATTGTACACTGTTCGTTAAAAGGTTTGTGTGAGGGTTTGGATATACCATGTTGGGGATTTACCGATGAAGATTAGCTACCCATCGTTAGACGAATAATGACATGATCTTGGCTACCATAGCTGTTTTCATTATGTCGGCTCGCGCCATCATGTCGAAATCAAGGGATGGTATGAGCAAGCCCGATGAACCATGGATCATTCATTGGTTGGCGGAGATCTGGTGCGGCCTCCGTGGCGGAACGAGGTCATCATGACTGATGTGTAGATAGTAGTAGTACGGAGTAGATCGTGCTAGTGTGCTATATAAGTACTATGTAGCTAATAGTACAAAGTACTCCGTGCCGTTAGTGGGCACTGCTGGCTGTCATTCGTCCGGAAGGGCGACGGCGATCCTGGCAGCAACGGAACGGTTAAAGGCGGCGAAGGCACGCGGCCGGTGGATGGCCTCGGGCCATTTTCTGGAACTCCGCGCGGGTCCCTCGCGCCCACTCGTCCTATAGATCTCCAGTATCTGGCCACCGCAACGTAAAAGAAACCCGGCATCAGCCAGAATTTTTTTCTTGGTCGTTCCTCTCGGTGTGCTCGTGCCAGTTTCTCTCTTGATCTTTTTTCCTTGGCTCGAATTACAAATCGCAACCCTAGAAAGACCGAGCGCCCGCCGTGCATATATTAGACGGTTGCGTCTTGCAGGGGGCCTGTGATCTCATCATCCACCTGTGCCATTTAGCATACTATCTACCAGACAGCGCGCAAATTAGACGGAGCGACTTGTTCTTTGTTTTTTCCCTTCCAGCATCCAATTTCCCGTTAGTCTTTTTTTCTCTCCCCTCCTCGTCACGATGGTTGGCACCGAAATTCCCGCCCAGAACGGCGCCTCGACCCCTCAGGATCGCCGCTTCGGAACTTTGGCCGTCCACGCCGGTGCTCCCCATGACCCTACCACCGGCGCTGTCATTGCCCCGGTCAGTTCGCACTTCTATTTTTTCAGGTCTCCGGATGCTTCTTCCGTGCACAAGCTAACTGGCGATGTAGATCTCCCTCTCCACTACCTTTGCGCAAACCTCCGTCGGAAACCCTGTCGGTCTCTACGAATACACCCGGAGCTCGAACCCGAACCGGTCAGTAGAAAGACTTCGCCAGGGCTGGGATACTTGCAGAGATGTTGACTGTAGTCCAGGGATCACTTTGAGCAGGCCATCGCTGCTCTCGAACACGCCAAATATGCCCTAGCCTTCTCCTCCGGTTCCGCAACCACCGCCGTCATCCTCCAGTCCCTGGCGGCGGGCTCGCACGTCGTCTCCGTTTCTGACGTCTACGGTGGAACTCACCGGTACTTCACCAAGGTCGCTTCTGCCCATGGCGTCCATGTGACCTTCTCGCCTTGCATCGAGCTCGATGTCGAAGAACTGATCCGCCCTAACGAGACGAAGCTGGTCTGGATCGAATCTCCCTCCAACCCGACGCTGGGCCTGGTCGATATTGAGAAGATTGCTGCGGTTGCGCACAGACACGGTATCCTGGTGGTGGTTGACAACACCTTCCTGAGCCCCTATGTTCAGAATCCTCTCGACCATGGTGCCGACATCGTGGTCCACTCCGTCACCAAGTACATTAACGGCCACTCGGTAAGCTCAGAGTCGTGTGTTCATCCCGGAAACACTTGCTAACTGAGAAATAGGATGTCCTGATGGGCGTTGCTGCCTTCAACTCCGACAGCCTGAAGGAGCGTCTTGGTTTCCTCCAGAACGCCATCGGCGCCGTCCCCTCCCCCTTCGACTGCTGGCTCGCCCACCGTGGTCTCAAGACCCTCCACCTGCGTGCGCGCGAGGCGACCACCAACGCGACGGCTGTCGCCAAGGCTCTCGAGGCCTCTCCCCACGTCATCGCTGTCAACTACCCTGGCATCGACTCTCACCCCCAGCGTGCCATCGCTATCAAGCAACACCGCCAGGGCATGGGTGGTGGTATGCTGAGTTTTCGTATCAAGGGCGGTCAGGAGGCCGCTCATCTCTTCTGCAAATACACCAAGGTCTTCACTTTGGCAGAGAGTTTGGGAGGTGTCGAGTCTCTTTGCGAGGTTCCTTCTTCCATGACCCACGCCGGTATTCCCAAGGACCAGCGGGAGGCTGCTGGTGTCTTCGACGACCTTGTCCGCATGTCCTGCGGTGTTGAGGATGTGGAGGATCTCCTGGCCGATACTCTTCAGGCCCTTGACAAGGCCGTTGCCGCCACTAAGGTGGGCAACGGAACTGCTTAGATATTTGAGATTTTTGTTGCACTTTCTGGGGACACTACATAGAGCGTTCTACGTTATAAATACATGTAACGACGATAGAGGGGCCTGCTCAACGCATTTCAACGGGCTCAGTCATGACTTCAAACTATTCAATCCATTTTCAATAAAACATAATTAAACAATGTTGCCAGTAATGAAATCATCATATTCTATTAACTATAGCATATTTGATACATCATCCATGTGGTTGTCGCAGAAGCGCGGTGCTTAGTCATCCATGATATGGGATTGCAAAATTTTGGACGAAAGCTTCAAGCCTCTGGATCCAGCCATTGGCGAATCGATATTAGATTGATCGTCTCTAGGACATAACAGGCAGTTGCATCACTTGGGGCGCATTGCATTCATTCCTCCCATTTAGTCTGCGATTGGGACAGCGAGTTTCTTCTTTGCGACAATCTGCACTTAGACTATAAAATACCCCACCTCGTTGCCAAAGAGTTGCTTGGACACCGTCTTTTACTGCTCCAGGCGTTGCCGTTACAAAATATACATCTAACCAAGGTCTACTACTCGTACCTCGGTTTTAATAGCTACATTGTCAAACTTTTTCGCTGCATCATGGCGTCCACATTCAGCTTCGGGTTTGCGGGGGACGATATCGACATCGATGACACCGAGGTTAATGAGATCAACGAGACGAACAATAACCAGAGCCTCAATGCTGGGGCTGCACTGCCGGAGCTGATTGCGGCTAAGAAGCATGATATGGCTGAGTGGGTAAGTCTAATGACCTGATATACATTATGATATATATCCTTTGGGATCATCAATCTACCTATTGTTCCTTGTACTTGCGAGAACGCTCTCCTCATACCCCAAAAAACTCACAATATCCGTTCATGACACCTTCTAACGCTTGTACAGGTCCCGAGTATCCCCTCGCAAATCTCATTCAACAAGCTCAAGCTTGCAACCAAGCCATCCCAAGATGGCAACACCGGAAAACCAATCACGCTTGCTCGTCGGGAAGTGTTCGATATCCGGACCCAACTGATGGCCGAAGACACCTCCGACGAGGATAACGAGGAGCTGATTGCCGGTCTCGAGAAAGGCGACATCAAGCCCAATTTCTACGAAGGCGGATTCAAAACGTGGGAATGCGCCGTGGACTTGGCCAAACTGCTCGTGGACTCCGAGGACGTACCACAGCCCAGTCAAGACCGGCATATCATTGAGGTATGACTCACGTCTTACATTGCTCTGCATTGATCTACATGGATATTGACATTATGGTCTACAGCTCGGTGCCGGTACCGCCGTCCCCTCACTCGCGCTCTTCGCGCAACTCCTATCAGAACCCTCCTCATCACAACAAAGGACCCATTTCACATTCGCGGACTACAACTCCGCTGTTCTTCGTCTCGTCACATTCCCCAACCTCCTTCTGACCTGGAACTACATCATCTCACGTCAGCAAGCGTCTGATTTGCCAGACGATGGCGCCGCCGAGGCAGAGGAGGAGGAACTCGACATCACGCCCGAGCTCGTACAACGCTTCCGGGAGGATCTCGCCAACCGAGGCATCACGGTGGATTTCATCTCGGGGGCCTGGTCTCCGGCTTTCGTGGACTTGGTGTTTTCGTCTGACCAGAGAGGGAAAGGCAGAACGTTGATCCTTGCGAGTGAGACGATCTACTCGCCTGCTTCGCTGTTGGCGTTCTCTGAGACGTTGCTGGCCTTGCTGCGGAGGTCGGTGCAGGAGGGGGCTCAGAGTGGGGCATTGCTGGCGGCGAAGAAGGTCTACTTTGGTGTTGGGGGTGGGGTGGATGAATTCCTTGCGGTGCTGGGAGGGGTGAGTGGGAGTGAGGAATTGAAGGTGGAGGAACGATTGGATATCAAGTCTGAGGGTGTTGGGAGAGTGGTCTTGGAGATTGCTCTTAAGCAGTAGCGGGAGCTTAGATAAACATGCAATCTGATTGGTTCAGCGGGTGATCACGAGCAATGGAGCCAAACCTGATCGACACAGGGACCTACAGTACCCCGTATCATTCGCACTCCGAGATACTTGAGATGGTTGCTTGCTTGCTAGACTATAGAGGCGAACAAAAGCAACAGACGACACTGATGGAACGGAAAAGAATGAACCTTGAACTCTGCCTGGTTATATGTACAACAAACAAGCCCTGCTTCCCATGTCTATTACCGACATATTCATAACACAAACAATGGAATCAAATTTTGTTGTTTGTCTACTCGTAAAGAGACTCGACCTTGCCGTCCTTCATGCGAGCCACACGGGCCGCCTCAAGCTCCTGGTTCTGACGCTGGTAGTGAGCGACAACATGGCTCAGATCTGCGTTCTGACCGGGGGAGACGTTGTAGGGGGGGATCGCGTTGAAGCTGACCCTATAAGCAACAATCGGGTTAATTATTATCATTCGACATAGCAATAGAAATAGAGGGGGGTCATCAAGGCAGCAACATACTCAGGCTGCTTCAATTCAAAGGTCTCCCGGGGACCCTGACTGGCGAACAAGTGGCGGTCACTAGCAGCCTTCTCCATCACCGCCGTGCGAATGGCGTTTCTCTGCTCAAAGACCTGCTCCGAAGGGGTCCACTTCTGGATGAGGTTGGAGATCCATGAGGGGGAGCCCGACTCCTCGTTGGCCTTGGACAGTCGGTACAGGACGTAGCAGGACGCGAAGGTGCCGATGGTGACGTAGAAACTGCGCTGTATCATGCGTAAAACCGGGCATTAGTCATGGGTCCATTCCATCGTGAGATGAGTCGCCGGTCGATGAAGGGTCGCTTTGCGCCCATTGGAGGAGGGGAAAAGGCAGGCAGGGAAACGTACGCCGAAGCTCTCGTTCACAGGTGCGGCATGGTGAGCAGCGTGGGAGTCGAATCGCCGGGGCTGCTGGTTGCGCAGCGCGAGCCGCGCGGAAGCCACCGATCGCCGGGCGAAGAACATGGTGTGGAGGTAGACAATTGGCAACGGCGGATCGAGTATGATGTCGTCGCCGGGGATTTGGGGAGGTTGAAAGCGCAGAAGGCGGTTCGAGGCGGAGAGCACGTGATTTGTATTGCTGGATTAGGATTAGGGCAGGCTGGCTGGGCCGTTACCTGTCTGGGATTAGCTGTCTCATGGTCAATCCCGTGATTTGAATAATCACCTGATCTGTGGTCCCCGCTTGCCTTACGTAAGCACAGGTATGGCCCGGCCAACTCATGGTCCTGAGTGGTCCGTTCACCCCCAAGTCCGTCAACTGTCAATCTTACACTTCCCGCAGACAGAGGGAGACTCGGACAGTACAGGCAGCGCTTCCCCTGGGCCTCTCCCCCCTCTATCGGCCTAACTAAGGCCTGCATGTCGGTCAAATGAAAATGACTCTTAGGCCCTCCCGACCCTCCGATCCTCGCCTTGCCTGCAGCGTGGGAGGGATCATGGAATCCTCGCCTTGAACGGGGTTGGGGAAATTGTGCATGGACCCGACGGCGGGTCACTGTGTGTTGGCTCGTCAATGCTGATTGACGGTGCTCTCACACCGCACCCTGGGTGGTCCTGATGCATGGCTAACTGCCTCACTTCAACATGGCGCTCCCCACTGCCTGCGATTAGCGCGGCAGTAATTGGGTTTCAGGTCCTGCCAATTCATGTGGGCTCCTAAACGTCTGGATATCAACAGCGACATGTCATCGATCGGTTGTTAGCGTTGTCCACCCCCCACCCATAGGCCTTGCCCCCTTCTCTTCGGCGGTGTTTGAGAGAGCTCAGGCTACGCTGCTGGAAATAGCATGTTCGAGGTCGCTTTATCCGCCGCTCGTCTTCTGATTCATCCTGCCACCCCCGAAGATCGAGTCATTGATGCCCAATGCTGATGCTTCCGCCTGTTGATTGGGTCCGCGACGAGTCCGAACTCGAATGCTTCGGTCCACTCCGATGGCCCCCTTCTTGCACCCAAAGCTGTTCTCTTGCCTTTCTCGCCTAGTTGGACCCTCATGACTCCTATGATGGATGGGTATCAATGGTTCTCTAAGGTTCGGTCCGCGTTGCGCCTCGCCCAGCCCCCCTGAGGCTGGCCCGGAGTGCTTTGTACCATGCACTTTTTCTTGTTTGGGCGTGACTGGGAACCGGTTATTAGCTGCCCTCTTTTTCCCCAACGTCGCCTCTTCTCTTGAATCTCATTCCTCAGAAATCAACATTCTTAAGAGCCAGCGTGTGGAAATCCATCCTGGCTTTCCGGAGTGTCTGTCTGCTGGCAAACTCGCCATTCGACACCCGGTGATTTGTCTTCGTGTATTCCAACCATTTGCGCCCACTTGCATAGATTCCGCTCTCCGGGCTTGAGCATTTTCCATTTCTCCCTATTTTCCTAATTTTTTTTCCTTCTCTTTTTCCCCCCTCCCATTATTTTCTGCCTGACCGTGTGACCACCTACCGTCCCTGTCGGGCCCCTGCGTTTCTCTCCGTACCCATATCAACTCGGAATATATCACGCCGCCGCCGAACGCGCTTGTACATGTACTGTGTTAAACCCACAGCCACCCAATCCAATCTCCGCTGACAGAGTCACTTTCTTAGCCTACTGGGAACACGTCTGTCAGCCTTACTCTAACTTGGGCACGCATCACTATTGCCCACCATGCCGAAAAAAGGCAAGTCCGGTAGCAAACAAAAGAATAAGAAGGTCAAGAACCAAGAGACCTCTGGGAATCCGACACCTCAGCCGGACCCTTCTGCCATCGAGAAAGAACAACAACTAGAACAACAAGAGACACCTCAGCCTGAGCTATCTATCCCCGAGCCAGAACAACAACCAGAGCAGCGGGAACAACAGCCAGAGAGTGAGACACCTCAACCAGAGCTCCCCACCCCGGAGCAAGAGGGTGAGCCAGAGGGCCAGCAAGACCCGCAGCTAGAGACCCAGCAGCCCGAGGTCCCCACTCAAGAGCCAGAGCCAGAGCCAGTGCCAGAAGCAGAACCGCAGCAAGTAGAACCACAAGACCAAGAGCCACTGACAGCTCAGCTCGGGGAGACCCCCGAACCAGCAGAACAACAAGAGGGTCTGCAAGAACAGCAAGACATACAACCTGACGAGCAGCAACACGAAGAACCACCTACTGAAGCTCACGCTGAACCTCGAACTGAAGCTGTGGCTGAAGCTGACGCCGCAGCCGAAGCGCCGGTCGAATCGCAGCCAGCCGAAGCAGAGCCGGTGTCTGAAACCGTACCAGAACCTGCACTAGAACCGGAACTGGAGCAACCACAGGCTGTCGTCGAGCAAGACTCGACTGTGCCCGTAGACGAGGCGCCAGTCCAGTCGCCGGTGAACGACGAGGGTGGGTTCGAGCAACCAGCCAGTGATGAGCCCGCCCCGATCGAGCAGCCGGACGTGAATGATGCGCAGACCTATTTCGAACAACCACCAGAGTCGAGCTTGGAGGAAATAGGCACATCGGAGCAACACGCGGGAGACGCTGAAGTGAACCACGAGAACAACCCTTTCCTAGCGGAGCCTAACGCCACTGCTGAAACATACGAGGAGACGCCAGTCACAGCACCACAGACACCGCTCGATTCTTCATTTGTCCCGGCCCCATCGTCAGACCCGTTTGAGGAACCACAGCCTCCGGCGGAAAGTCAATTCGTGGCAGCATCGCCTCGCTCCAACGCCGGAGTTCCAGAGATTGACTCGCATATTCCTGCAATGTCTGAGCCCTTTGCGGACGCCGTGTACGCCCAGCCTACTCCTCTGTCTGATTCGTTTGCCCCGTCAACCACTCCGTCCATCTCGAAGCCTGCTTCTCCGATTCCCCAAGTGGGTTCACCCATTCAGCGAACCGCATCACCGTCCTTCAAGTCCATTTCGCCTGCTCCGCAGAGCGCAGCTGCTACACCACGTGCCACTTCACCTGTGCACCAATCTGCGTCCCCAGTTCGGGCTTACGCTTCTCCTGTGCAACAGTATACCTCGCCGATGGCCCAACCCGCCTCGCCAGTACGGGAAGCTACGGTTCCGTCTCAAAGGAGCTCCTCTCCCACACCGCCAGCCGCTTCTCCTGTATTTCAATCAGCTTCACCCGCCGTGCAACCAATTTCTCCAGTGCAGAAGGTTGCATCACCCGTGCAAAAGACCGTATCACCTGTCCAGAAACACGTCTCTCCTGTCGCAAAGCCCGCTTCCCCTGTTCCGAAAGTCAGCAGTCCTCTCGCACGTGGGCACATGTCTCCGATGATGTCCCCACAGACGGCTCCCCCGCCAATGGCGGCGCGGATGCCCCCTCAGTCTGCCATCCCGCCATATCCCCCCTCTTATCATTCACCTATCATGAGTGCCAATGGGTACTTGCCCCAGTACGCTTACTACCAACCCTCCCCGAACATGCACCCCACCCCTCGGGGCTCCATCGACCCTGGCTCGGCGGCTTCCTTCCAGGCCCTTCGAGACCTGGGCTTCGCCGCCAACGGCCATGGCCTCAATGGCAAAATGGGCACGATCTCGCCCCCCCATGAACACCATGAGGAACCCATTGAGCTGCTTCAGAGGATCCAGGATGCCATCCCCGACATTGGCCGCTTGCTCAGCAGCTACAAGACCACCAAGGGCAAGCTGCAGGCGCGGGAGGCGGAGTTTAAGCAGATGGAGAGTCAGCATGAGCAGGCCTTGATGCACAAAGACTTCTACATCGAGGCCCTGCAGAATCAGATGCGGAAGACAGCCAATGAGAGCGCGGAGGAGTCAACCAGGTTGAAGAACACTATCAATGAGCTTCGCATGGAGCTGGGCAACCTGGATGAGAAGACAAAGGACCTCGAGGAAAGGCTGCTTGATACCGAGAAGGCCAATGATGAGCTTTCCCAGTCGAAATCCGAGCTCGAGGAGAAGGTCCGGACCCTGAACACCAACCTCCAAGAGGCACATGAGACCTATGATAGAGACATGGAGACCGCCAGACAGGACAAGGCGGATTCTCTCGCCACTCAGAAGCGGGAGCTGACGGAGATGTTCGAGGAGATCAAGGCGGAAGATGAGAAAGCCGCAGCAGAAGCTCTAGCAGCACGCGAACGTGAATTGCTTGACCAGCAGGAGGCGATGAAGAACGACTACGAGAACCAGAAGCAACAGATGCAGGAGGCGCATGACGCACTGCAGGCCGATTTCGACTCCAAGGTGACCGAGCTGGGCTCGACCAAGGAGGAACTTGACACCCGAACCAACGAACTCGCCGACAAGCAAAAGGAATTGGAGAAGACGATTGAGACGAATGCCAGGGAGATGGAGGATCTCCGACAAGCCCACGCTAGCGAAGTCGAGTCCCTTAACAACAGCCACGCCGAAAAGGTGGCTGAGATGGAGAAGGAACACAGTGACAAGCAGCAACAATGGGCGGATGAGAAGGCGGACTTGGAGACACGGCTTGCGGACAAGATCCAGGCCTTGGAATTCAGCGAGAAGGAGAACAAGAAACTGGAGGAGGACAATGTTGTCAAGGAACAACAGGTCCAACATGCGGTGGATGGAATGCGCCTCACAATTGACAATTTGGACAAAGATTGCGAAAGGCTGAGAAAGACCCTTCACAGCCTTGGAGAAGCCACTGACCTCAAGAGCACGAAGGGTGATTCTTTCTTGTAAGTGACCCAGTGCATTGAGAATGTGTTTTAGTACCCGACTTTCGTTTATGACCTCTCCTCTTTTCATTTCCTTTCCTATTGCATCATCTATCTTCGCCTTTTAATTTCGACGTCATGTTTGCTTTTGATTCTGTTCTCTTCTTTTCTTCCTGCATCAAACAGAACCAGACTACAATCTTTTGTTCTCTTTTTCATTTCCTTTGTCTGTCTCCTGTCCCTTTTTCTATAGACTGATCATGATGACTACGATGACATGTTGATAACGCTATAAATGTACGTGCTCTGATAAATATTCTCCCAACTCTAGTTTGGACTGTTTCGGCCAGCTTTCTCGGCTTATTGTCTCCCTGTCCAAGGAGCACTTCTCGTACCTTCCCATTGATCCTCCCAAAGACATTCTATCCAAGCTTCCATCGGAACTACCATCGTTCCTGGATAACACTCCGGCATCGTGCGAGCTACGGGCAGCATATGTGCAACACGTCATCTCTAAGACTCTGACCTACCGGATCTTCCACCCCTTCTTGTTCACCCTGGGGCGCCGGTACGACAAGGCCGATACGTTCTTCCAGATGCTGTCGATGGATATCCGACGCAAGTCGGTGAGACGGGAGGCTTTCTGGCGGCAGCAGACGCTGAAGGCAGCTTACACCACCTCGGATGCCAAGCAGTCGATCAACGTGGTAGCTGCTGTGATTGTCGACGAAATCATCGATCAGCTCAAGCATTTTGCGGACCCCCGGAACCTGGATTCTCTGCTCATTAGCGTCCGGAAGATCGTCAAACTTGCGGCCGAGACCTGGAGACTTGCGCGTGTTGAGCGAGAGTTGATTCTGGCCTCGCTCCCGGCCCCGGACACCGATGCCGTCTCGAACGACGATTGGGAAGAGTACGGCACCCCCAAGGAAGGCAGTCTCAGCTCCAAGGACGATCCCACGCGCCACGTTATTCTGCGAACCTTCCCCCGAATCCTTCGAGAGGCGGCCCACGAAGACTTCGCTGGCGAGGAGGAGAAGTTCAGCCCTTGCACCTACTCCCGAGGCTGTGTCCTGTACTCCGACTCTCCTGTAGTCATGGCCCGGCTGCAAGAACTGTCGAAAAAGTCCAACGAGGCTCTGACAGGAGAGGACTCGCCTCGCCGTGGCTCAAGGGGCTCGATCCGGTCCGATCGGCAGTCGCCCTCCCCTCGACGGAGTCGGGGTGATTGATTCACCGGGGCCTTCTGGGGAAAGTAATGTGAGTGACTCTGTCGATCAAGACCTGTTTGAATAACCCGGTTGTTTTGAATACCTTGTTCTTTGCACATGTTTTACTTTCCAGGTCGCAACCCTCTGGGGTGCGATACCTCGACACTCATTCTATTTTCCTGTGTACTACTTTCTTTGCTGATGACTGCGATGACCCTTTTGAGTGTGCCCCAACTCACGTTCCTTTCTCCACCTGTATTTTCCCGACCATTTCTCTGCTTGTGTTCCCAGTCACCATCGTTTTCGGGGTTCTGCTTCGATGTGTGTTGTGTTTGGATGCTGTCACCTTAGCGAGCGTTTGATTGATGATGTGTAACAATGAATGATGTATGTGGAAACTATAATTATCTTGTTCCGAAGCCCTCGCGGCACTGACACTGCATGCACTGGAAATGAATGACGATATACGGAGTCCTAAGCAAGAGACTCGAGAGCGATCGGCGTCTCGCATGGCGTTCCGATGGCGATGAAAGGGCAGGCCTGCCTGTCGCCCGCTGTAGTGTAGGTATCTAGACAGCCAATGATCCAGACTGACCTGGGTAGCCGGGCGCGCCTGCACCGCCACGCGCATGATGTCAGAGGGAGCCTCGAGTCCCGACACCCATGGCCCATGCAAAGCTTGTTGCGCCCTTGAGCCGCAGACGTCCCGATCCTGGGCGCGGGTGCCGATGCCGCCGCACTAGCATGGCCATCTGGGCGGACGGGGCAGTGGTATAGTACCTGGCCCGATGCGCCTAGTCCTGTGTCGGGTGTTCAAAAATCAACGCAACCGATATAATAGTATACAGTAATACCTCAAATCCATTCATCTGGTTCGTCCGAAATATAGAACCATCAATTTCGATTCGAACTGCGCCGCCCCGTCTGGTCGGGGTGGACACTGTGGTACATGGGGATGGTTCGGAGGGTGGCTTGTGCCGTGGCTGAGTGCCGTTTAGTTCCCTCTAGTCGTGATAATAATAGCAACCAGTTGGTTTCGATATTGGCCTGAGAACGAAGAATAGCGGTATCGCTTGGCCAGACGCATCCATGCGTGATTTTTCTTCTTAAACCACTACTATCTACATAATACTGTGTACTGTGGTATGTTCTAGTTCCGAACGGGCGTATACTCCGTCGTGGTAGATTACGATAATCGAGCAAGTGGGGAGGAGTGGGGACGGGACGAGCCCTGCGAATTTCCCGCGTTCTCCATGGCGATTTGCGACGGGTAGGATCCATGGATGGAGGGAGGCATCCTGCCTGGGTGCCTGGGTGTTCCTGAACCGGATCGACATGGGTGGGTTTGGTTTCTACTTACATCTTACTATGTAGTACTGTGTAGGGCTACAAGGCCCTTTGATGGGGGGATGGGTTTGAGTGCTGAAGAGGAGAGATACAATGAAAGGATTCCGGGGAGGGGAGATCAGCAGTACTGCGGACTCGGACTATAGTTGACACGATCTTGATGATGGATGACGGACACGAGGGTTGATGCCACTGCTATGCCATGATGTTGGAGTTGGAAGAGGCCAAGTGAATGGTATCATGGTATGATCCCTGACCCGGTACTATATCCTGGGGGGTTTTTATGATCATAATCCAGGGGCAGCGACCGGTATCTTTGACTGGCCCCCCGAGACTAGCCTCTACCCCGCCTGGCGCTGAGTGGCCCGCGATGCTTCACGCCGGCGCGTATCGTCGCTTTCTCGCCAGCCAGATTGAGCAGGGAATCCGGGCTGGGCTGAAGATGATGCCGTTGGAAATGGATGAGGAAGCATCAGCGCGCTGACCCCCTTGCCCCTACTGACTACTGACGATAGGCCACGATGTGGCTCAGTGGTGGATTCCCTGCTGGGCCACAGCCGCAAGGCGCCTTTCTCTGTCGTCTTTTCCCTCACTCTCTCACTTTCTTTCGCTCTCTGGCGTTCGCTTCCATTCTTCTTTCTTGGCTTTTCGTTCGGTCATCCTGCTTCTTCTTCTTCTTCTTCTTCGCGACTAGAGCCTCGTCGTCCGGCCTCTCTTTTTCTCCTCCCCCTTCCCCCCGTCTTTTCACCCCTCTTGTCCCGTCGCTCGTTCCGCTTTCTTCGTTCCTCATTGTCTCCGGTGTGACTGCGGCTCTCCCGCCGGCCCTATCCTTATCACCACCACCATCGCCCCCACGCTCTTCTGGCTTCCTTCTTCTACCACCACGGCCACCACCACCACCACCATTACTACCATCCTTCACTTCCTCCCGTACCTTACCATTCCTTTTGGATTATTTCAGTCTTCTGGTCGCTCCACCTGCTCCGTGGTCCCGCTTAGTCGAACCTTCGCCTGGATCCTCCGTCACTTTTCTTCAACCTCTCGTGATCGGGTACGCCAATCCGGACTCGTCGCTGCTCATTCCTCCCGCTTACTACGACGCCTGCGCTGCTTACCCACCCACACCATCTTGCGCCCGTCCTCCACTATCAGATTAAAGGGGCATTCCTGAATAATTCCTACGCAATCAGATCTCTGCTGCTCCTCCCCGGCCGCCCCTCCAGAAGTTACTGCTACGCCATTCGATCCTGTCCCGATTGCGATCGCTGGAGTGCCCTGAGTACCTTCCATGTCGATCTAGAAATGCGACCCCGAAGTCTTGAATCCTGGTCTCTGTGTGCAGTACGGTTCACCTAGACCCACAAAACCACCTCGGAGGAGAGCAGAACCCAGTATCTCAAAAAAACATACAGTTGCCGGTTGTTGGTGCGAGCGTCTGGCGATCGAACCGGCTGCAACCATGTCCACTTTATCCCCGCAGCTCGTTCAGAACGAGTCGCCGACCGATGTGACTTTCTACGATTCCACTTACCACGACCCTTACCTTTCGGCCCCATTGGACCCGGATGAAGCCTCGTTCAAGTCCTCCGCCATCAGACTGACACCTGTCAGCGGCGAAGACCATAGCACAGGGCACCCATCGTCCCCTCTACGTATTCAAACGCATAGCGACATGGCTGACGCCAATAACGAGGGCCTCGCAGCTTCTTACTCCGAGTTTCTTAGTCCAACAGAGGATTTCTCAAGTGACATGAGTGCCCACACGTCCCCTAGCGCCGACATCCTGTCGGTGGGATTTGGCATGCACATGGAGCTGGGACCCAGCGGTCTGCACCGTGATAATGCCATGGCTCTGGACGTACCGGAAATTGCACCGGAGTTGCTTAGTGCCCCACCGGGAGAAATATCGTCCCCATCAACTATGCTATCGCCTCAGCCAGCTGGTTTGAATCATACCAGTAGCCCAGGTCTGCTCCCAGATTCGGGCAGTGTTAGGATCCACGCTGAACATGAGACCTCAGCTCGCCAGCCCCAGGCGCTGTCATTAATCACATGTCCTCCCAGTGATAACCTCAGTGTCCATGCGGCTCCTGACTCGGCTAGGGCAAGAAGCCCGATCGTCAAGATCGAAAGCTACTCTCGTGGTGATTCCCCAGTCAGAGATGCCTCTTTGACAGGGCGACGGCGGAGCCTGTCCTCCACGCACCTTTCACCAAACGACATGACCAGTGAATCAGAACCCGATGGCTTGGAAGAAGAGTACCGGGGAAGTGGTCTGAATTACAGTGTCACGCGAGCGCAGGATGGCTCCTGGATTCCCAACATAGCCACCGGGCAAGCAGGGGTTGGGCCTTCATCACGGGAAGACATCTACGTTATGAGTCCGAACGATATGGATACTCAGCGACGACTGGATGAGAAGAATGCCGACATTCAATCATGGTCGGTATCAGTAAGCGCTGCGAACAGTGAGGCAGGAGATGACGACACCCCTTTCCTTTGTGGCAATAGAAGGCACATGGGAGGGAGGCGTAGGGCGAAAAGTGCCGGCGATCCTTCACTTCAGCCGGACTACTTCAACTTGAAATCTCGATTACTGGAGCCCGCCATTCCGGGTCCTGGCCTTCTACTCCATGAGAGCAGCGATGACGAGATGAGCGAAGGTGGGTCGGAGGGTGCAGAGAGCCGATCGGATTCGCCGGCCGCCAGTGTCAATGAGGCTAGGTGGGCACAAGGGGACACCGAGCTCATCCCTTCGCCAGAGCAGCCCAGACCCGAAGATGACGAGCCATCCCCCCATCAATTTCTGGGGGCTCCTCCGTGGCGGGATTTGGCGCACGACCCATCGCCCCAGGCAACACGGATGCAGCCATCGAGCTCGAGCGCAGCCATGGTGGAATATCAACGACGAGCCAAGGATATTGACACCGCATCCCGGTCGGCAACCTGGGGCACACGGCATCTGAATGACGCAGAAGTGAACAGTATTATTGGTCCCGGCGGCTCCTTTGAGACCCTGTCCATCAGTAACGATAAAAGCAAAAAGCACGAGAGGAGAAGTAGTCTCCGTAAGTTTCTCCACAGGAAGCCGTCGGCCAGCAACCTGAAGCGGCGGTTATCGGATCTTTCGATCATCCCTCCCAGCACAGAGGGCGCCAGCAGAGACGACGAGATCAAGAGCCCCCCGGTGAGGAAGGACAGCTTTCCGCATCGGCTGAGCCTTGGCCGATCTAGATCTCCTAGCCTGAGCACTGGCGGCGCTGTGATTGCCATTGCTGGTCAGATGGCCGCTATCGGAGGCAAGGACTCCCTCAGGGCTGCATCGCCGAATTCAGCCACGGGTCATTGGCCTCATCTCAAGGTCCGGGGAAGAAGCAGGAGTGAGCTACCAAGGGCTTCAGCACCCGGCCTGATCGACTTGATGACAAGTCACGGTGGACCTCCTGTCCCCAATATCGTCTACTCGCCACGAGCGACCGACCATGGCGAGGCCACGCAGAAAAGCCCGGAAGTGAACCCCGCTGCGGGCCATGCAGATGATGAAGACGACGACATGGCGGATGAGAAAGGAGTGGTGATGCAGTTCCCGGTTCCGTCGCATTTGCCGGTTCCCACGCTCGAGGGGTTCAGGAACCAGATTACCCAGCTGAACCCCCGACTTCCACCCGCACTGGTGGACCGCTTTTCCCACGAGCAACTTCGTCGGTACCGAAAGCTGGTCGAGAGCAAACAGAGCCACACACGCGCAATTAGTCAGAGGAAATGCCCCTCCGGCAATTACTGCTTTGCGCTGGGTGGCGAGGCTAAGCTGCTAGCACCTCGCACTAGCCCCGAGGCTGCGCACACGCAGTTTCATATTCCCGGGCATGGGGAAGTCGATGACGATCCCCACCAGCTTGGAGAAAGCGCAGTCACTGCGGCGCAGTTTCCCCCGGGGGTACCATTGCCCCCGGTCAAGCGGTTGCCAGCGGAATTCGAATGCCCAGTATGCTTCCAGGTCAAGGAGTTCCGGAAACCATCTGATTGGACCAAGCATGTCCACGAAGATGTGCAGCCATTCACTTGTACCTTTCCTCACTGCTCAGACCCCAAATCATTCAAGCGTAAAGCGGATTGGGTCCGACACGAAAGTGAACGACACCGACAATTGGAGTGGTGGACGTGTACGGTGCCTGATTGCCATCATACCTGCTACCGAAAGGATAATTTCGTGCAGCACCTTGTCAGGGAGCATAAAATGCCAGAACCCAAAGTCAAGAAGGCGAAAGGGCAAGGGTCGGCAAGCAAGACGAAGGGTGACCCGGGGTCTCCGGATCTGCAGGATGAAGTCAATCGCGAGCGAGAGATTGAACAGCTGTGGGACCTGGTAGAGCGATGTCGACATGACACGCTGAAAGGTCCCAAGGACGAACCATGTCGCTTCTGCGGCAACGTTTGTAGCAGCTGGAAGAAATTAACGGTGCACTTGGCCAAGCACATGGAACAGATCGCCATGCCGGTTTTGGCGCTTGTAAATGAAAGGGATCTTTCATCGAACGAGACTACGGGGCCTGCTGGTGGTGGGCCAGATTCTGGCCCCGATCCAGGGACCTCCACGCCAGAAGCCAGCCGTTTTATGCCAAGGTTGGATGGGGTCGAGGGATCCTCGGCGGTGTCGACGGATTTCACGCAGGCACCGTACGCCAGCAACAATGCCGAGAGGCGTCAGGAGCCTATGATGTCCTTCCACCCATCATATCCTCCCCACTTGACAACCATGCCTGGCGGTTGGATCTCCGCCGAGCCTGAGTCAATTGACGCGTACGATGATGCGCCCACACTCCTGCCAGGGGGAGCTGTGGACCAGACGCGGCTCATGCCGATACATCAAAATTCGGTCACCTATCCACCCCCTTTCAACACTGGCCCTCGACTCCGAGTCCCCAACCAGAATCTCAGTGGGTTGCAGGACCCGTATAGTTTCGCCATGTCCCCCACGGAGATGCAGCCCGCGTACGATCACCAGGGGCCGGTTTACGTATCACCTTCGGCGGAGCACGGCTATGGGTACCAGGGATCGATGCCGCCGGCTATGCCTTACGTTCCGGGAGGCTACCGAGAATAGCCCTAAAGCTCGATCTGGAGAGGAGACAGCGCAACGACTCACGGGGCTTACGACCCTAGCGCAGCGGTTGCAGATCGTGGGGGTGGTTGTTGGAATGTGGTTGGAACGGTCGCCCCAGGACGACTCCGTTCTTTCCCCAATGTCGACTTTTATTAATTAATTTATGTTCGCTGTAATCTCCTTTGGGAATCAGCTCTGTATCGCTTGATCTGCATTTATCTATATACCCACCATTGGATTGAACATTGGACCATTGACCTTTCTTGGGAAGGAATATTGTATGCATGCCACTGTCGGGGAGCAATATGTCTGCTAGAACCCCTCTTCTCCTGCGACCCCTTCCCCCTCTTTCTCCCGTGGTGGCCCATCTAGTTCTTGGGCTTTGAATTAGTGGTGCTCGGAGGTTTACCCTGGATGCTTGGGGGGGTATCTAATAGATGGCGCCCGCCGTCCCTAGAGGAGCAATACTGGGCTCGGAAGGCGGGCAGGCAGGGCCGGGACGACGACTAGTCGAGCATCTATTGCCCTGTGTGCTACGGTATGCAGGCTGCACGCGTGGCCCCCAAATTGTCAATTGGTCGGGGCGGCGTGATTGGAGGAGAGGGGGATGCACGTCGCAGACAGGCTTCACGGCACAGTGCAGCGGGTCCTGAGAGGATGGCTTCCGGAGCGCAGCCAACGCAGGACGGAGGATTCCGACGTAGCTGCCTGTCAACGCCGGGTCGGAGAAGGGGAAGCCAACGGTCGATCAACCACCCTGGCTGATGCACCGGACGGGGGGGGAGGGGGGGGGGGAACGAAAGCATGGCCCCGTGGTTGGGACAGGGAGTGCACCGCCATGGGGCTTGCAAGGCCCAACGGGAACCCCTGGGAAGAGATCCCCGAGCCCATCGGGCCCGATCTGAAGCTGAAGGGGGATATTTTTAGGCCGAAAAGGGACGATGATGAGGGGGAAGGGGAACCGATGAACGAAGGAAGGCCAGGGATCCACGGGGGATGTGCCAGTCCCAGACCGCATTGGCTTGCTCAGTGCTGGGGGGGGTTGAGAAGGGCACTAATTTAGTCGATCGGCAGCGATGGAGCTACGCTACGCTATACGCTACACGCTACCCGCTTCCTGCTCCCTCGCCAGTCTCCAGCATCGGGGCCTGGGCGAGAGATTTTGAGATTGGGCTGCATCTGTCGGGGGGAAAAGGTACTGTCGGTCGGTCGGTCGGTCGGTCGGTCGGTCGGTCGTGTGCCCAGCTGCCAGGGGGGGGGAAAGAGATAGCGAGATAGTGAGATAGGGCCGGAAGGGAATCTCTAACTCTACTAGTCCTATATCCGTCTATCAGATAGACTGCTGCAGTGTGATGGCTCGTCGGTAGATCAAGAACGGCCATCCCTGAGGATCGGCTGGCTGGGGTCGCTAACTCGTCCATCCTCTCGATCGGAGTCTTCACCTCGCCCGGACTAAGGCGCGTGAGCCAGCCGGTTGGAAAGGCGCGAGGTCCAAGTAGGTTAAGTCCATCTCCATCCGCCATCCATCCTCAGCATCTCCATCCTCCTTCTCCCCATCAACTACGGGCGATCTTCGGCGCATCCGTCGGCGAGTGACGAACAGGCTTTCGGGGGCCCTCCTTACAGGCACAGCCACCGTTAGTCCGGCCGATGTATGTACATCCGCAGAAGGATGTCGCGGAGGATGTCCTGCCATCCGCGAAGGTTCGCCCCGTCTTTGTGACGAAGGTGTGCGAGGGTGGTCAAGGGGAGACGGATGAAGGACTCACTGAATGAATGAACGAGTGAACGAATGACCCTGCAGCCAATCGAGCTGCGGCCGCGTGATGATCGCTCGACCACCTTACATGCGAGAGACGAGCGACTTCCTCCGTCCTGACCAACCCAAGCGGCCTGACGGATTACTTGTCCAAGGATGGCGGAAGGAGACTGCTGGGCGGGCGCTGTCTTGATTCAATCATTCAATCATTCAATCATTCACTCAGTCATTCACTCATTCACTCATTCATCCGCCCCCTCTTCTCCTCCCCTTCCAGTCAAGCTCCGGCTGCGGTGCTGATGCTGCTGATGCTGCTGCTGTTCGCGTGCCATGGGGCGAGGCTCCGAGGAGATGCTTCATCGTCCATGTCCATCCTACTTCCCAAGGGAGCTGAGCAGGCGGAAAGATAAATGCTGATGGTGGTGATTATCCTGCAGGACGGAGGAGCCACTGGGTGACTGGGGAAGGAATGAGAGGACGCGAAGAACAAGAAAAAAAAAAGAAACAAGACGAATAGGGGAAAAAACAAATATGAACCCCGAAAAAATAAATGAAACTGAAATAAATTTATTAAAGTATGTAAAAACAAAAATGGTAGCCCAGGAGATCCCAAAGACAAGTCTCCAGCACCGAAGAGGAAGCGAAGAAGATGAGTGGCCGTTGAAGGAAAGAAAGGGACAGCCGCCAACGCGGCCACTACTACTACTACTAGTAGTAGTAGTAGTATGGCTGATAATTGAAGTGGTTTCGCTCGCTGCGGCTTCATCGCATCGCGATCGACTGGGTACTTCCGCGGACCTCGCTAGCAAGTCGCGACACCCGTCAGTCGGGTCCGACTACTGTCACTAGTAGTATCCATCCTATCCATCCATTCATCCATCTCTCCATCTATCTCTCTACCGGTCTGACAGGTCCTAGTGGAAGAGACGGAATCGACGATGACCTAGAACCTGACACTACAGGTATACTACAGACACTACAGACAGGTCCTGCTGCTGGCTAGCTGTCATTCCGTCCCTCGCCGGCTCGATCGATCGGAGACCGACCCCCCAAGCATGGCGATGCTCGCCCTGCAGCGCCAAAATAAAAATAAAATGAAAATGAAAATGAAAAAAGGGCATTCCGCTGACATGCCAATGGCCTCGATTAGCTCCTGTCACGGCCGGTCGATGCTTTTGCTCAACTCGGCCCTCGACACGTTATCGCGTGGGGTTCCGTGATGGGGATAATCGGTCGATCATACCTCGTCGGGGCCCCGGCATTGCTTTTTCCCTCTTGGTCTGCTCCATGGGATTCTCTTGGTCGCGCGCTCGCTCTCTCGCTGCTGCTGCTGCTGCTGCTGCTGCGGCATCTTCCAGTCAGCAATCCTCGCATGCTTAGCCTGATTCCCTTCTCGTCTTTCCCCTCTTTCTTCGCTCAGTTGCTTTTTTTTCCCCTCTGGGCTTCTCTCATCCTTCCTCCTTTCTTTTTCATTTCTTTTCTTCTTTCCCTCACCCGGCTCATTTTCTTCTCGTGTTTTCCTTTTTCTGGCGTTGCTCCTGCTCGCCGGCCCAAATATATTTCTTCAGTGATACGCGGGCGATCTGCCGGGGGCTTCATCATTTCGTTCCTCTCAGCTGGGAACCACCTTAACAGACATCCAGACCGACGAGGCCCCGAAACGGAAACAATCCTGACAATCATAGGGCCGTTGTGGCTCGTCATCGCCTGCTCTGAATTGACTCCGATCGGCTCATCACTTGCGACGGAGCCCGTCCCCTCCTGCTATATGATAAACCGCCAGGCCTCCGCCCTCTGCTCCTCTGTCGCCAGAGGCTGTCTTCCATCACGGCAATAACACCCCGAGAACGCGGATGAGCGCGCTCTTGTAAACTCTTGAACATCTCACCGTTGCCAAGATGAGTGGTGTAAGTTGCAATTCTGTCTCGCGGGCCGACCAGATATATATCTTGTATAGATGTCGGTCCGCCCCAGTGCCACGCACAAGCTGACCCCATGTGACTTAGACATCCGATCCCAGCAAGCACTGGGATAATTCCAGTGATATCCTCCAAGGCATCATGGGTTCCCGGGCAATGCCCCCTTCTTCGCACCTGGACCTCTCATCGGACGGGCTGTCGCCGTCCGATCTTACCCTGGGCGACCCAGCATCCTTCCTGGGCTTCCAGTTTGCGTCCGATCAAGCCATCCCTCAACCCACTCATTCATCCATCCTCCACCCATGGCCACTGTACCACAAACCATCACCATCACCGCTCCCTCAACTATTCGATACGTCCGCCTACCCTCCCCTGACGCGATGGAGAAATGAGCCAGACGCCTGGAACCCCCTTCAAACGTCAAGGCCAATGAACCCCGCTGCATTCGTCATCCCACGGACTCACCAAGTCTACGGCTTCGATCGCCGGTCTTCGAGTGGCCATCACAGTACGCCCTCGGAGGCTGACAGCCAGTACACCAGTCTCCATCTATCTGATTCAGGATATAGTACGCAGGGGTGCACCACGCGCTCTGTGGCTGCCTCGTATGCACTCGATTCAGCCTGCAGCCCGTTTCTGGCACCCCTGGAGCATGAGCAGGATGATCGAGTCTCCGCATTGGACCTCAACTCGGCACCGTATGGCGACGCCATTGATCCTCTAGACAGGATAGATTCCCCGTCCCTGCTGTGCCAGGACGTGATCAAGTGCGACTATCCCGGCTGCCAATGGACCGGAAAGTGTCCTTCTGACAAGAGGTACGCCATCCTGGGTGCTCGGGCCGGACAAGAGCTGGTAAGCTGACCTCCACAGAAAACACGAAGCGAGACACAAAAAACTGTTCAAATGCGACGAGCCCAACTGCGCCCGCAAGGAAGGGTTTGGTACTATCAACGACCTCGCTCGCCACAAGAAGTGCGTCCATAAACAGGAGCCGGAGCGGGGGCCGAAAGTTCTTTACATGTGCTTCGGGCATAACTGCCCGCGGAGGAATAAGAAATGGCCCCGATTGGATAACTTTCGCCAACACCTGGCTCGGATGCACAATGATGAGGATGTAGATGAGCTGTTGAGAAAGTAAGTCAAACGGCTCCCGGCGCATCAGCTAGAAGGGTGGACAATTAATGCATCATCCAGATCGCATGAGTGGTATGAAACGTGCGTGAAACCGCAGGAGCTGGGGCCCTCCTTCCTTGATTCCCTGTCGGACGAAGCATCGACCCTACCAGCTGAGCCAGCTGCTCAGCCAAATGGGATCACGGAGGATCTTGGCCCAAACCCTTCGGCCTCCTTTCCGGCGGCGTTTCCTTCTTCGGAGACCCCCACACCAGACACTGTCATGAAAATGAACGACGAGTACAAGGACCCCGCCTTCGACCATGCATCGGTGCAACCGCCACTTGCAAAGCCACACCCCAGTGAGCTGCCCGCCCTGAGGGCCCTCAACCTGGACTCTTCGTTGGACCAGAAAGTTCGCCTTCCCACCCAGCTGGACACCGCCAAGAGTGGGAAGATGGACGACATGGTGAACGAAGCGGCGCTCAACATGATCAATGCCATGACCAAGGCCATGAACACCAATGAGCGACGGCGAAGCCAGCAATCGGATGTGGGGGAGGAGATGGTGGATCAAAATGGGGAGCTGTCGGACCGAAAGCGCGATATGCTGCAGAGGATCTTGTCTGCCGCCCTGGATCGGCTTTCTGGACAGCCTGGCGCCAACCACACTGCCCCCCAAGACATCTTAGGTGACGACAGTGAAAAGAAAGGCTGGATTCAGTGCGAGTTCTGCACGAAGCGGACGCGCCTGCGGTGCGAGATGAAGTAAGTCGGGCTCAATGATTTTTGTTGTCACGGGAGGTTCCTGACTGGCCGGCCACAAGGAAGCATAAGAAGCGCCACGAACGGCCGTATGGGTGCACGTTTGCCAAGTGTAACAAGACATTTGGTAGCAAGGCTGACTGGAAGCGACACGAGAACTCCCAGCACTTCCACGCGCAGTGCTGGCGCTGCACCCTGTCGGATGCCACCCAAGAAGATCTCCCGTGCGCCCGATTATTTTATCGTCAGGAGATATACGTCCAACACTTGAAGAAGCACCATGACGTCGATGAGGACGAGGAGGTCCGGGCGGCCCTATGCAAGAACCGCATCAACCGCGATGGGGACCCGCGGCCCTCACACTACTGGTGCGGCTTTTGTCGGGTCCTGCTTCCCCTGAAAACCCAGGGAGTCGGCGCCTGGAATGAACGCTACAACCACATCGATGTTGAACACTTCAAAAAGGGCGAGCGCGTGGAAGACTGGCTGCTCCCGTCTGGGCACCTGACCAAAAGTCAGGAGCGTGAAGAACTGAAGAAACAAAGGACGGATGGGAATGGGTACGAGAGCGAGCCTGCCATGGACGAGAACAGTGATGATGAGTCGGTGAACAGCGACTATGCTGTCGACCAGGAGCCACTGCTTGACGATACGATGGCGATTGACGAGGAGCCCACGCCCGATCTATCGTCGGAATTGGGCGGCGACTCGCTTCCCCATAATCGGTCCATGACATATCCTTTCCCCGGCGCATCGAACCTGCGAAAGCGGAAGCTCCCATCGCAGTCCACCGTTGGCCCTTACCGAAGTAACGAGCCAGGCGTTCCCCGTCTGGTGAAAAGGTCGAAGGCCGATTCGGACCATGTGCCGGGGGCATCATTGGGATCGTTCTACACTGGCGCCGACCGCATGTTGTCGGAGCCGAGTCGACTGTCTCCCGAGCTAGACTCGGCTTTCTGCGTGAGTCTACCCCCGACCGATTCGCATCTAACTGCAGGTTCACTGACTGGAATCCAGTGCCAGTGCAAGCAAGGGCCATTTGCCTTGGCGTATACCCACCAATGTCCGTGTTGTCACCATGGGTTGTGTGACGGGTGCGAGGGCCGGAATGCATCTACCAGCGATGCATATATGGTTGGGGAGCCATCATGACAGGGGGAGCATGTAACTTTACACACGTCCAGTCTACCCATTTTCATAGCGTTTGGATATACACTCAACGAAGACACGCAAGCCACAGACCAACAAACAGACTTCCTAGATGTTCCACATAGGACGTAAAGGGTATATATTAATTCAGGACAGAGACCACTGTAAAGATAAATCATCCACGGACAGGGGACAGCCACATCCTCTACTTCTGCGCATCCGTCAGTTCCTTGGCCTTCTGCTCCAGCGCCGCAACGGTCTCTGTCCGTTCCCATTAGCCATCATCCGCACGGAGAAACGAGGAAACCACAACTACATACGATTCTTCTCATACTTCGACTCATCCATCTCCAACTTCAACCACGTCCAGTACAGCACCTGGTAGGTGAAAATCGCGCCCAGAAAGACCTTGGCAAAGGGGCTCACGAAGAGCTTGTATCGGGCCATCTGCATGAGCTGTTAGATTCCCTGTTTTGGTTGGTCGTAGACAAAAGAAAATCCAAGCCAGAGGCAATACGTGGAAGTCCCCAGAAATCAGGGAGTGTTCGAGCATGTATGTTACATTGTCCGATGCAATTGGGGGTAGGCAGATCGGGGAAGAAGTGGGTGAAGAGGAGAGGGAGGGGGGGGGGAATAGAACTTACACCTTCCCGGTACGCGCTGGGTTCATTGGCGGACCATTTGGGAGTCGAGGACGTTAAGGTTCTTTTGTTGGGGATGGAGCGGACAGAGGAGATAGAGGAGGGGAGTCTGGTGCGAAAAAGGGGGAGATAACGGGGGAGCATCTTGTGTCTGTATTTCAACTCTTTTGAGTGAATTGTAATAAAGTACTAAACGAAGCGATAATGGGAATGGTGGTTCTAGGTTGGGGGATGGATTGTATATATATGCAAAAGCTCCGCCATGGATAACCGGAGAAAGCGAGCAAAAGCCGTCCAGTCTGTCCGTCCGCACTCCGCTGACTCAGCCCACCCCTAGTCAGTAGTCACATGATATCAAGCGAGCCGGCGGCAATCATGGGCGAAAGCGCTCGAACCAGCGGGGAGGAGTCAAAAGGCGATAAGCTTCGTGGGGAAAATTGTCCTAGCTTCGGGGTGCTGGGGCTTACTTCTGGGTTCTTTTGTCTGTCTTTCTTACATCTACTGCTTGTCTTCTTTTTTTTTTTATTTTTATTTTTATTTTTCAGATGGGTGGGGTTTTGTTGGGTGGGTTCAGACGAAGGGCAGAGGGTAAGAGATCAGGAGGGAGTTTTCTTTTTGATTCAGTAAGTGATGGTGTCGGGGAATGGGATGGGTGTGAGGGTTTCTGGTTTACGTGGTTTCACGGGAACTGGATATGGCAGTTTGGGGATGGGAGCCGCCGGTGGTGTGGTGGTGACCAAATGAAGGTAGGAAATGGAATGGCCCGGCCTCAGGCGGGTAGCGCTAGACTGTTTTAAGGGTGTGGCGCGGGTGCCCGGGCGAGTGAAGGAGTGTGTGGCTGGGCAGCACCCGAGTTGGCAGTTTGGTTTGGTTTGGGTTGGTGTCCCCCCGTCATGCTATCGCTCTTACTGCTGCTGCTCATGCTGAGCATCTGTTGTTCCATCGTGGGATTCTGGTCTTGGGGATCGATCTGATCGGATTTCTTCACTCCTTTCACTTTTTTCATCTTTTCAGAGGCACTTCACTTGCCTCCCTCTCTCCCCTCCCCCTGTGCTTAGCAGCTGCATGCGACGCGTCCCTTCCGGTTGGTCAGTCCGTGAGCCTCAGTTCCATTCATTTCCCTTCGCTGCTCGCCCGGCTCCCTCTGCGCATTGCGCTTCGCCCTCGTCCCCCGTGTTTATATATACGACTGCTCCGGTGACTGGGCCATCCCTGGGCCTACTTCTTCCCCGATCCTTATCCCTTCCCTTCCGGTCTGCATTCACCGTTGATGGCTGCCGCGGCCGGTCACAATTGTTGGTTTTCATGAGAACGGTCTCGTCGCTCGCTGAGTCCGAGGTCTGTGTTTGGGTGTCTGTCCATCGGCGATTATCCATTTGACCTGCCCTGTCAATCCGCCATTCAATCTTCTCCCATTGTCTCCCGTAAGTGTGTTCGGCTCCTCCCTGTCAGTTCTTCTGCGCGGCCGGTCATCCCCTCGTTCGCATGGTCGGCGTCTTTCTTTCTCTCTCTCCCCCCGTTTCCCTCTGGTCGCTCTCTCACTTGCTGTACTTCCTCCACCACCCACCTCTCATCTGTTCCCCTCCGCACCCATGATCGCTGACATGGCTATCTTCAAAAGACCCCCTGTCTGGCGCGGCGTCATGCCTCGTGCAAAGCGTTCCATCGAGGAGATGGCCAACAAGTCCGACTCGGACGACGACGACTACAGTGACCACCCCGTGCGCCCCGCCCGCCGCTCCGCCTCCCGAACGAAATCGAAGAAGAAGTCGAAGCCCGTGAAGAAGAGGGCCCGTCGCGATTCCGACGACGATCTCCTGTCCGATGAAGAGATCTTCGACGAGGCCGATGAACTCTCGTTCGAGGAGTCCGAGCAAGAGGAGGATGACCTCAACGCCCAACGGAATGCACGCGGGCTCGTCGCTCGCAGGGCGGCCACGAACCGGCCGATCTACAACGAAGGCGAATCCAGCAGTATCGAGGACGATTCCAACAATGATGAGATGGCTCAAACCCCCCCACCGAAACGCAAAAGTACCGTCGTTACGCTCAAGGTCGGCAACGCCCTGAAGCGCCAGGCTCCGCTGGAGAACTTCCCGGGCCCTCGCCGGGTCACCCGACGCACTCGGGACCCTTCAGAAGACTTCCATGCCCTGACCACTTCCGGACGTCATATGGAAACGGTGGAGCGGAGAGCCACACATAGCCCGGAGATAGAGCGTCGCCGGGGGTCCCGTGGCTCGAAACGGGCCCCGGTGCTCGAAGAGGAAGAGGAAGAGGAGATGCAGCCGAAGCAGGAGGACGACGAGATGATCGATGAAACAACCATGGAAGTCAAAGGTTCTCAGCTGGAGATCATGGAGAGCGATGTTCAGATCAGCTTTGAAGAAGCCCCGCCTGCAGCAGGTGAGGGCCACGAAACCACGGCAGATGATGAAGGCTTTGTCCCCGAATCCGAGAACGGCGACGCGAAGGACGATGGCGATGACGACGAGGACGACGATGAGGGCCCGACGACCCGGAGGAGGAATCGACCCAACCGGAGCCAGCAAGCGGATGAGGAGATCGAGCAGCCCGAAGACGATGAGTCGGCACACCCTCGTCGGTCCAGTCGCAAGAAACCGAAGAGTTCCCAGCGCAAACGCGACGATGAAGAGAGCGATTTCGAACCCGAGGAAGAAGAGTCGAATGATGATGACGACGAGGTATCACAGTCTGGGAAGTCGCATGCTTCTCCACGCAAAGGAAGCCAGGCCCATGACGATGATGAGGACAGCTCCGCCGGCCGTCGCCCTGGCCTCCGCAAGCGAGCATCGCGATCCCGTGGACAGTCAGAGGCCGGTGCCGATATCGCAGAGGAGCTTGCGGAGGAGCTGGAGGATCTACGAGGCGGTCGCTCTCGCCGGCGAGTGCAACCGGAGATCGTCTACGAGAAGCCTCGGCGGAGCCGGAAGGATGTCGACTACCGGATCATCCGGCCCGACCTGATTCTCCCCATCGAGGAGGCCGAGAACGAGGTCAACGAATCGCCTTCGCGCCGTGGCCGGGGAGGTGGCGGCGGCAGCTGGCAACGCACCCTGTTCCCTACGTATGGCCCTTTCGGAGGCGGCGGGCCGTCTGCCATTCTGGGTCCCCCGGGCGTGCCTGCTGCCACGGGTGGCGTCGATAGTGATAGCAGTGACGACGAGGGCATGCAGCACCCCAAGGGCAGTATTAGTGGTCCCACGTCGGGCCATGGACAGCCGGGTCTCGGCCTCCTAGGTACCCAGACTCACAGTGCCGATGCCGCCCAGGGCCACTCCGGGACGCCTGCCAATCTCGGGAAGATCAAGGACAAGCAAACGCTGGCGGACGCCGACCCGCTGGGAGTGGACATGAGCGTCAACTTTGACAGCGTTGGAGGCTTGCAGGGCCACATTGACCAGCTGAAGGAGATGGTGTCCCTGCCGCTGCTGTACCCGGAGATCTTTCAACGCTTCCACATTGTGCCTCCTCGCGGTGTCCTCTTCCATGGACCTCCCGGAACTGGTAAGACGCTGCTCGCCAGAGCCCTGGCGAATAGTGTCAGCTCGAATGGCCGCAAGGTGACCTTCTACATGCGAAAGGGAGCCGACGCGTTGAGTAAATGGGTGGGTGAGGCGGAGCGACAACTTCGGCTTCTCTTCGATGAGGCTCGCAAGACTCAGCCTAGTATTATCTTCTTTGACGAAATCGATGGTAAGCGCATCCCCGGGGATTGGATAACCAGGGCATCTCAGCTAACTCCTCTAGGACTGGCTCCCGTGCGGTCGAGCAAGCAGGAACAGATTCATGCCTCGATCGTGTCGACTCTGTTGGCGTTGATGGATGGCATGGATGGCCGCGGGCAAGTCATCGTCATTGGCGCGACGAACCGTCCCGACTCGATTGACCCGGCTCTTCGCCGCCCCGGCCGTTTCGACCGCGAGTTCTACTTTCCGCTGCCTAACACCGAAGGTCGACGCGCGATTCTGGATATCCACACCAAGGGCTGGGATCCGCCGCTGCCGAGCCCGATCAAGGATGAGCTTGCGGAGATCACCAAGGGCTACGGAGGTGCCGATCTTCGGGCGCTCTGCACGGAAGCAGCCCTCAATGCGGTGCAAAGACGATACCCCCAAATCTACAAATCCAACGAGAAGCTCCTCATCGATCCGAAAACCATCGAGGTGACCCCCAAGGATTTCATGCTGGCGATCAAGAAGATGGTGCCGTCGTCCGAGCGGTCGACCTCATCGGGGGCCTCGCCGCTTCCCAACGCGGTTGAGCCTTTGCTGCGCGCGCCACTCGCCGAGATCAAGGACCTGTTGTCGTTGATCCTCCCGCAGCGCAAGAGGCTCACCGCATTAGAAGAGGCCCAATTCGAGGAACCGGAAGGATCCGGCAGCTTCCAGCGCGAACAGATGCAGCAGGAATTCGACCGGTCCCGGGTCTTCCGACCACGCCTGCTGCTGCGCGGGCCGCTGGGGATGGGCCAGCAGTATCTGGCCGGCGCCCTCCTGCACCATTTTGAGGGACTCCACGTCCAAGCATTCGATCTCCCCACCCTGCTTAGTGACTCCACGCGGTCTCCCGAGGCCGCTGTGATCCAGCTTTTCGCCGAGGTCAAGAGACACAAACCGAGTGTGATCTATATCCCGAACATCCAGGCTTGGTCTGATACGGTGGGACATGCCGTGATGTCTACCTTCATGGGCCTGCTGCGGTCGGTTCCTCCGACGGATCCTGTGCTGCTTCTCGGCGTGCAGGAGTCAGTTGGCGAGGACGTGGATGTCGGGGTGCAGAGGCACTTGTTCGGCTTCTCCAAGAAAAACTTTTACGATCTGAAAGCGCCCGCGAACGAGGCTCGCTACGAGTATTTCGCCAAGGTGATCGACTACGTCAAGACATCGCCTGCCCACTTCCCTGACCCGGAAAACCGCAAGAAGCGGGAGCTCGAGACCTTGGACATTGCGCCCCCGCCAGCCCCCAAGCCGGCCACCCCGCTCTCCAAGGAGCAGCTCAAGGCGCAGAAGAAGAAGGATCACCAAACTCTCAACCTGCTCAAGATCCGGATCCAGCCTATCATGGACCAAATCAAGAAGTACAAGCGGTTCCGCACCGGCGTGATCGACGAGTCCCAGATCCGCTACCTGTGGGAAGAGGAGGACCCGAACATCGTGACGAGTGATCTGCCGATTGAACACCGAACCACCTTCCGGCCGTTTGAGAAGGCGTATGACAAAAATGGAGTGCCGGGACTGCGCGAGACCGTGTCCGGCAAGTTCTTCTACAACCTGGAGATCGTCACCATCGAGAAGCGTCTCTCCAATGGGTACTACAAGCGCCCCAAGGACTTCCTGGGGGATATCAAACGGCTCGCCAAGGACGCCCGGCAGCTGGGCGAGCAAGAGCGGCTGCTGCGGGCCAACGAGCTCCTCTCCAATGTCGAAGTGGACATTGCCACCATCGAGCAGACCGAGCCCGCGCTCGTGGCGGAATGCGAAGGGGTGTACGTGCGAGAATTGGAACGCGAGAAGATTGCCATTGAAAAGGCGCGGAAGGCGGCCGAGGAAGAGGCGGAGGGCTTTATCGGCCGCGGGGCGACGACCCGAGTGCCGCACGGCAACACCGAGTCGGGCCCCTCCAGTGGCCCGGTGGTGCTGGGCGAGGCCTTCCCCGAGAGCGGCCCGAAAGAGACGGACCGGCCGGTGACGCCGACGCGGACGGTGAGCTTCACCAACGGCTACCATCCCGGGGGCGGCTCGGATCTCAACGACCTCAGTACGCATGCGCTCACCAGCAATGGGTCATTCCGCGCGGACGGCGAGGGCGACACCTACATGACCAACTCGGACCAGTCGGTCGATAAGGAGACGCTGAACAGCTCGTTCGGGCCGTCGGCGCAACCCAAACCGGCCTACTCGCTGACGGCGCCGTCGCAGCAGGTGCGGCGGGAGTCGGGCATCTCGAGCTTCTCGCAGAAGGGGCCGGTGACGCCCATGGCCCCGGGGTCTCAGCCGCACGACTACACTAACGAAGCGTCCACGACGCAGACGACGTCGGACAAGAAGTCCTCGGAGCAGTCTTCGGCGCCGAATCCGTTCACGCAGAGTCCGGTGGCCGCGCACGGCATGCGACATGACTTTCCGGATCTCACACAGTATCCGGACCGGGTGTCGCAGGAGGAGCATCTGCCCGACACGCAGCAGGGGGACAGTAGCCAGCCGTCGCCCCGCCCCATGGGGGAGCTGGCCCATCTGGACAACGGCACGGCGCAACGGCCGCAGCCCCCGGTGCCACTGTTTGAGAACGCGAGCAAGCCGTCCTCCCATGTGCCGGCCAACCTGCAGTCGCTGCTGAACAACGAGGACCTGTCGCCGAAGCTGACGCTGGACCACGAGTACGTGGAGAGCCTCCACGAGCAACTGACGCAGCGGACGAGCGGGTGCAGCGTGGAGCAGCTGGAGCAGATCCAGACCAACCTCATGGACTACCTGTGGCGGACGCGGGGGGAGTGGAATCGGAGCAAGGTGGCGGCGGGGATCCAGGACACGTTCAACGAGGTGCTGGAGGACATGCAGGCGATGCAGGAGATTGGGCCGATCAGCCAGAAGACGAAGGAGCAGCTGGGGGCGTCGCTGTATCCGCTGTAGATTTTGCTTTCTGTTTTGTGCGGGGTTTGGTTCTAGGGATACCTTTTGAAGCGACCATGGGATTTGTGTACTGCGAAGGATGGCATTCCCGGCATTGGCATCTCGTCGCGTTGCGGTTGGGACTTCGGGCTGCGTGGGCGGACTTTTGTGTGCGTTTCTTCTTGCATGTATTTGACTGGTGTAGATATACGTGTCATCCTATACTATGCTCTGATCTCCTTGATCTCGTGGATGATTCTGGCTGGGAGGTTTATCTTATCGGCCCGGCGACGGCCAAGACACCAGGCTGGCCTTTCAGGGTCCTCGCCGCCTCCGCTCTTCCGCTGCGCATCTTGATTCCGCAACACTTCCACGACACACACACCCCTGGCTGGGTTGATTTCTTGCGGTGCAATTGACCGATTATTCATTCGTTGTCGGGAATCCCCCTATGTTCCACATTTAACGGAACCACCATTATCCACCGCCATCACCGCCGCCCGACCTGGTCCGCCACCACCACATACCCACCTACAAACCTCCCACCACACCACACCACCTCACCCTACTAACCACAACCCAACCACCAAAATGGTCAACTGGCTCACCCTCGCCGTCCCCTTCGCCTACCTAGGTGTTCTCCTCGGCTCCCTCGCCACCTTTTCCTCCCTCTACCGCAAGCGCAAAGCCCGTATGCCCCCTACCCCAACCCCAACCCCAAACTCCCAACTCCTCAAACCAGCATACCACACGACGACGACACACTAACACCCAAGAAACCCCAGAAAAATCCCTCTCCCTCTCCCCCTGGTTCCCCGCGCACACCCAACGCGACATCTACTTCTCCCTCCTCCACCTGGACCCGAAAGACAACAACCCTCATGAGAAGGGCAAAAAAGTCCCAGACAGCGTGCTCAAATCGGCACTCCTCCGTCGCGCCATCGAAGACATTCAACGCGTCATGGCCCTCCGGAATCAGAAACAGGCTCTAGCGATGCTCCTCCAACGCGGCAGTGTCGGGGATGATCTTTGGCAGCGGTTTGTGCGTGCCGAGAAGGAAATGGAGGAGGAGGTTCGGGATGTCGTTGCTGAGGTATTTTTTCCCAATCCCTCTTTTTTCTATTTGGGTTTTTTGGGGACTTGGGCTGGGGTGTAGGGGGGGGGGGTAAAGGAAGGGATTTGCTAATTTGTTCCTGGGATGTGAACAGGCTAACGCTTACGTCCCCGGTTGGGGTCAAACGATCTTTCAATCCGCGAATGAAATGCTCAATAATGCGATTTATCGGGAACGCATGGAGAAGCATCAGGCGAAGTTGGAGGAGGAGAAGCAGTGGTGGGAGAAGAAGAAGGAGGGGTATATGAAGGAGTTGGATCCCGAGTCTGCTTCTGCTTCTCCTGCTGCTGCTGCTGCTGCTGCGGCAGCGGAAGAGAAGAAGGTCGAGGCGAGTGCGGCGGCGAGTGAGTCTGGGTCTGGGGAGGCCACGCCGGCTACCAAGACGCCTGAGTCGTCGGGGGCGCCGCCTTCGGTGGCTGGCAGTGATGATGATGCGGTGTTGGTGGAGAAGGATGAGCAGGCTGCTGGGGGGAATAAGAAGGGGGCGAATTAGATGGTGTTGGTTGGTTTTTTTATGGCTTTGTAGATCGGTTGGGTGTATGTTTGTTTATGGTCAATTTTATACCTTTTTTTTTTTTCTTTTCCCCGGGCTCAGGGTGTAGTGTGATGGCTGTTGAGGATGGAGAATTCTGTCATTCGGGTATCGTCTGGTGGGTGATCTGCCAACCGATGCAGACAGAGACTACGGCGGACTGCGGCACATCAAGAGACTTCTATTATACATGCATATATCAATGTCTAATACCTTTTTTATATACACAGGAAACCCGAACGCCAGCCATGCTTACGCCCTCCCACTATGTCCACAGTTTTGCTCACAAAAGCAAGTCACCGGCATCGACAGACTCCCCCAGATCCAATTCTCTCACCCCCATTTCCGAAGCCGCCGCCGCAATCTGTCCCTCCACGGACTCGGCATCCCCCACTGCCCGGCCCATCACGACCCGCAGCAGCTCGGCCATCACCTCCAGCTGGTACTGCTCGCGCTCGGTGGGCTCGAGATCGTCCAGTTCCAGCCCCCGCGCCGCGAGAGCCCCCCTCTTGCGATTGCTGAGGATCTCCACCAGCCGGTTCACGTGCCCGATGTTCTCCTTGCTCTTGGGCGTGCTGGACAGGCGTCGGAGACGTCGCTTGGGCGTGTCCGCGGGAACCCCCGCGAGCCGCGCGACCTGCAGCACGATCAGGCGCGCCGTGGTGTCGTTGGGGAAGAAGCCGAACAGGGCCCGCATCGAGTACAAGGCCACGAGCGTCCCCGGGAGGTCCTTGGAAAGACAGAAGCACCGGATGATTTGGTCGTAGAGCTCCTTGGAGAATTCCTCCCGCGCGGTGGCCTGCCCGCGGGCCGGGAGCCGGGCGTGCCAGCGCATCATGTCCGAGAAGAGATGGCGAGCGGATGGGAAGCCCGTCACATAGGCGGTGCGGCCGCGGTCGTATTGCAGCTTGCCGCAGTCCCAGAGGCACGCGTACGTTTCCAGGTCTGGCCGGGTCGAGGCCGACATGGCCTGGTACTTGTCCCAGAGCGACCCGAGGTCTTGTTTCCGGAGCTCTGCATAGAGGAGATGGTTCATGAAGTACGAGTTCGGTTGGATCCGGCCATCGCCTAAGCATTTGACCAGGTATCGGATCATGTCGTCGTCACTCCTCCGGGTGTAGTGAAGCAGGAGGATCGAAAAGGTCTCGATGGTTGCGGCCGGCATCGGTCGTTTCATGAACTCAGGCAGGCGGATGCTCTCCGCACTCGCTTTGACGTCGAGTCGGGGAGCCTTCGCCGACGAGTTGGCGCGTGTCCAGACCAGGTCGATCCTTTGCTGGACCATGGCCCAGCCGAGGCGTTCGGCCTTTTCTTGAGCGGAGTTGCTCCCATCACGCAGCCAGGCGGCGATGACACCGTTGAGGTGCTTGGCGTCCGGCTTGACACCTCGTTCGTACATCAACTCAATGACCATGGCGGCCGAATCGACCTCGCCCATCCCGATCAGTTTCTTCATCCAGCTGGCGTAGAAGAACCGATTCTGAAATTTCCGGGGCAGGACTGTCAGGGTCGAGAGGGATACCTTGTTCACATCCTGTTCCGAGACACTGGACGCTTGAAGGTTGCCAACCAAGCCGACAGCGGCCTTGTACAGGGACGTCGAGTCGTGCCGGGGGTCTCCGGTCACCATCATATCCTTGAACACGGCGATGGCGAGACCCAGCCGGCCCGCTTTGAGGAAACCGATACTGACCTTGTCATAGTCGTCCATGGTCATATTCCGCTCCAGGAACGCTTTCAGTTGCAGATACAGCGCCCACGCTTTGACTTCCGCCTCCTTCCCCGAGCGTCGGCCCCAGGCCGTGATCACCGGAATGAGGATATGCGGTTGGCGCGACTTATCGTTTGCCAGAAAGGCCAGGGCGATGTCCTGTGCCCGCTGAGGGTTGTCTTCCGCCGCAAACAGCCGGACTCCTAACTTCCAATACGCCTCCAGGTCTTCCTTGCTCTGACAGAGGTCCGCCTGATAGGCTTCCCACTGATCTAGAGCCGCTTGAGTATCCCCGGTTTCATGAAGGGTTTCGATGTAAGAAAGGATCCGAGGCGTGGAAAGGGCCAGACCGGCCGACATGGCGTCTTCAGCCAGTGTTCGTATGCGCGCGGTTTCCTCTCTCTTGATGGGCCCTTTGGGCGCCTGAGAGTCCCACAGGAGGTTTAAGGTCTCCTCCGACATCGACCTCAAAAACCCAGGGACGACCTGTTTGCATCGACGGTACCATTTCCACAGGTCCTGCTGCCAGCGCAGATTAAAGTCCCCGCTCGCGATTCGTCGGAGGCATCCGTTGAACTTGTCGACATACGGCTGCAGGTCCGAGTCCTCCGATTGAACTTCGTAGGGGCGTCGGACAAGCCGCTTAGCGGCCTCTTCGTCCTCCCCGTCTGACTGCCAGTCCTCCTCCTCCCTCATTATCTTTTCGAATTCCTCCTTGAAGAGACCGTCGAGTTCCTTGTCGTAGAGATCCCTAAGGTTGATGTCGGCTTCCTCGCCTTCCTCCGCGGCATGTTTTCGCAGGGCTTCCAGCGCAATAGCCCGGTCCTTCTCGGGCAGTTCTCGCATGAACTGACTGTCGGGGCCGAAAGGGTCTTTCAGAGCCTCGAGCTCCTCGGTCAGCCGGGTCAGCTCATCTTCAACCTCCTTCTGTTCGGCGCGCTGCTCCGCCTCCGGGTCCACTCTCCTCCTCGTCTTGCTTTTGCGCGTGTCCTGTTCGTAGAAGGTGACTTTGTTGTTGTTGGGACCGCCAAAGTGAATGGAGCGCGGCGCTACAGCGGAGAATGCTCGCGGCAAAGACGGGCGTCCGCGGGCCACATGCTGATACCACCGAGCTCCTCGGACAGCCTGGCGGAGCATGAAGTATGAGCGATTAGATCATCGGACAAAGGGCGGGGTCTAGGTAAAGGATCAGAACAGACCGACGAATGATGGAGGAGATGGGATGGCAAGAGGAAAAGTGTGGGAGTCGGAAGGCGAAGAAGAGAAAGAGAAAGAGAAGCTCCGCGGCGGAAAACCATTTCGTCCCGTTCGGGCTTAGCGCCCCCGCGAGCTCGATCGCCGCCCAGGAATCCAGGCCGCCATTCGTGATTCTTCTCGACTCCTTCGCGCTCTCATTCAGCTGGAGAGAGGACTCAGGTCACCATGGATTCCGAGTTGCTGGATGCCGAGCCAGCCAGTGCGCTCCAAGATGGCACTAACGGTCAGGTACCGCCCCGTCAATGCCCCGTTCCCGTTCGTCACGACCCGTCGCTAACGAGCCAAGGGTGTCTATATCTACACGCCCGCCGATAAAAGCAAACCCTCGGGAGAGCGTCCCTCCAAGCGGCGCAAGGTGGTCTCGGAAAAGGCAGCGACAGAGAAGAAGGTTCACCCTTTCGTGTCCCTTCTGAATGGCGAAGAAGACGACCAATCAATCGAAGCGCGGTATAGAACATACCACCAGCTCTGGTCTACCCAGGAGGCAAAGATTCAGGTCCGTCGGATATTGTCGGGAGATGAGCGGCTGGATAAGGTCCCTAATATGTGGCTCAGGACATTCTAGATGACGTCGACTCCGAGGTTCTAGCCAGTGTTTCTTCCTTCGTTCGGTCAACCTCTCCTCAAACGTAAGGGCGGATCGTGCTCCATAGGGTTATCCATGTCCTGACATACGGCAGATACGACGGTTGTATCCCGGCGGCACTAGTTACGGTGGGCTCCAATGTCTCGTCGCTTGCGAGACTGCTGGCCAGACTCAACGGTCAATTAACCACGGCCGGGGACGGAGGAGCTATCGTGCTGGAGTCCGGCGATGCGCCCAACCTCAAAACGACCCTCAAAAATATCATCAGATTTGCCATCACGAACACCGAAGGGAACGATGGCTACCAGTCCTTTCTCACCGATCGAGAGGTGACTGATGTGCTCCTTACCGTGCAAAACGTGTGCTAAGAGTGATGTAGGGCCCCAGAGTTCTCGCATACGATCTGGATCTCTTGGGCGACTATGTTAGGCGGAAAGGTATCAAGAAATTGGTGGTCGCATTCCGTGACAGTGAAGCTTTCGACCCAGGTCTCCTTACCGATCTTTTATCGCTACTAAGGTGAGCCAACCCTGGGTGACTGAGGCTGTAACAGCTAAGCTGATCGGGCAGCTCGTGGCTTGATCGGATCCCCTTTACCCTCTTATTCGGCATCTCGACGTCCGTGGAGCTCTTCGAGGGGAGACTCCCGCGATCAACGGTCGCTCTGCTTCGCGGGAGGTATTTCGAAATTCATGAGGCGAGCAATTGCGTCGATCGCATCTACGGGAGGTTACAGGCAGAACAGGATGGGAAGCTCTGGCTAGGGCGCAATATCACGAACGTTTTGTTTGAAAAATCCAACGATTCATTCCAGACTCCGGAGGCCTTCAGCCGTACGGTAAAGGTATCTTCGAATTTGACTTATCCGTGTCATCGCTTCTCTTCTAACAATAGCAGTACGCGTACATGTCCCATTTCTTTGCGAACCCGTTGACGGTGCTCCTAGCAGGCGAGACTCCCCCCAGCATGCGCGAGGACATCGTCTGCGAAGCAATCAGAAACCTTCCCTCCTTCCGACTGTAAGGCTGCTTTTCCACATTGATCTTCCCTGTTGCTGACTCGAAGCAGGTATTGCGAGGAGCTGCTTGACGGAGGCTCTGCCAAGCACGTGCGTGACCTGCTCGAAAACGACGAGATTCTTCTCCAGCACAGTCGACAGCATCTGACGGACGGGCAGCAGAGGATGCGCGACATCTTCCAGTGCGTCAAGTTGATACACCTGCTTCTGAAGAAACTCAACCTCGTCAAGAAGACGAGTATATCGGATCTATCAATCCGCGCGCTTTCAGGCGAACTTCAGGACTCGCCCTTAGTCAATGACATCCTCCTAGCTACCAGAACGCTAGATTCCACCCTACTCACGGAAGTATTAGCCACCCTTCCGACCACTTTAGCGGAGCGCGCAGAATTACAAGACATCCGAGCAGAGTTTAATGCCCTAGAGCAGACATACCAGGGCCCCGAGCCCCTCAGGAGCGCGCATGACAAGCGCCACTCCGTCGTGGCAACCACCGTTGTTCAGCAGCGGGTGAGACTCAGCAAGGGCAAAGCCAAGTTGCCCCAGGAGCATATTGAGTACACCAAGATCATCGACCGTTTTCACACCCTGCTCGAGGGATACTTCGAGCAGACTCTGCAGAGCCCGCAAGATCTTGTCCTGCACGAGATCTTCCTGTTTGATATGAGAAACCCCTTGAAAGAGATATTCTCCCCTCGACCGCGGTTTGCAATCGAACGGGCACTGTCCAACCCGTTCGACTATCTCATGTCCCCCTCGGAGAAACCCGAGACCAAGGTTTCCGCGAACCAACCCGCCACGGCCATTCTGTACCAGCTGTATTTGGAGTCCGGGTCACTGGTGAATGTCTACGACCTCTGGCAGGCGTTCTACGCCGTGTTTGAAAGCGAGCAAGGGGATTCCTGCGACGAACGGACCACTATGGCCCTCTTCTACCGCGCCCTGTCGGAACTCCAGGCTCTGGGCATGGTGAAAAGCAGCCGGAAAAAGGCTGACCATGTCGCCAAAAGCGCATGGATGGGATTGTGATTTGTATTGGATATTAAGCACTAGCCATCGTACAGCGATCTCATACTCAAATCAAGGGTATCATAAGAACATGCAAAGAAGTAATTGCCACCTGAACCATCAGTAGCCTGTCGCCTCATGAGGAGTCGCTGTGAGTCTCTCCGAGACGGGCAACTGGATAATGTCGTCGTTCCCTAGCGGGCGTCCCCCATCGCTTAACACCATCGCTTCCCGCCTGCGCCGCCGGACAGCCTGTTCCTCGGCGGTGCGAAGGCGTCTTCCCGGTACTTGTCTGATTTCCGCGGTATCCTCTCCATCCACCATCCACACGTCACTATCGTAGTCATCGTGGTCATTTTCTTCTAGCATGCTGCCCATCAGCCCGTATTTGCGTAGTTGCTTGGCACCGTCAGAATGCGAGGACAAGGTGCCAAAGATCGCGCTCATAATGGTATCATCCGACCACCATGTCTTCATTAGGAGCACCACATCCTGCCGCCGGGAAGGTTCGGCAAGAGCGCATGGAAACGGGTACTTGACCAACCAGCGGCTCACAATGCCCGCTTCCAAGGCGGCCGGGACATTTTCTTGGAGGACGATATTCAGTATTCCCAGTGCCTTCTTCTCGCCTAGGGGCCGTGTCTTGGGAAGGATGGGGGAGATGGTAGTGGTCGTCTCTTCGACATGTTCGTCGAGGAAGTTGCACAGACAGTCGATGAGCGCGTTGTAGGTAGAGTGATCTTTCAGCCGGACACCGACTGAGGTTCGTGACACTATAGGTGGGGGTCAGTATGGCTCGAGCCTGTTGAAGTGCAAGCCAGGAGGGGTAGATGCATACGAGCACGGTTGGAGACAAGGAAGTACATGGCACTGAGGGCCTTACCCCGCCGTTGCTTGTTTTTGCTTGCAAGATCCCGCAAAAGCAAGTCTCGGGTTTCGCCCTTGGTCGATCGTTCGGCAATGATGCGCACCGCACTAGAAATCAGATATCAGCTATCTACTGCGCGCCGCCACCGGAAATCGTCCAGGCCCATTCATACGCTGCGCGGAGGTCGTAGCTGGTGCTATCGGAGAGCTTCAGCAGGGTGTCTAGATTCAGGGCTGCACCAGCATTAGTTTTCACGTATACCAAACGAGAGAGCCGGAACGAACCATCTTCCGTGCCCTGATTGATCATGCTATCCTCCTTTTCGACATGCCTGATTTCCGTCAACTCGCCGACTCGGCGGAGGTCCGTGACAATCCCGCGGACGGCGAAGAACAGCGAGACGCCTGGACGCGGTCAGTTACTGCGGCGTCGCCCCTCGGTCAAGAACAGCAACTTACCCAGACATATCCAGACGACGCGATCGTTCAGATGAGAATTCATGGTGTGAGCGAACTGCCAGCAAGGCAACAGCGAGAGGCCGTCTTGCATCCAGCGTCGAACGAGGAAAAGCGGGGAGTCACGAGCCAGCGCGGTACTGCCGGCAGAACCCTACTCCGGGGGCGGTGAGGTCGCTTTTTTCGGGGCGGATCCACGCCCGCTTCGGCCAAAAATTTCGGTGGAGATCCAGCACGCTTCTGCGTCGTCGTCCACCCCCAACTATGCCGCCGTCGCAGCTTAAGCAGCTCAAAGCCTCCCTCCGGGATGGCGGAATCCTGGGCCCTCAACAGTCCAAGAAGCAGAAGCGCCAGAATGCAAAGACCGGCGTTTCCGCCCAGAATCGCATGAAGCGTGATTCCGCGCTGCAGGCCATTCGCGACCGCTTCAACCCTTTTGAAATCAAGGCCACTTCCCGGGCCAAGTTCGACGTAACCACCCGGGATGTAGGCTCCAAGTCGACTCAGAACCATGCGAGACCCGGTGTGACCAAGTCTCTTGGTGAAGAAAAGGTGAGCGAGGTCAGGAGTCTCCGAGGCGGGTCGTTACTGACGATATCTCCCCACACAGCGACGCCAAACACTACTGCGGGAAATGGACCGGAAGAACAAAGTCGGCGGCATATTCGATCGCCGGTTCGGTGAGGATGATCCGACAATGACGCCCGAGGAGAGGGCCGCCGAACGATTCGCCCGAGAGAGTCAGAAGAAATTGCGAAAGGAGTCCATGTTCAACCTGGAGGATGACGAAGAAGAGTTCACGCTCACACACGGAGGACAGTCTCTGTCATTCGGGGAGGGTGCCCTCGGAGACGACTTTCAAGAAGGCGATTTGGGTCCAGACGACGAGTCGGATTCCGAACTGCCGCGCAAGAGGAAGCGGGTGCTTGGCGATGACGAGGATCTAGAAGACATAGTGGATGACGAAGAGGAGGGAGAGGAGCAGCCAGAGCGGAAGAAATCGAAACACGAAGTCATGAAAGAGGTCATCGCCAAGTCTAAATTCTACAAAGCCGAGCGACAGAAGGCCAAGGAGGACGACGACGATCTCCGGGAGGAGCTCGACAAGGGCCTCCCTGATCTTTTCGATATGCTGAGGGGCGTGAAGCCTCCTCCGAAGCCAGAACCACCAAAGGACGACCTCGCAGCAATGAACCCCGCCCGCGCAGCACTGCTGGCTGGGAAGTCCCAAGACGAAACCGAGCAGGAGTATGACCAGCGCTTGAAGCAGCTAACTTTTGATAAGCGGTCTCAGCCAACGGACCGTACGAAGACGGCGGAGGAGAAGGCCGAGGAAGAGGCCCAGCGATTGAAGACCCTTGAAGAAGAGCGACTTCGACGCATGCGCGGTGAAGAGTCAAGCGAGGACGAAGATGAGGACGAGGAAATGAACGAGGAGGATGGCAGCGGAGATGAAGAGGAAGATGACGAGTCGTTACCGGATGATGCGAAGGCTTTCGGACTGCAACAACCCACTGCTGAGACGAGTACTCGTCCTGAGCTGGGAGTTGAGGATGAAGACGATTTCATCATCGATGATGATCTTGTTGAAACGAGGTCCGACGTCAGTCTATCATTCATTGAAAGCGATTCGGAGATGGAATCCGCCGAAGAATCCGAGGAGGAGGAAGAAGAGGAGGAAGACGAGCTCATCAATGGCTTCACTATACCTGGACTCAAGTCCGGCGATGCCCCGGCCGCCTCCGACGAAGAGCCCAGTGACGGTCTGGCATACACATACCCCTGCCCTGGCAGCCACGATGAGTTCCTGGAGATCATCAAGGACGTGTCGATGCAGGACCTCCCCACGGTGGTCCAGCGCATTCGAGCCCTGCACCATCCCCGCCTCCACAGCGACAACAAAATGAAGCTCGGTCGTTTCGCTGGAATCCTCGTCCAGCATGTTGCATACATGGCCGATCAACCCGAACACCCTCCGTTTGCCATTGTGGAAAACCTCCTCCGTCACATCCACTCCCTGGCGAAGAGCCACCCCGACAACGTTTGCCAGGCATATCGCGCCCATCTTCGCCAAATCGCCACAGAGCGTCCTCTCAATCTCCATCCCGGCGACCTGGTGATTCTCACCGGCATTGCCACCACCTTCCCGACGTCCGATCATTTCCACGCCATCGCAACCCCCGCACACCTGTGCATTGCTCGCTACCTGGGCCAGGGCGCGGTCAATTCTCTTGCCGACCTGTCCACGGGCACGTACGCAGCCAGCCTATCTTTGCAGTACCAGATGATCTCCAAGCGGTACATGCCCGAACTCATCAACTACATCCTCAACATCCTGTGCCATCTCAGCCCGAAAGAGCCCAGTGAGAGTCTCGGATACTTCCCCACCCGGAGCCCCCCAACCTCCCTCCGACTGAACCCATCCAAGTCCGTCTCCCCTAGAAAGCTCCGCTTCTGGGACATCACCGAGCAATCGTCTTCCAATTCCGAAGAACTCAAGCTCTCCCTGATCACCACCCTCGTCACCCTCCTGGGTACCGCCTCCGACCTCTGGATCAGCAAGTCCGCCTACACCGAGATCTTCACTCCCGCCCAGAAGGTCCTCAAGCACCTCCTCCGCTCCTGCAAGGGCAGCAAGATCTCCCCCGTCACCCGGGATACCCTGCAATCAACCCTCGACAAGGTCGACAACCACCTGGCACAAGCCCGTCGCACGCGTCGTCCCCTCCTTCTCCACCACCACCGCCCGCTGGCCATCAAGACGGCCATCCCCAAGTTCGAGGAAACCTTCAACCCGGACAAACACTACGACCCGGACCGCGAACGCGCCGAAAGCAACCGCCTCAAGGCAGAATACAAGCGCGAGCGCAAGGGCGCCATGCGCGAACTCCGCAAGGACGCCAACTTCATTGCCCGCGAGAAGCTGCGCGAGAAGAAGGAGCGCGATGCCGAGTACGAGCGCAAGTACAAGCGGCTTGTGGCCGAGGTGCAGAACGAGGAGGGTCGCGAGGCCAATGCTTACGAAAGAGTCAAGAGAATGCGGCAGGGCAAGCGGTGATTCAATCATCCTTGGTGGGTTGGTTGGTTGGTTCACTTGTGTCTTTCTGCCCGCTTCTTTCTTTTTCTTTCGTCATGTTTGCATGTTCGCTCCCACTCGGTGCTCGTTTTTTTCTCTGTGTGCGGGTTACGGGCTGGTCTACTGATTAATTCTAACTCTTGTATGCGCAAGACCTTCGGATGACGTTTGAATAGATGTATATATCCAGTTACTTATTCGATCATGGGGGCGATGATGGAATGGCAACATAAAAGAATGTTTTTTTTTATTTATCTCAGATATGTCCCTGTAAATCATGCCATCGGGAACAATGATGGCGTGTTTACACCTGGATCAACTGTATAGTTCTCTGAGGAAGTGACCGACTGTAAGCGGCTGGATGTAAACAGAACACGATACAAGTCAATGTTACTGCGAAAGATCCGTGCCTATGCTTGTCCAGTAATCGCATCGCTCCCTCTGTGCCATCGGCACCGTCTCCATTGCGGTATTGTTGGTTTGGATGAAAATGCGACGGTAGTCCTTTCCGTCACCCCATGTCTTCCACTCAGGGCTACCGAGGTAACGATGCGGATTGGGATCGAAGAATTTGATGAAGCTGGTCCAGTAGCCCTGCATCACCGGCACAATGGGGGCATTCGAGGTAAAGTACGATGCAGGAGGGGTCCCGCTCACGTACTGCGGTCCCCAAATTGCATTTTCTTCCACCGTATGGCTAACCCCTTCACCAGACGCTTCCGCAGCTGGGTCTTCAACGGCGTAGTGGTAGTTCCAACTATTCACTCCGGCCGAGGCGAATACAGATGACAAGTAGATTCCTGGACAGATATACCGGATCTCACCGTATGCGTTGCTCGTGGGTCTCCAGTACGGTTTTGAATCGGGAAATTGGCGAGTCTGGTTTTCTGAGAGGTACCAGTGATTCAACTTCGCCAGGTGATCAAACCTAATATTAGGGAATTGACTCTGGATGAAAGTATCGGCTTCCCCGACAGTGGACGTGTTTTTGGGAACGAAGATGGTGCCTTCGTCTGTGTCGTCTCCAAAAATAACAGGAACCTTGATGAATTTTCCCTGCTGGAATAGTCGATACGTGTAGTCGGGGACAAGGTCTCCATCCACTACAGGTCCATACATGTACAGAGGCGGCGTTTGAGCGCTAGGTAAGGGCGTATTGATGTTTACGCGCTGTATGCTCGCTGTATCCAGGCTGCGCAAGCATGCAAGCGTGTCTGGGTCACTTGCGCAACCGGTGCGGATAACGAGGTTATTATAGGCAAACTGGCTTTGGTCGATGGTCCACACGGGACCGAAGCTTTGCGACTCTGCAGCAGCAGCATGGAAGAGACCTTGATCCTCGCCTCCGTAGGCTGAAAGAAGAAGTGTAATAGAGGCCGCACCGGCGCTATCGCCGCCGATGACAACATGATTGGGATCCCCTCCGAACTGCCGAGTCATGGTCAGCGGCGACGTGCTGTCGTTAGTCCACAGGATCACACCTTGCTGATATGTGTCTTCACCCATTTTAGAACCTTGATCTGATCCTTCAGGCCATTATTCACGCTTCCACCCTTTGACACCTCCGCCCCGGACAGAAAACCGTAAGGGCCTACTCGGTAGTTGAAGGTAACCACAAGGATGGCCATTTCAGATGCTTTGATTAGACCTGTTCCATTGTAGTTGGGGCTTGAATTTTGATTGAAGCCGCCTCCTTGAATCCAAACAAAAACGGGCAGCTTGGTAGCGTTTCTCGCTGCGCTAGGGACGTATAGATCGAGAAAAAGACAATCTTCAGATGTGCCAGCAGGAGCCGGATATTCGCCCGTGGGGATACACAGGGGCCCGTGCTGGTCGCGACGTGTCAGCGCAGGCACCGAGCTTAGACGATTCCATTGCTGCTAAAAGTATACCTGTGATGCATCCTGGACACCCTCTACCGTCTCGGGATCCTGCGGCGCAGAGAACCGCAGGGGCCCTACAGGTGCGGCAGCATAGCGTATCCCCAGCCACTGAGTGATGCCATCCGGTAACGCCTGGCCTTGATATCGCGCGTAACCAAGGTTTACCGTCGAGCTTTGAGAAGATGCTACCAGGTTGAAGAGAAAGGTGGACAGTGCAAGATGACAGAGAATCATATTATATGGTGCAGTGGGTCTTGGGATCATAGACGCTTCATCTGTTGTAAAGCTGCAACTGGAGAAGATATAGTGGCAGCCATGGGGGGGGGGGGCCCGGGCACCATACTTGCTATTTAACAGCGCGAACGCTTGGACGGTAACGCGCCCCAAGGAAGTTCGGTTCATGATCTGGGAAATGGTGAGAAAATGGGCCGCGGCAAGGTTCTCTCCTTGCGCATACAGTGATTCAATGCATCCCAAGAACGGGACAGTCCCGGACGGTGGTGGAGACTATAGTTTGGACGCCCGAAATCCATCTAGGCTAGCGAGCAAGGTGACCGGTTGAGGGACATCTGATGGGACGATCTTCACTAGCAGCCTTGGCCGATGGAGACGCAACCCCCATTATGGGGGAGGGGCAGCGATGGAGAGGAACCCGAAGGATGGGAGAGTTGGGGAGTTGGAGAGTTGGAGAGGGGAGGAAAGGAAATCGGGGGGACCGCCGGAGAGGGAAAACCCGCCCTCCGCCAGAATCGGCATCCCCGCAGTCGCATCGCTTCCTGGTTTTCCGGATTTTGGCCTGGTCTTCAGCATCATTCCTCTTTCTCTTGCTACCGTTGCTCATCTGACTCGACCGAAACCCCACCCCGTCGATCACTCCAGCTCCGGTATCTACATTTACCTCCGACGCACGCTCAGGCCAGCCATGGCGCCTCCCCCTCACCCCGAGATCCCCGCACGCGGAAGGCCGGACGAAGAGGACGAGGAAGACGACTACATGTCCATGGTCATTGAAGAGCCCCAACAGAAGGAAACCTTTGCGCAAAAGAAGCGGCGACAGCAACGAGAGGTATGTGCAAGGATAGGCCATTCGGGACCCTGCTGACCAGCCACGCCCCAGGCCGAAGCGCGAGCCAAAATTCCGTCCAAGGCCGAGCGCGCTGCCCAAGAAGCTGCCCGTCGAGATGCCGCCTTATCCACCAGTACGCTTGATCCCTCCAACAAGGGATTCCAGATGATGGCCAAACTGGGCTTCAAGCCGGGACAAGTTCTGGGCAAACCTGCTGCGCCTCAAGACGGGAAGGATACCAACACCAACACCCCCGACGACCCGAACTTGCGGGGCCGGTCCGAGCCCCTCAATTTGATTTTTAAGGAGGATCGGGGCGGTATCGGTCTGGACACGGAGCGGAAACGCAAATTTCTCGAAGAGGCAGAAGAAGTAACGAAGAAGGTTAAACAAGAAGAGGGAGATTACCGCGACCGGGTACGGTTGGAGAGGGAGACGCGGCGACTCGAGGCGCAGTTCCATGCTGCGCAGAAGGTTGCAGAACGGCTAGATGCCGAAGCAGAGGCTGAGACGGGGCCATCCCTCCAGCCGCAGGAAGGGAAGTCGGGCGAGACAGAGGATCTTGGAGGAGACGAGGGAGAGCCACAGGGAGATGATTCGGGCGGCGAGCCAAGTCCGAAGAAAGCTAGAAGGCCGGTCAAACCAACCTCCCAAATCAACATCCTCTATCGGGGGTTGGTGAAGGAGCGAGAGGAGAAGGAACGTGCCGTGCAGACACGACATATGTTACAGACGTCGCTTCCATCGTCCTTTTTCCCTAACCCACAACTACCGGGGTATGATGACTCGACTCTCGATCAAGATGACCAGCAGGCACTTGGGGGGAGACGGGAGATGGCCGCGATTCTTGAACAAGAGTTGGAAGAAGAGGACCCGGAATTGGACGAGTTCAATGCGCTGGAGCCGGGCGAACGTCTGACCCGACTGGTTCAGTATCTGCGCGAGAACCATCACTACTGCTTCTGGTGCAAATATCGGTACGAGACGGCAGAGATGGAAGGGTGTCCGGGAGTGACAGAGGAAGACCATGACTAACGACTGACGTGCATTGTACTATAGATCCTCTGTATGTAATATCATTACAACTCGACCGCTGAGTTTCAAATTAGACTAGTTTTCATGTCATGCAGGATACCCCACTAACAGGACATGGTATATCGACCCAATCGCCAGGATTGGGACTGCATATATAGTTGATCAAGACACTGAGGAAAGAAAAAAAAGAGACACGACCATTAGTAATAGGAAGAAGATGCACATCGAATCACAAACAGGTGGCAACAAAGAAATTCCAGTGGTATCAGTGAAAGCACCATGACCCATCAAACGTACACCGGGCATGGCTGTCGGACAAATAAGAGCCACGGGTGTTGGAAGCACCGAGAAGGAAAAGTGGCGCGCATGTAGCAACCTTCTTCTGTAGGCGCCAGACATTAAGTAGAAAAGAGATGAAGAGAGGAATGCGCAAGAGTGCGGACAAGCCAGGCCGGGATAGCATCAGAATTTGGCCGCGGGGATGGTCTCCATCAACTGCGCCAACGAGCGGTTTGGGCATGTCTGCAGCGTCTGGAAACAGCTGGCGCAGATGCGCAGGCAGCAGAAGACACATCGATATCGGACTTCGCGGTCAAACTTTTGGCAGGTCATGCACGGAAGCGTGTGCCAGACATTGTTGGCAGGGGGCATGGACCGATGGTCCTGGTAGCAGGCAAAGTGGAGCTTGTTCAGCGGTGCTGCGACAGGCTCAATCTCGGGAGGCGTCCATGGCCCATTGTTCTCCTCGCTGGACACGGGTTCGATGGGAGCGGCGGTGCCATCCAGTTCCGGCTCGGGCTCCGGGATGAAGTCTTCCAATGGCTCATCTGCGTCCGGGCGTAGTATCACCCGGTCCGGACCCTCCTCACTCGACGGAGGCGTCCTTTGCACCGGCACTGCCGCCACTGGAGGACGATATGCCTGATATGCTCGCGGAGGAGGGGTGTAATTGGCAGCTGGAGCGGGTGGGAGGAAGTCCTCCTGGGGATGGCGCGGTTGTACGGCGGAAGGCAGCGGAGTCGGCGAAGGCGACTCCGAGTCCGTTTGCGGCGGAGTCACCGTCGTCGCCGGTGCCTGCACAGGCTCGGCTCCTTTCTGTGGCAGGGAATCGGAGGACTTCTGCTTGAACCCTTTCATGGCGAAGGACGGTACTCGCAGGCCGCGAGTGCGATTTTCTTTGTCGAGGATGGCCATTTTTCTTTTCGGGGCAACCCCTGCTGTCTTCTGGGAGCAGAAACTGTGAAGAGCACGGCCGGACGTGGAACTTGAAAGTGAAGAGGGTAGCAAAAGAGAAAGAGAGGAAGAGGGGGAGGGGGGGAAGAGAGAGGAAGGGAGGCTAAGGTCAGCCTAACCCTAGATGTTGCTGCTGAAGAAGAAGAAAAAAAAATAGAACAAGGAAAAGAAAAAAAAAAAAAAAAAAGTCAAGAATCAAGTCCTATGACGATGGGGCGCTAAACAAGACACTCGAGCCTACACCGTGCCTACTGAATACTACTAAGAGGAACGGAAGCAGAAAAAGTGGATATGGAAAAGATAAATCCGGATTACCATCGATCCATCCAGGAACGCGCAACAGGGGACGGACGAGCTGAACCATGGATGGCTCCACTCCCGGGGAGGCAGCCAGCCCGACGGCCGTCATTGATCGCGGACGATGGATGGATAATTCGATAGATAGATAGTTCTTGGGGGAATAGACAGATGAGTGGGGTGCCTTCTGATCGACTCCAAAGTCAAGACCGCGAGAAAAAGAAACCACCCACTCAACTTCAAGCGAGCTGCAGCCTGCAGCTGTCGCTGTCGAGGTGGATGGATCAGTCGCCGTCCGCCCTTGACTAGTGGACGATAGCGTTCGTTCAGCCTTCGGTTGCCCTGGTCTGCTCTCTTCACAATTCTCATCCTGTCCTCTGGCTGAAGCTCACATGGGTGGCGGTCACGCCGGGATTGGCTGCGCGGCGAAACGAGAAACAAGAAACTACTAAGAAAGACCCTGCACGGGCGCTAAGAGTCATCATGGGAAATGAGATAAGGGCCGAGTCATCTCAGGAGTCCTGCTTATCATCATGTCGTGTCGTCGGCTTATTTCCTCCAGGGCCGGTGGAGCCCCTCGCGTGGCTGAAACAAACAAGATCGCAGCCCCGATCCACGATGATCGTCCCCCTGGTCCCTGGTCCCTGGTCCATACCAGGTTAATGGCTCATGCATCGCCCAGCCTACATTCAATGCCAAGTGTCAGAGACATCTATTCCAACTTCCAACCCTGAAATTCAACCGATCCATCCCCCCCCCCTAGCAATCTTCTGCCCGTCCATATGCTTAATACATCGGCCTCCACCAGGCTACTCCCACACGCTAACAAGTAGAGAAAACAGTAAAGGCGCATCCACAGGCGCCTATACCCACAGAAAGAACAAATAAAAAAGAGGAAATGGTGGCCAAGGCAAGTCTATGCAACTGTATGTATATAAGGAAAGATACCATGTGCGTCCCAGTCATCACAACCAAGGAGAAAAAAGGAATTGTAAAGGAGCGTATCATCATCCGAGTGTCCCTCCCGACGGCCTTGCACGCCTGCACATCTGTTGCTTTGCATCCCGGAATACCGGGAGCAGCACTAGCGTTCGACAACGAGATTCAAGAAGAGACAGGGAAGGGGCCGTCAGTGGCTTTTAGACGCAACGGCCATTGCTTCAAGAAGTAGCTTCCGTATTATATGTGGCACCAGTGATCCTAGCTGATTGTGTCTCTAGCTCTTTCGGCATCAAGCCATCGCCGTGCTCCTCCACGGGTGCAGTGGCCGCTCCAGCGGCCGCTGATTCAGAAGCCGACGCATCTGCCGCGGGGTGAACCGAGTGTGAGGTAGACCCTTCTGCATTCGATTGTGGGATCGTTTCCTCTACATGCTCGGGAACTTCGTCACCCTTCTCTTCATCACCAATCACAGCAGCTAAGCTTCGGAAATTGAACAGAGGCTCTGCAAAGGGGCCTGCTCCCTCACCCGAGGTGTGCGGCCCCACAGGGTCTTCGGCCATCGATTCGACCAGTGATGAGAACGATGAAGATGCACTGGAGACATGCCGAAGGTGCGACGGCCTCGTGATCTCTTTGGATGTCGCCTGGGCGACCGGGAAGGGCGACATGGATTGCGATTGATCGGCCGGGGCTACCGACACTGGGGGTGACTGGACACCCTCGGCCGCAACACTGGAACCGGCAAAAGCCACACCAACGGGTGCAGATGGTGCCACCCGTTCCACCTCCTTGCCCTTGCCGGCAGACACAGCTTCTTCTCCGGCAATGGACGAGGTGCTGCTGGTGACCCTACCCAGCCTTCCATCTTGAGGAACGTCCAAGGCGGAGCTGCTCGCATTGTTACTCGTAAGTCCGGTTTTGCGCGCAACCTTATCCGCCTTTTTGGCTTCTTTCTCCTTTCTCTTAGCCTCCTTCTTAGCCTCCTTTTCCTCTTTCTTGCGCCTCTCCTCCTCGCTAGCCAGGCTCAGTCTGATTGCCTCCATCATCATCATCTCTTCCAGATCGTCAATGCGGTTTCGCCTCGAGCTGTGACGTGGGGGTACTATGGTACCAGACCCCTCTTCAGCAGAGTCAGTTTCGTGGCCAGCCCCACGCCTATCCGTCAGAAATGCAAGGGCTTGCAGCGCCGGGGACCCGGTGCGAGCAGTAGCGCTTTGGGCTTCTGGCGCGCCGTTTCTGCGCATAACATTTCTTCGCCCCAGACCAAAGTTTCGAGAATCACTTCCAGTTCCATTGGAATGCATCAGATAAGCAGCAGTGTGGAGGGCAGTTGCTGCAGCAGACCGTCGCGCAGCATGAGCCCGAGCATTTGCCAGCTTCTGAGCCCAGTCGGGGCGGATCCTATCGGTCGTAATCACCGTAGGATCATTTGCAGATAAGGAGGTCGCACGTCGACGGCCCGTGATGGGGGTATTCCCGGAAGATAAGGAGGAGGTAGACGACAGCGGAGAGGTAATATTGAGGCGAGAGCTTGGATCAGAAGCGTAGGCCAACCCTCGACGGAACGGCGGGGGCGCATAGGTCACCCCAAATTCTGGCTGGACGCAAAAAGGACACGCCGAAGGTTCCGACACTAATTGACAATCTTGGCTCTCGGGATGCTCACCACCCTCAACTGGGGCAGAATCTGGGTTTGCATCCCCATGCTCCGGCGGATGAGGGTCAGGGCGTTTGATTTGGACGAAACATTCGGAGCATATCGGCTGGTCACAACACCTCGTACGATTTAGGTACGGGGGGTAGTAGAGGAAGCAGATGGGACACTCCGCCGCATCTTTATAGAGGTATGCTTCAATGGGCTGCCCGTTAACAAAAGGATCGCGAGGCAACTGGATCTCTCGCGAAGCTGGATCAGACTGGATACCGTGCTTAGGCGTCGTCAGGGACGCAAGGGTCTTTGCCCGGCTTCGGAATAGAGGTGAGCTTGAGGTACCGGATGCGATGGGAGATGTTGGGGAGGGTAGTGAATGCGCTGGAGTAGATGACTGGGAAGCGTCGGAGCCATAAGATTGGGATCTCGAAGTTATAGGCACCATCAGATATTGCACCGCAGCGGAATCTGAAGCCTCCTTTGTGTCTTCCGCAGCCTTAGGGGGATTCTTGTATTCTAGCTCTGGGGGAATCTCGTCGGGCGGAGGAATTGGCAGACCACGCGCCGCTGCCATGAGCTGGTGCTCCGTCCACGAGTCGGAAAAGTCATTAAGACCTCTCCAGAAAGGCGCAAGTCGTCGTTCGATCTGCGTGGGAATAGTCAGCACCGGCCCATCGAAACGGAACGGGTGGCGTCATGGGCTCACCATCAGCTGTCGGACTACGGCCTTGTTAAAATCCTCTGGACCCGTATAGACACCCTGGGTCACCAGGTAGCCACCATCAACATGCTCTTCCTTCATACTACGCTCCCGCTCTTTGAGCCGAGCTACCCGCTCTTTCTCCAGCTTGCGAGCCTCTCGTTCCTGCCTTGTTTCTCGTCGGTGTTCCAGTGTCGCCAGATCTCGCTCTGAGCTTCCGCCTATTCCAAGGATAGACAAATCGGGCCTGCTTCCCCGATTCGATCTGGAACCATCTGCGTGATGGCGGTCACCGTATGGGCCATGGTGATGACTTCGGCGATTTGACGAAGCAAGCGGTCGGCTCTCTTTCGTCTGAGAATTGCCCATCTCGGGCGAGAATGGGAGCAAACTTCAAGGCGACAATAGTAGAACCAGATAAGAACGGTAGTCAGATTGGCAAGAAGTCGGAATAAGAAAGCGGAGAAGGAACGAGGTCCCGGCCGGTAATGGGAGATGGAAGAGGCTAACGATGGGTGGGAAATGGCCCAGGCGGCGAATAAAGAGTGAGGGCCTAAGTCAAAGGACTAGTAGAAGAAAGGGACAGGTGGAGCACACGGTAGAGGACCCTCAGTTGGCAGAGCGGGGATGCAAATGAGATGATGCTAAAGGACCCGATGTGGCCATGTGAGCGACGACGTCGAAGCTGGAAGCGGCGATGAGATCAGAAGTGCGGGCGTAAGTTAGCCGCGGGAAGATGGTATGGGGCCGGATCAGGGGGGGCAGATGATTCTAGGGGCTAGAAGGGGAAGGGATCTTCGTTGGCAAGACTAGAAGAGGTAAGAATGTCCCATCCTGGGGGGAACCGTGGTGATTCGAATCCAGCGATGAGGAGGCAAGCGAAGGGGAAAAGCAGAAGAGGAAGGACGACAGCGATCCGCGTCAGTTGTCCGTGTCAGTAAGTACGGAGTCCGGAGTAGTGGCAGTAGTTCCGTCCGTCAAGCAACCGGGGGCTCAGCTGTTAGCCTGTTGGACCTTTTGCCTAGGCAGAAGGAGATCGGGTCCCGTACGGAGCCTTACCTGGTCACAATCGCCGGTTCTACCAGCCACCCGGCCCTTCCACCATTCACACCGCATCGTTGCCCTGTTGTCGTACGCACCCGAGACCCTCCGGCTGAGTATCGGCCCGACTGTTACATCGTATTATGTATCGTGGTTTCATGGCCAGGTCACAGTACTGTGTACCTAGATAGGTTGATGGGTTGCAGTGGATACATCGAGTCTTACATCAAGTACGGAGTACTCCGTACTCCCTACCCCAACCAACTTGCAAAATCTTACCTGCTCGCACACCGATGGTCTTCCGTCTTGCTGCTTCACTACTACTGTACTAGCGGTAGAAATGTCTTCGCTTTCTTCGAGTAAGGTCAGATTGTGCCCGTCCCCTTATGCACATAGCACGTATGCAAAGCACTATGGACAGGACTTGTGGCTGAGGACCGCTTACTGCGCCACCTCTCCATTCCCGGCCTTGGCGGTCCGGAAAATCCATCATTAATTTTTCGGTCTGGATCTGGATGCTTCGCATGGAGCTTATGCAACCATCTCGATATTTTTGTGAAATCACCTTCTTCCCCAATTGCCCTTGATCCTTGTCATGGAGGTGCGCTTGTGACCCGGTCGAATCCTCTCTATATGTCTTAGTCGTTCTCTGCACATTTACTGTCTTCGAATACCTTTTGGCAAATGACGACCCAAGCGTCCGATACGAAGCGCCTCCATATCACCCCATTCTCTCCCGACCTACTTCCGTCCGTGCTACCAGCATCTGTTCAAGCCCTTGCTACGGAAATTTCCTTCCATTGCATCCCAACCTTTCCGGAAAATAACTACGGCTACGTGACCTTACCAACAATGGAGGCCGACAAAATCAGAAAGAAGCTCAACGGCTCGATCCTGAAGGGTAAAAAGTTCAAGGTGGATACCGCGCGACCTAAGAAAAGATCTAGGGATGAAGAGGATGTTGGTAATGTTACCGCTAAGTCATCCTCCGACAAGAAGCCCAAGAAATCCAAGAAGCAACATGCAGATGGGGAAATTCTGGATGGGTATGAGCTCTCATCAGATCGTCGAGTAAAGAGGGGCTGGACGGAGTCAGCAGATGCTAAGCAGGAGAGGCGCAAGGAAGAGAAGAAGAAGAAGAATGGTAAGGACGAAAAGACAGCCAAATCCCAGGCAAAGTCCAAGTACACCGAGAAAGCAGAGTGTCTATTCCGAACCAAGCTACCTCCGAATAAAGTCTCCGCCGACGAGAAATCCGAGACACAGTCCAAGAAGAAAAAGAAATCCGCGCAGGAGACGGTTGTCCATGAGTTTTCGAAAACACTCACTCATCCGAGTTTCTTACGCTCTGGGGAAGATGGGTCAGCACCTACAGTTTCATTCGAAGAAGGAAAGGGCTGGGTAGATGGGTCCGGAAATGTGAAGGAGAATGCGAGCGATCGCATAAGGAAGGCCCAATACAGGCCGGGACAAGTTGCTGGAGCTAAGGAGAAGCGAAAAGCCGTCAAATCCGTCAAAGACGAAATGTCGGAACTCCAGACTGTCACAGGCAAAGAAAAGAAAGTCGTCAAGGAAGCAGAGTCTGCAGACGAATCGGAGGATTGGACCTCGTCAAGTGGAGCAACATCGTCGGAAGAAGACTCCACGGACTCTGAAAGCGACCAAGACGAATCCTTGATTTCGTCAGATGAGTCAGATGAGTCATCTAATAGCGATGAGGGTATGTCAGTACAATCAGAACAGGGTGGGCAAGATGAGACGGACTCCGAAACAAAGACCACTGTGGATCAGAATAACTCGGCGGCAGAGAACGATGCAAAAACGTCCTCTCAAGGCGTCCACCCGTTGGCAGCACTTTTCAAGAGACCTCCAGCGGGCACTTCCGACGTGAAGCCTGACACAGAGGGTAATGCGCAATTCAGTTTCTTTGCACAAGATGATATAGAGTCAGAGGACGAGGTTGAAGACAAACCGACCGAACCGCATACACCATTTACCAAGAGGGATCTGCAAGACCGTGGATTGAGAAGCGCCGCGCCAACCCCCGACACGGCTCTAGTTGGTCGGGCCATCAACTGGAAAACATTGGGACGGGCCGATCCTATGGATGTAGATGGTGAAATGCACCTAAACACTCCGGTACCGAAAGCCGCAGCAGGACCGAAGGAAGACTCAGAGTTCACCAAGTGGTTCTGGGAGAACCGGGGCGACAACAACCGCGCCTGGAAGAGGAGGCGCCGCGAGGCCGCTAAGGAACAAAGGCAGAGAGAGAACCGCAGTAAAGGAATGAAGGGAAAATCCTAGGGTTGCTGCCTGCGGCACGCTTGTCGCAAAGGATTCTGACGTTGCATAACTGGCGTACCTGACTGGCAAGCATCATGCCCAATCTAGCCACACCGTCTTCTTTACTAGATATATAGACTGCATCCATCTGGAGCGTTTATGTTGCAATAAATCACATGTATTCCTTGTTCGTGGTTATACCGACGTATGGCATCATATGCAGCCGTTTGGATGTTTTTAGGAAAGTACTCTGTAGTGGCATCACGTGCTGCCAAGACTCTGGGGATGGATCGGAGGTTCGTGCCTTGACGCCAATAAACGATGACTTTCCGCCGCGGCAATCAACACCGACACGTTCACTGTTGGCTGAAGGGAATAACCATCCCTTCCACCGCCAACCACTCAGCCATGCTGCCTCGGAGCAGTGCCTCAGGTCTGCTATTTTTTCTCGTTACCTTTTTGTCCTGGGTCTCCTTTGCGGTAGCTTCCTGTGAGTAATTCAAACCCGGTGTATGATGCTTTCTCCGCCTCTGAAGCAATGAATAAAGGCTGACGTAGTGTCATCAAATGCAGCCCCCGCGTCGTTCTGCAAGTGTACTTGCTTTTCCAACAGCACGATTATCCCTCTCGATTCCGACTCTTCCCAGTCTGGCTCGGCCTTGAACGGTGTCTCCCATTTCTTTCAGCGGAGTGATGATACACTTAGCTTGAGTGGAAGAGCCAAGAATTATCGCTCTCTGAATTGTAACGATTGTAACCGGAAGTTCTGCTTGGACTATGATTTGCCTACCTGCCATGGCGCCAAGGAGGACGATGTCTTCACCACCTGTTTCCGTATGGTTTTGTTCTCTCTTTGTATTTCATTAGGCTGACATCGCATCTCTCTTAGAAAGAGACTCCCGGAAAGACCAGGCCATAGTGTTTATTTTTATCATTGCTACAGGCAGTCTGCTTGCCTGGGCAATCTTTAAGCCTTGGGTAGAAAAGTGGCTCGAGGTATCTTCATCATGTTCATGCTTTACTTTTCCGGAAGCGCTGACTCGATCATATAGGCTGCAAGGGAGCGGCGATCATATATCCCAATCTCCGAAAATGCTGGCCATTAGGGATAGGAATGCATATTACATGCAAGTTACACACTACAACACCGATCCGGCTCACTTGCCCGTGGCATACTGACGCCGGTCATTCGTGAAACCGAAGCTAGAGGTGAAACAGCTACCCACGCGATCTTCAAGTCGGAGTTTGATACACACACCTGCCGAGAGCATGGTATGTTGAATCATTGACGGGCACAGCACCCCCATTCAATCTTGTAGAAAGGCTAGCCTGGAGGGGACTTCATTGGCAGGCTGTTCGAATCCGCGCCGTCCCCTTTACCTAACCCCCAAAAATCTGTACCCTGGCGTTGCTATCCAATATGAACGTGTAAATACCTCAATCGGATCACTCTATATTGGAGGGTTACAGTCCCAAGAACGCAAACTAGAACGTCATGTGGGGATCGACAGTCTAGAGATGAATCCAGAAACTCAGAGTATAAGATAACATCGACAACCGGGGTACCGTTTTGATAATGTGGTGAAATCATATTCTGTGGTCCTCAATGATCTAGCCGCAATATCCAGGCAGGCTAGTGCGGGAAGCAGTGGCATGTGCCCTCGGCAGGTAGATATGCACTATCCATACTCCAACTGCATAAGCAGTACTACGTACGGAGTACAGCCCTACGATATCTGTGGCATTGCATATGTCAGTAATCTGGCTGCCTGTCTCATCTTTCTTTCCGACTCAGGGTAGTATAAGCAGACGGTGTGATAAAGCCTCCGGGCTAGAGGCAGCCGATTGCGGGTAATGAAAGATTGATGGATGCTTATTATAGTCTCTCCCAAAAGCCAAATCTCAAGCCAAAAGAACTGGGATTCAAGGTCTCGTGCAAAGTAGGTTATTAAACTCCGCGACCAAGTCCAGTTTAATTGGCGTGTCCCTTTCGGCTTGCGGGGCGGTCTGAATTAGTGGCCCCTTAGTGGACCGCAGTAGCTATGGACTAAATTACTTTGAGACTAGTAGTAGCGGTCCTTACCACCTATCTACTAAGTACCGATGTACTATGTAGTATGTAAGTATTGATACATGGCCCATAGATTCATAGTGTGCGAGGAGCCCGGACACTTGAACAGTTGTCGTATCTGGTATCTGCTAAGTACCTTCCCATTATAGTCGCCATATAAAATCCGCCAGTCTGGTCACTCGATGATAATCATAGTACTCTTTACTCCGTACCATCCATGCGTTTCTTGCCTGGGAGGCATGCTCGCCACCTTCAAGCTTTTCTGCCCTCGGAAGCGCGCACCTCGCAAGGAATGTGACACCGGCTAGCACGGCCACCAGCTTCCGACACACAGCGGTCGCACAAGCAGAGCCTTGCATCCGCCCATGGATCCTGTTATTTATCTGACGCCAAAGTGTAGTCCGAATGCAGCTCCGATTTCTGGGCCTTCGCCCGAACCAAAGTCGTCCCAGTGCGATATAGATAAGGCATGAAGACCCGGTTCCGAGGGAAAGATGGAGCCTCTCAGTGAAAGCTGAAAATTTTTGCTGTGCCTTCAAGTCTGGTGGGCAAATCAAGAGGGCCCGCGAAAGAGGGGAATCCATGCGGAAGACCCTGGAACCAAACTCCAACCTGTCAGGTGGCGCCCGCACCTCTTAAGAGACTACTTACTACCTTACGAAACAACTCCAGTAGTATCGACTTCTCTCGGAACCTGGACCGGCTTATCTCGCCGTCTCCACTCCTGCACTGTCGCTTTTTCACCGTTTCTTTTCTTCTTCCCGAGTACATTCACTCTCCCCGCTGCTTCACCTTTCGCGACGCATTCGCAAACTGAGACAACTGCAAACTTCTGCGAATAATCGAACACATCTCTATCCATTCTCTACTGTGCTGTTTCTTTTGGTCCTCATATCTCGGACAAAAGAGCTTTAGATTTCAAATTACGTCTGAGGAGAAACTTACACCGGTGTTGGGGCTATAGTGTTCTTTGCACTTGAACGAAGTGGGATCTGCAAATATAAACAGAGGAAATAGGGAGACGAAAAGAAGCGCCATCGACAGGGATCTTGTTGTTTTGCGGAGGGCTTGCCGTAAGAGTCTTGGTTGATTCTACAGAAAATGGTATTGACACTGCAGAAAAGACCAACCGCCTCAGACGATAATTTTCCCACTGTTCAGCTGTTCCTTCTTGGTATGTATATTCTGTGCCCTTCGCTGCAGCCGATATGCTGACTCCTCGTTCACGTTAGCAATATGCCGCGTCGCAGAGCCAATCGCCTTGACCTCCATCTTCCCATACTCATGGGTAATGATCAGGGACTTCAACGTGGCTGATGACAACAGCGCTTCTTTCTATGCCGGAATCCTCGTCTCTGCGTTTTCTCTCGCTGAAGCCCTTACCGGTATGTTCTGGGGAGGTCTCTCGGACCGAGTTGGCCGCAAACCCGTCCTCATCACCGGCTGTTTCGGCACAATGTTGTCTCTTCTCATCGTGGGGTTCGCCTCAAACTTCTGGGTGGCGTTACTCGGGCGGGCCCTTGGTGGGATACTGAATGGAAACATTGGGGTCATTCAAACCATGGTCGGCGAGTTGGTCAAGAGACCCGAGCACGAACGTAAGAAGGACCTTTTGTTCTATTGATCTTGCAATTTTGGTGGGGGCTTCTGCTAACTGGCAGTATGTACAGCCCGAGCCTACGCTGTCATGCCATTTGTATGGTCAATTGGTACAATTATCGGCCCAGGTATGTGTGATGGAAACCTTCCAAGTACTAAGGGCATAAGGGAAGCGGGTGTTAATTGCATCATCCACTGCAGCGATTGGAGGGTTGCTTGCAAAGCCTGCCGAAGGCTTTCCCTCTTTGTTCTCCCCCAACGGCTTATTTGGTAGATTTCCTTACCTTTTGCCAAATCTGGTCTGCTCCGGCCTTCTTCTCTGCAGCATAATTTCCAGTTGGTTCTTGCTCAACGAGACACACCCTGATATGCAACCCTGGAGTGTGCCAGACCATCATGTTCATCCTTCTGTGGAACGCCCTCTGCTTGCAACTGCAGGAGCGACAGCCAATGCAGGTGCAGATTTACGTGCAGAATCCTATGGTACCTTCAACCAAGTCCGCCTTCACAACGATGAGGACTGGACGGTGTGTGCAGACGGTTCAAAGCTCGAATCTACCTCACCAAAGCAGACTATCTTCACGTGGCGAGTGTCCATGCTTATCATCGCCTTGGCTATTTTCACATATCACTCGATGACATATGACCATCTGTTACCTATCTTTTTACAGGACAAAAGTGCCAGAAGCATTTCCATGTTGTCGAACTCGGCTCTTAGGTTCCCAGGAGGTGTTGGTCTTTCAACACAAACCGTGGGGTTGATCATGTCGACCGATGGCATTATTGCGCTCATCATCCAAAGTCTGATTTTCCCTGTTTTGGCTCAGCGTTTGGGTGTCTGGAAGCTTTTTGTCATCGTCACTGTTCTTCATCCTCTTGCTTATTTCATGGTACCGTTCCTCATATTTGTCCCTGGCAAATATGTGATCTACGGTATCTATATGTGCTTGGTGGTTCGCAACATTCTCTCAATCATCGATTACCCCGTCCTCCTCATCCTGATCAAACAAGCGAGTCCATCTGATTCGGTTCTGGGGAAGATCAACGGTCTTGCGGCTTCTGCTGGAGCCTTCTCACGCACAATGGCACCTCCCATTGCCGGCTTCCTGTACAGCACTGGCGCTAAGATTGATCTCACTGCTCTTGCTTGGTGGGGCAGCACTTTTGTTGCAATCATTGGTGCAGTGCAACTATGCTTCATTGAGCCAAAGAAGCATGCCTCCGTTACAGTTCATCCGGCGGCGCACTGTCACTACACATCCCACGCTACATCAGATAAAGAGATTGTTCATATAATTGTGACAGATGCTGATAGTGATGGGACTGACAGTGTCTAGTCGAAAGATGAACGCTCGACATGTCACAATAATACGGACTTGCGCGGTGACTCAACAATACTTAAACGCCCACTGCAGGTTCTGCAGGTCCTGCAGTGTAATCTCATCTTGAAAGAAGCAGGCATACTACTTGCGCGAAGATCATATGTACTGGTTGTGGATCCCACTTGGTAGCAGTATGTTGTCCTTGTCGAAAGTCGGTTTATGTGCTGCATCCTAGGGCTTGCAAGGTGTTCTGGTGTCGGATGATGTACATAGAAGAAATCTAATTACTCTGTATGAACGGAACGCTCTGAGTATGCGGAGGCGGTGGCCTTCAGTGTGGTGCTTTCTATAGGGCGGTGAGACAACCCCGATATTGCCTTCTTACACCGCCCTTTCAAGGTGGCGCTAGTCCCCACTAGGGCTAGCTTTGTTTACCGCGATCCTGGCAACGGCCCGAAAATAATAATCATAATAAACGCCCGGTCGAACTGTCCTGGAATCATTACCCACTCGGCACTGTTGTCCTTCACGCGGCTCTTGGGGACTGCTCTGTGCCCATCCTATCGGTTGGTGTCAGGACTCTTGTCCACACTATCGAATTTCCCGATCATACATCTTGTATCTAGCGAACTATACCCCGCCGTCACGATGTCCACGCCCCTATCTTCCTTAACATCCTCGCGCCAGAATTCGCGAGCTCTTTCACCGAGCTACGGAAATTCCGTGGACGAGGACGACATGGATGCGTATCTAGCGGCCAATGAAATGCATGAAAACGCCTTCTCAAGCCCCTTTAAAGTGTCAGTTGATGTCCAAGACATCCCAGCCCTTGACGATGCGGTCTGTGAATCGCAAGATGAGGGTATGGACAATGAGGATGCCGAATCTATTCCACCAGCACCCAGCTCGCCCTTTCAGTTTGACGCAAGAGATGATACAGTTGACTACCAGAGATTACGGGCACTCGATCGGCAGGCATCGTTAGGCCTCAGTGAGAGGTCTATGACGCCCAGGAAACGCTCTTACGAGCAAGTCCCTGATGACCTGGATGGAGACGGGACCCCGAGTGGTAGATTTAAGAGGGGGACTGGACCGAGAGGGACTCCGGAGATCAACGTCTACGCGGATGCGGACGTCGGACCCATTGCTGATCAGATCGTGGTAGGGGTTGCCAATAGCATGATGGAAGAGAAACATAATGAAGGCATGAGCAGTGTTCACCACGAAGGCAATGATGAGGACATACAGGAGAATGAAGATCTTGAATTGCATGAACCGAATGATGCCATGGTTGATGACTCCCACGACTCAATGGACGACACTTGCCTCAGCTCTTTCTCCGCTATTCCAGACATGACGACCTTTGCGCAGCTTCGAAGTGACTCGCCTTTCAAAGCAATGCGGCCTCTCCCAAGTAGCCTGGCCAGGCCAGAAGACTCACATGAGCATGTAGAGTCCTCTACCTCCGCCCCCTCGAGGAAGTCTCCCAGAAGAAGCGTTCTGAATGACGTTGGCACACCATTAGCATCCCCCACACCTCGGAAACGAGATTCAAGGGTCCTACACGAAACACCCAATCTACTCGACTTAACCGATCAACCGACCATCTTCCCTCGTCAACGCTATAATATGCAGAATGAGCGATACTCCCCTTCCCGACGCTCTCCCTTGAGGGCCGCTAGAGATACAGCAAGGTCACCGGGAAAGGTTTCACTTTTGGATTTCGACCTCCCCGCCGTTCCTACCCCTCGGTCAATCCCAACCGTCACGCCTCGGGAGCTAGAGTCTTTGAAATCTAGCTTCCTCTCCGAGATTTCCTCCCTCAAAGCTACACTCAGTGGGAAAGAGGCGGAGGTTGCTAGTCTTAAACAGGCGGTTGCCGATGCGGAACGGCGTGTTGGTGAGGCTTTGGAAGAGGTCCGCAACGAGGTTGCGCGCAAGGAATCTTTGGAATTTGAGCAAGCTGAGTGGCAGCGCCGGGGCCAAGAAATGGAAGCTGTGCTCCGAGAAGTGAGAGCCAGGATCGTTGATGGAGAGCGAGAGAGAGAGCAGTTGGGGAAGAAGGTGGAGGAAGGAGAGAGGACTAAAGAGCAGTTGGAAGGCAGAGTGGTCGAGTTGGAGAGTCAATTGGCTGCAGCCCGCCAGGCTCCTCCCACTGATAATGGAGCTTTCGAGAACGAACCTCGCACCAAGACACCCGAAGAGACTGCTAAAGAAGTTCAGGATGCTGTCGAAAAAGTTGCACGTGAGCTCCACACGCTGTACAAGAGCAAACATGAAACGAAAGTTGCTGCATTGAAAAAGAGCTATGAAGCCCGTTGGGAAAAGCGTGTGCGTGAAGCCGAAGTCAAGCTGATGGCTGCCAACGAAGAGAATGAACGCCTGAAAATGGAGCGAGATGCTGCTGTGTCGGAAGCCCCACGTAATGACACCGGCATGATTTCTCAGGAGAGAAAAGAGCATGAAGCGGAGAAGCGGGTGCTAGAAGCACAGATCAAGGGCTTGCAACAGGAGATGGCAGCCCTCAAAGATGATAGTGAGCGCCTACACGCCGAACTGAAACAGGAGCGAGCAGAGAAAGGCGAATTGGTGGCAGCCGTGGATGAATGGCTAGCAATTCAGCAGGATCAACCCCCAACACAAAGCAGCACCCAGCCTCTGAATGCCGGGGAGATCGAGCCACCAGAGCCGACGCCTGCCGCCACCGAGCCTCCCTCTGAGAACCTCCATCGAAGCGTGAGCCACAGCAGCTCAACAAGTGGCATTCGTCCTCCAAGCACGGGCTCTGGCAATGGCGAAAAGAGAATTCCTAAGATTGGAGCCGTGGGAAATAGGCAGATCCGGGGGAACAGTGGTAGCAAGTCAGGAATTGCGGTATTCACGCCAGGACGCAGTGGTATCATGGGATCGATAGAACGAATGGGCCGCGGTGGTGCTTAGTGGAAGGACGTGTGGCTTGCAGGGGCTTGCTTTTTCTTCGCCCGGATTCCTTCTCTGTGGGATTTTTTCTTTTTCACCTTCAGCTTCGTTACTTGATGTATATTGGTTTGGTTGTTGGCTGGGCACATATTCTTCCTGGTTGAGATATCCCAAGACGGCGTTTTGGCAGAGTGCCATGGAACCCAAGGACTGTGGTTTGGTCACCGGAAGGATTTATTGATGTAATGTGATTATGTTCCAATGATAGCCTCTTATTTGCAATTATCATTATTTCCTGCCGCGGATTCCGGCACATCGATGAACTGGTGCGAAGGAGTGCCTCTAGGATGTATTCTGGGCTACTTGTCCTCCATCGGAAATGATATGGAATCCCACAGTCTCATATCACTATACTTGGCCGTCCACTCGGGGCACTAGTGCCCCACGATCCTCAACATATTGGCAGCTGGTCTGTTGATGGTTGTCATGCAACTCACGACGAAGATCTCGCCTGGTGATTGCGTAAGGTGCGGTTGGAACCCGAAGGAATGAAAGTGAAAAATGTGAAGCCGAAAACAGTCTATACTGGTTGTGACACAACATGCGGAAGATGCTTTTGACTTATAATGTATTAGGAGTATTGTGATCTAGATATGGCATTGCATCGGTTGATATAGTATAGGATCCTCTTATCATCTTGTCAGTGAATCGTACTATCTTACTTCTCCTTCCCTTTTTCTCTTGTACCCTACCATTGTTCTAAGAGCCATTTCTAAGGTCACGGGACAGAGGCAGATGCCATATATATACATATACCATATTTATATTATTGGATGAGGGCCCAACAGTATGATAATACCGAAACCGCAACGAATATATCACGCAACACACTAGTAGGATGTCAGTAGGAACTCCCATCAGCTACCTACTACTACTGCATCCTGGGGACTGACCCTTGCTACATTATACGAAGCTGTCATTTGGTGGAGCCTCCCCATGATCTGCATAGTCCGGCGTGTCCGGTTTTCGCAAAGAGGTTCCCAGCAGCAGCTACTAGATATGTCAGTAATGCGGGGGTTTCCGCGCATCGAGTCAAGCCATAGCCTGGGATCCTTGAGCCAGATTAGGAGGAAGGACATGCGACAGTTGAACCCGTGCTACGCCGGGGCAAGTCTTCTGACACGGGCCTCTCGGTCTCGCCTAAACCTTGCCCGCCACGCAAGGTATCTATCTATTTGATGTATCTAGTATCTCCCAGGTATGACCCTATCCCGTGTGTTGGTTGCCAACCCCCTCTCCCCTTCCCCTCCCCCTCCCGTCCATCGGGTTCCCGCCTGTGGCTTGCAGCAGAACTGGACAGGTAGAACGTGGGGTGGCACACCAGCTGGCTCGGGAAGATGTCCGAGTGCGCACCGATGGGCCAGGCGGGGGTGGGAAGAGCGTCCCTTGCTGGAGGGAAGCACTAAGAACTAAAAAGAGAGGGATTAATGGGGTGCTCGTGCCCCCATGGGGAACGTGATCTCTCAGTCCTTCCAGACTTCCAGTCTCTGAGTCCCCAACCCCCAAGACCCGGATCTGGGGTTATCCGCCCGCGATGACCTGCCAAGTCGATGCCTAACCCCGCAAGAAGAGCAAGATGCAATAGCCAATGGGTTGTTGGGATGGAGTCTTTTATACGGATCCAATGCAATTCGTGCATGTGTTGGACCTAATAGTACACACACCTCCACCTCCACCAATGACTGCAGGGGCGTATGATATCATCAGCAAGGGAAGAGGAACTCATGGATGGACGCTCCCAAGGTTCCCTCTCGGCTCTCCGGCCTCCCCGGGTTTACGAGGAAAGTGAAATCCACAATCGAGACTCGAAAAAGGAAAAGGGGAAAAAAAAAAAAAAAAAAAAGGCAATTCAAATCAGAAAAGGGGGAGGCGAAACTGGGGCAGGCTGGGACTAGAAGGTTCGATCGCCGCCTGTGTTGGACACAGCGAAGTTCGGCTCTGGGGTCACCAAATTGTTGAACCTTTTCCCTTTTCCAATTTCTCCCTTCTGACTGGTGACGATACGTAACACTTCACAGACAGTAAAAGTAGTAGATAGTTAAATCCACCACACGGACGGACGGAATCCACGGCGTCGGATCCACAGCTTTCCCGATCGGGGCTGGTCCACGTCTGCCAGGGCTCTTCAGAAGTTCAGGTTTCTCCAGCCGTCCAGCGTCACTCATCTCTCAAAAAGACTACATGATTGGCAGCCAATCGCTCACCAGCCGACCACCCGTTAGTCCTTGTCCCCCGTCCCACATGGGAATCCGCCCGGGTGTCATTGATTGGCGTGGGGGAATTCCCTCGTGATTGAGACTGATCCCGTCGGAGATTATCCACGGGACCAATCACGGCAGCTCGTGCGTTGGTTCGCTCCCCACGAATTCTTAGTCACTATTACGGATACTACTTAGTCCCTCTGGGGCTCCCCCCCCCATATTTTTATCCCGAACTAAGAGAGACGTTAGAATGATCAATTATTTGTATCTTGATACTACTTAGGGCAGACCGACTCTTTGCAAGTTGGATGACAGGTGAAGAGGCATCCCTGATAGGTACCTAAGTACGGAGCACAGGGCTACCTACTACCTAGATACCAGGTTGAAACATAACAGGGCTTATACCGAACATGTCCAATCACATCCGCTTCCCGCAATAGCAGCATGCAGGATGCTGGGATGGCGCACAGTGACAGCAAGGAACCGCCCACTCGTGTCACCCTTCATTACGCCACTGTACATGAAACAGACAGTACCTGGAAAGGGTTGGAATGTCTCATCCTCAGCTGTGCCTGGACTGCCTGAGTCACTAAATTACTGCTGTGTACGGAGTATCTTATTCTGTCCTCCGTACCCCAGTGCTCCTTCCTCTTACTGTGGGGTACCTGGCGCTTCCCTCCGATTTTCGCTGATAACTAAACCTCGTCCTGGGGTTCCTGAACTTCCTGGAGCTAGTAGAAACCATACTAGCTTTCAGCATACGTAGCCTGCGCCTGCTATTTCTCCACTCCACTTGGGCAGCAGCTAGAAGTCTAGATGATGCTTCCCCCCGCCTGCGGCAAGTCGCAGGTCACCCGCACCGATTCTGGGCCGTCATGACTGGTGAACTTCCCGCCGGAATGGAATGGATCCCTTCCCTTGCTGAGGGTGGACTCCTCCGGTTGTCGGCACTATCAGGAATTATCACGCGTGACACCGGCCATCACGTGGGAGAGCTTGGTATTATGTCCTCCGTAGTATGTACACCGTATGTATTCGTCCATTCAAGATTCATGGTGGGCTGGAAACTGGAGGAGCCATGAAAATTCACGAGGTTAGGTAAAACGTATCTAGGCCTACCCCGTAAAATCTTAGCCGCCCGGGGTGGTGCAGACCCGGATTTCGCAATTCAAACCCTGCTGCGATATTTAATTTGGCTGACAGCTTTGGCAATTGCATGCACGTCGTGCACATCGTAGTACTACTATGTATCTAGTCGTCTCATCAAGGAGTTAGGCTGATCCACCCGCGCGATATTATGATGACTCCGTAGGCAAGATTTCCTGCCATAACCTTCGCTTGCGGATGACGTCTATCCAGGCTGTGCTCTGTAAAATGCGCATCCTAATACGTAGTCTCGTCGTGTCTGGACGGTCGAAATCTCGATGCGCCTTGTCCAGGTCTTGTTTTGGGTGGGGCTCCTCCCCCGGTGACTGACCGCATTTATGGATGTTGAAGTAGTACTCCATAGTACTCCGTACCGTGGCTAATTACCATTGTTGTGATTCCCACTTCATCGGCATGCGGCAACGGCTGCGGTTCTAATAGTACATTGGGCAGTGGAGTCTCTACCGGTCGGTCTGGATGCTGCAGGCCAGCAACAACCACCGCGCCCATTATTAATTGCTGGTGCAATGGCGGCGATAAGGTCCGACCACTTCACAGGGCTACTTGTCGTCAATTCGTCATACATCTCTAGTACTTGGTCCTGTGTGTCGATAACGCATGACATATGCACTGGCCGAATGTCTACATACATCTCACAAGCTGCAGGCTGCACCTTTCCACAGCATCCGTCTGATCCAAGGCGACTCGAACCGATCATACGTAAAGGGTTTCGTAGTCCGGGATCAATCCAGGGGTCGGTTCAGGGTGAAGACCGTGTGTGACGGTGTTATTGAGGCAATCCCGATGGACCAGAGAATTCCACTCTGTTCCGAGATCTCCATGCACCCTATGCGGCGTGCTTACGGGCCTCGGTATGTGACCCATACTCGGCTGTTCACAACTTCACAAGGCGGAGATCATGATGGGTACCGCCAGGGCCGATCCCCAGTACTCAAATACTGTACATACATAGTAGGCAGATACTGGCGATGCATAAATCCAGCCGAACGGAAGGTGGGTGGCACCCTGGGAGGTTTCAATAATTCAAGCCATTTTCTCTCAAATGGGGGATGGAAGGGAGCCGACGGAAGCAGACCCGAGTTTGAGACTCCGTGCTTTTCAGCCACTGAAAGTCACAGCCGGAATCTTTTCCGACCCAATATGACGCACCCTCCTCTTGGGTGTGTCGTACCAATATTGCCCGGAGTAGTGCCGTCGCAGTTTAGAGAAGACTAGTAGCTACTCCGTACTCCGTACACAGTGAAAGAGGGAAAGGAAGGTAAAAAAAAAAAAAAAAAAAAAAAAAAGCAGCCAACCCTACTAGGGGTCTTTTCCTTGTGCCAATGGTAGGATCCTCACATTGGCTCCCGGTCCCCTCCGGTGGTGGCCAAGCTGCCGATGACTGGCTGTGGCGGCCAGGGCCAGTAACGTGACCGGGCCGATAGACCCCCAATCGGGAATGGCAAACTGCCACCCCATCTGGGTCCGTCGTAGTGTGTGTGTGGAGTTGGGGAGTGGGGTGGGAGTAATAGATGGGTAAGGGAGTTGGGAATTGAGACTTGAGAATGAGAAGAAACCGGCTGCGGGAACTGGACCGGAACCTGAACTGAAAGGGAATAATGGAAGGTGGAAACGGCTTCCAATCCAGTCCAAGCCTTTATTCCCTCTTCGGGCGGAAGTCCTGCGTGTGGTGGGGCTCACGCCGCTGGATGGTTATTGGTGTGCCAGGTGGGGAGGGCTGTACAGTAAGCAGCGGCAACGACTGGCTCAAGGTATCGTAATCTGATTGTCTGCCCGCCCACCCCACTTCGCATTGGGTCGGCTCCCAAGCCTCCAACACCCGGATTGGGGCTAGCGGGCGCGGTCTGAGGTAAATACTGGCCGCGCTAGCGCCGGCCTTCTTTTCTGGCCAGCGTGACTGCCTGGCTCGCACTAGGGACGGAGCAGCGTCGTTGATGACCTCCGGGAGGTTGACGATGATGATTAACCAGGTCAGTCCTCGCGACTAGTCTCGACGGCGACGGAGCACACCGTCCGCGATTGGGTTTCCAGGCAGACTTCCACGGTTCTGGTCTGGGGGAGGCGACCATAGCGAGTGGATCTGGGGCTCATCATCCCCAACGCCAACGCCTCCTGACTTGAACGGACTGACGGTTGCTACCAACCAACTACTAGTAAGAATACTTAAACATTCTCCTCCCCGGCCCCAGGTCTTGCCTCGATTTTCGTCCCTTTGGACGAAAAGATTGGAAACACGGTCCTGTGATTCTCCTTCTCCCTCTCTAATTCCTGTATGGGGTTGATTTAAAAATAACCCTTTTTTAAAGAAAAAAGGAAAGCCTCTCCACTCTTGTCTTTTCCTCCGTTGGGTCACGTTCTGGATTTCCTTTTTTTCCTACCTTGACTCTCATCTTTTCTTGTTCACTCTTGCTGTCGCAATCTTGTCCAATACACCTAGAATCCATTTACGGAATCTTGCATTGGGCATCTTATTTTGATTGATCGCCATTCTTTCTCTCTCCCCCTCCCCCCCCCCCCCCCCAAATCGTTGGCATTCAAAGGCTGGCCTTCTCACGATCACGAATGATTTGGTGCAACTGAATCACACTTCCCAGAATGACTAGCACTGCTGTATCAACAACAATACCAACGCCTCAGGCTGCCGTGGATACGGAGTCCAAGTCCAAGCGGAAAGCCTCCACCGCTGGTCTGCCCGCCAATGCCCGGCCTGTAAAACGGCGGGCGTCGAAGGCGTGCTGTTGCTGCCGGGCTCGCAAAGTGCGGTGTGATGTGGTCGAAAATGGTTCGCCCTGTACGAATTGTCGCTTGGACCAAGTAGAGTGCATTGTCACTGAGAGCAAGAGGAGAAAGTTCGTCCACGTCGAATACATGTCTCCTGTTTGATTTCCACTCCCCAGAAGTGCCGGCTAACCACAAGCGCGCCTTGTTGCCATTCTTCAGGAAATCACGTGTCGAGGTCGACAATGCAAACTCCCACCGGCTTTCTCAATCGCCTGCAGAGGGCCCCGATGATGGGGCGAGTTTGTTCAGGCGCCTGAGCGAGTGCCACGGGCTTTCCGACATGATCCCGGGCTCTCCGTCGCAGCGCTCCGTAGATCTGGATCAAGGGCAGCACATGCCGCATCTCCTATGTTCGTACCCGTGTCCACGTTGGATTCTCAATGATGCTACATCTACTCCAGATAGATGCTGATGCGCAGTTCTGTAGATCAGAGTCAGGCGAACCGAATTGGCTCCGGGGATCGCTTTCGAAGAAGAATGGCCCCAAATCCTGCGGTTCCGGCCACTTTCCCTTTGCACCATGTGACTTCGCACATTCAGCAGCTGCTTGATCCTACTTTTGCCAACTCCAGGTCGGGTGGGGTCGTTTTGCCAGACTACATCCGCGGATTACCGCCTCGCCTGCAGAAGGAGGACATCGACTACCTGTCTATGAAAGGCGCGTTGACGGTTCCGGATGTGGGATTACGGAATGAGTTGCTGAAAAGCTACATCCATTACGTCCACACGTATATGCCCCTTCTTGACTTGGAAGATTTCCTGCAGACCATCGTGCAGAACGATGGCATCCGCCGCTTGAGCCTCTTGCTATTCCAAGCCGTCATGTTCGCTGGCACTGCGTTCATCGATCTGAAGCACCTGCATGCGGCCGGTTATCCGACCCGGAAGGCAGCCCGGAAAGCATTCTTCCAGCGCGCCAGACTCCTGTACGACTTTGATTACGAAGTGGACCGCATCTCGCTCGTCCAATCCTTACTCCTGATGACCTACTGGTATGAAACCCCCGATGATCAGAAGGATACCTGGCATTGGATGGGCGTGAGCTTGTCCCTGGCACATACCATCGGTCTACATCGTGACCCCGGAAATTCTCGAATGGATATTCGACGCCAACGGATGTGGAAACGGATCTGGTGGAGCACATATACCCGGGATCGTCTGATTGCCTTGGGAATGAGACGTCCGATGCGCGTCAAAGACGATGACTGCGACGTTCCAATGCTGACCCTCGATGATTTTGAGTTCCATCCGTTTTCACCGGAAATCGTGAACATGGTGGGCAATTCGGAAGTCCTCCAAAGCGTGAGTCACCAGAGAGAGCTTGCCTTGATGTTCATTGAAAAGGCAAAACTTTGTCTGTGTGTGAGTCACGTCCTGTCCGCTCAATACTCGGTTTTGAGCCACAAGTTCGGCGGCACAATGGAGACAACCATGATGTTGGTGCCCAAGAAATCGGCAGCGGAGACCTTTGAGGTTCGTCGTTGTGACCAGGAGCTGGAAGACTGGCTGGCCCACCTTCCGGCAGAGATCCAGTACGCTCCCGCCGCGCCCTCCAAGTTGAGTGAGGCACAAGAAGTGCTTCACTCCCATCGGGCGCTCCTGAAGATGGTCTATTTGACCACCTCCAGCGCCCTCCACCGTCCCCAGGTGCTCCCTGCTATCCCGTTTCCCTCGATGGACGCCGAGCTGCAAGAGATCTCGAGAGATAAGGTGCGCTTTGCCGCGATCGAGATTACGAACATCGCCCAGGACCTACATAGCTTGGATCTAACCCGGTATTTCCCAACGACGGGTGTCACGGTTCTCCTTCCCGCTGTTATCATCCATCTCCTCGACATCAAGTCCAGTGACCTCAATATTCGGATGACAAGCCTCCACCGGTTCTATCAGTGTATGCGCATTCTGCAGCGCTTGCGGGAAATCTATGCCTCGGCGGACTTCGCAACCTCGTTTTTGGAGGCTGCAATTCGGAAGGCCGGGATTCAGCTTACGGTAGCACCACAAGATGTGCATCCGCGGACAAACAGTACACTTGACACGACCGCACGCGTTAACACTCTGACCCCGCCTCCAGACTCCCTGGCGCAGAAAATCCCCGACCTGACATATCCGAAATCCAATGAGCCAGGGCTTACAGGCCAGCTTTCCAAGGGAAGCGGGCCCGGGTTTGCGTCAACACCTCCGCCCTCCGATGGTAGCGAGAATGGGAGCACCAACAACATCAACCCGAGTTATCACCAAGACGCCTTCGCGATTCCCAACTTCGATTCGGAGCTGAGCATAAGCGAGCTCATGGATCTGGCGAATGATGCGGAAGTGACCCAGAATGACTTTGATGCCTTGATCAACTTTGACGACGCCGGCGCCGACTTTCTCGCCCCCGACGATGGCTTGAATCCCAATGGAAACGCTGGTGGGAAGAGCTACGGCTTTAGTCTAGGTCCCATGGGTAACCTCTCCGACATCATGGGGTTTGATACCGAGAACAAAGGCGTTGACTTGACCGGCTTAGGAGATGGGCAGATCACTGAAGATCGCACTGCGGCACCACGGGCCGACGTAGCCAGTATCGCCGCCGACCTGGATGCGGAACTCGGCTTGAGTCTATAAGCACTTGTCTCTGGTCGTATTCTCGAACTCATCTTCTTTCTGCATTACTTTTGGCAATGATGTTATGGCCATGTCATTGAAGTGGGCCTTCTTTCCATCTGGGAGCATTCATGGGAGATGGGCGCTTGGAGTTCGTTCACGGGGTTTCATATATCGGGCTTGAATCTTGGATCGGCTGATGCTTGTTGATCATGTACTTGATGCGCCTGATGCCGGTTGCCTTTCCCCCTGCATGGGCGACTGTTTCTATAATATGTACATACCGAGTCGAAAAGTACGACACGAGGAAATGAATGACTTATGTATACGCCGCACGGGCTAGCCAGCCAATCCATCCCGTTGGGGATCCTGATTATAGGACGTCGTAGTAGTTTGCTAGAGGCGGAAAGTGAGAGCATTCAGTTGGTCGGACAAATATCGAATGTCCTGTGCAAGACGGACTTCGAAGCCTCAACCCATGGATATGAAGAGAAGATTGACTTCGTTGTACCCTTGCATGTTTTAGCTGGTGGATCACCCTTGCAGAGAACTCCACCCACCCACCCACCCACTCACTCATTCACCTACTCACTGACTGACCGCTTGAGGGCGTACACTGTAATCTAGCGCAATCCTCTTCGATGGATTTCCGATGCTACTACGATGTACTACCATCTAGAAGTAGCAGGTGGTAGCCCCAGGCTGTCACCGAGGAGTAGTAGTTGGCAAGAGACCAATCATCGGTCTGGAGCGAAGGTCCCGTGCATGCCAGTCCCCAATGAGGCAGGTGCCAGGCATCCGTCTCAATTCCCTCTCTGGCCTCTCTCTCTCTCTCTCTCTCTCTCTCTCTCTCTCTCTCTCTCTCTCTTTCTTTCTTTCTTCCTTCCTTTCAACTTGATCGGCCATGAGCACCATCTTTCTGACAGCCACAGCTTCAGCTATGCTTTAGCAACCATTCTTCATTCGCCCCGGACTTACCCTGTCAAGGGGCCTCGGGCTTTGATCCCGGGATGACTAACTTGTCAGTCCTTTCAAATGTCCCCAGATCCGTCTGGTGATCGTCACAGTGCCAATCCCCTGCTGTTGATTGGATAGGGTTGCTGGAGGCACGGGGTACCAAGCGACTAGGTTCCCAGGTGCAGCACGAGTAGGCCAATGCGGTATCGCCATCATTGGCAAGACGACCGCCATGGCTTCTTCTGCAGGGCTCACCCCTCGGAGGATCCTGCCCAATGCTGCACGGTCATTGGCGCAATGTGCGGCTGGCTAGCTGACGCCTCACCGATCAGGCTGGAAACAGCCCTGTCTGCCCGGCAGCGCGGGATGCAGCCTCATCTCCAGAATGGCATTGGTGTTCTACAACCTGCAGAAAGCTATGAGTTCTCCTCACGCCATGCGGGCTAGGGGTCCGTTACTCAAACCTTATGGCTTATGCTGAATGTATAAAGCTGGGGAATGATACCCTCTGGGTCTCCGCCGACCGGTTCCTACAGAGGATATTCCACGCCAGACTTGACACACATATAAATAATTCGCGCGGAAGAGCAGTGGCTAAGCTCGTCCCTGCATTGAACATACCATGCGTGGCTTTCGGTTGGTGCTCTTGCTACCCCTGGCTGCAAGTAGTTGGGCTCTGTCGGAGATTGAACGGGCATCTATGATAACAAGGCAATTACCAAAAGCCCCCACTGGCGTCAAGACGATAACCACCCCAAACAACTTTACTATTCGCTATAAGGAGCCAGGCAGCGAGGGCGTTTGCGAGACGACTCCAGGTGTCAAGTCATACTCGGGATACGTTGATCTTTCACCACGATCACATACCTTCTTTTGGTTTTTTGAATCCCGTCGTGATCCAGCAAACGATCCAGTCACTCTATGGCTGAATGGTGGTCCAGGAAGCGATTCATTGATTGGGCTTTTCGAAGGTTGGCCTGATCTCTCGACTAGAATCCCGGTATGAAAGTGCTGACGCTTTCGAAACCAGAACTGGGTCCGTGCCACATCCACTCAAGTCTTGAGTCCTACATCAACCCCTACTCCTGGAACGAGGTTTCCAATATTCTCTTCTTGTCGCAGCCTCTCGGCGTGGGTATGCAATCTTGAAGCCCTGGTGGTCTCAGTGGTCTGCTTACATTTCAATCTGTTACGAAGGATTCTCATACAGTGAAACCGAAGCCGGGTCTTTGAATCCTTTGACTGGAGTTGTCGAAGACGGGTCATTTGCTGGAGCTCAAGGGCGGTATCCAGTCGTTGATGCCACGATTATTGGTAAGTCCTTCGGCTCTTTCTCTCGATAAGGCAGTCTCCTGAATTTACCACCCGATAGACACGACAGACCTTGCTGCACACGCAACCTGGGAAGTACTTCAGGGCTTCCTCGGTGGCCTACCACAGCTAGACGCAGAAATCAAGTCCAAGGAGTTTAACTTGTGGACGGAGAGTTATGGAGGGTGAGTGCAGTCTTCAGATGAGTTCGATATATGCTGATATGGTTCAGGCACTATGGACCAGCTGTGAGTTGTCTCCATTGGATGCTTCTCCATAGGTATATAAGGCTGATAACCAAAGTTCTTCAATTATTTCTATGAACAAAATGCAAGGATTGCCAACGGAACAGCCCACGGCGTCCAACTCGATTTCAAGTCCCTTGGAATCATCAATGGTATCATCGACGAGGCAATTCAGGTATGTACTCAGCTACCGCCCAGCCACAGGTCCTGTACTCAAGGTGTTAGCTAAAATAACTCATAGGCGAGCTACTATCCCGAATTCGCCGTTAATAATACGTACGGAATCAAAGCAGTGAGTTGTTACCGTCACTCGCGTGCGACAGGTGTTAAATCCAACACTATGCTTAATCTTGCTAGGTTAATGAGACAGTTTACAATTATATGAAATTTGCCAACGAGATGCCGAACGGATGCCAGGATCAAGTCGCTCTGTGTAAGCTGACGAATAGAACCTCAGTAGCCGATTATGCTATCTGCACAGAAGCCACCAATATGTGCAGGGACAATGTTGGTAAGTGGAAATTGTTGTTTCCCAATATGGGCATAGTAGTGCAGAATACAGCTAAGATATCATCTACAGAAGGGCCCTACTACCAATTTGGTGGTCGTGGTGTGTACGATATTCGGCACCCTTACAATGTAAGTGAGACGGACAAGGACGGGGGTTATTCCTCTTCTCGAACAGGGAATTGCTCATCACACACTTGTAGGACCCAACTCCACCGTCCTACTACGTTGAATACCTTCAGAAGGACTCGGTTATGGATGCTATTGGAGTGGACATAAACTACACCGAGGCCAGCAACGACGTATACTATGCGTTCCAGCAGACTGGCGACTTCGTATGGCCGAATTTCATTGAGGATCTCGAAAAGATCCTTCAACTTCCTGTACGCGTGTCCCTAGGATACGGTGACGCCGACTATATCTGTAATTGGTTTGGTGGACAGGCCATATCTCTCGCAGTCAACTACACCCATGCGGCACAGTTCCGCACAGCTGGATATACGCCCATGACGGTGGACGGGGTCGAGTATGGTGAAACCCGAGAGTACGGTAACTTCTCGTTCACCCGCATCTATCAGGCTGGTCATGAGGTCCCGTACTACCAACCTATCGCAGCGTTGCAGCTGTTCAACCGCACCTTATTCGGATGGGATATTGCAGCGGGTACAACTCAGGTTTCGCCCGGATATCGCACCAACGGGACTTCAAGGGCTACACACACGGAGTCGTATGTACCATTGTCCACAACAAGCAGTGAGACCGTCCACTAGGGCAGTCAGAGATCATTCCTTGGTGTGATGGCCCATGAGGAGCTATCTACATACTCTTGATCGATAGTTGTGGTGCTAAAGCATGGTACGCAACACTCTTGGGACTGCCTGTTTACCATGCTCTAATCACAAAGTAGCCGGGAAACTTGAACAACAAACCCCAGTGATTAGAGAGTCATTGCTTATTATTCCATTAAGATAAATCGTAACTCGCTGATAGCTTACATAAGAGTTACCTCAGCTAGATGTCATTCAACGCTTCAAGCCCATTCTGATCTTGGATATTCAGCGGAAAAGCAAAAGAAACATATCTGGTCACCGAGCACGTTGCAGGCGAAAACGTGGCCAGAATGATGCTCACGTGCCCGCTACATTGTCACGGACTCCAGTCAATGATCATGCCACAGTCACAGCCTTCTCGTCCTTCTTCTCGGAGGGGTGATCTTCCAGTGGGACGCCCACTTCTTGCGCAGTTTCGTCTGAAAAGTTGAGATCGGCTTCGACGTCCGCATGCTCCTTAATCTTGAAAAGCACCACGGGGGATGCGATGAGCAGGCTACCGGCGAGCAGGCCCCAGCAGGACGCGAATTCGGTCATATAAGGGGTCCCCACAGCATCCATTCTACAAAACAATATGTTTGTTAGCGCATGTTTCATGTCTTGAAGCGGTGTTCGTAGAACTCACCGCCACATGCCAGCCGCACCGGCAGACTGGATCCCTTTGTAGAAACCCGCAAAGTTGGCCAATTTACGAGCGTTGTTGCTAAGCGAACCCATGAACCTACAGAACACATGCCAGTTAGTCAGGCGCATACAATAAGAGCAGGCGACGAGAAGGGGAAAAGGCATCACCGACCAATATGCACAGGTCTGAAAAGCCGCGTCGTAAAAGCCATAAAACATGTACAAAAACATGGGCCCGACATAGCCGCTAGTTGTCCAGTCGGTAGTTGCCGAGACTGTTTCCCGTGTGTATGTCTTTTGGAAAGCATATCCACCACCCCAGACTCCCATTGTGATGGCGAAGAGGAGACCAAGCCCGAGCTTGGCTCGCATTGGGCGGGAAAGGAACTTCAAGTCCAAGATCTGTCCGAACACGAATGCGCCAACCATCTGCATAAGCCAATAAAGGAGGTTGTTGAGGGACCGCGTCCGGATATCGAAATAGGCACCATTGACGCTGTTGAATTGATATGCTGTAAACCAATTGCTCACCAGGAACATGGGGAAAAATAGGATGATATAATAGTCGCTGCGGATGGTGTCATAAAGGCCCATGAACTCCGATTTCCACGTTGGGTTCTTCATCACAATGACATGCGAGCCATCCTTTCGTCTAACATACTTTGAGTCTGAAAGACCCCATGCAAGGACGAAGCCAACCGCCATAAGCACCATGAAGGCGATGTAGGTGCCATCATTGACCTGGCCCGCTTCAGAGTGTAGGTTCTGACCCAAGGGAACCTGTATGTCCGTGTTAGAAAGTTAAGAGGACAGAAAAGGAACCCCAAGATTGGTTTCGCGCAACCATGGAACTTACCAAGCTGCCAATCACACCACCCAGGTTAAAGATCACCCAGAAGATTGCAATAAACTTGCCCTTTTCCTTTTCATTTGGGTAGCTCATCATGACTGCACCCTGCGCACACCACAACAGGCCACCGCAAACACCCAGTAGCGCGCCAGCGAATATAAGAAAGCCGGAGTTCTTATTGTGGTTATACGACAGAAGTGAAGCCACGTAAAGAAAATAGCCGAAGCCACCGAATGAGAGTGTCAGGCGAAGGCCAATGCGATTCGCAATGGAACCTGCGAAAAAGCCAACTACGGCGAAAGTGCTGTATAGAGCCGTGTTGGCATCACTGACATCGGTAGGGTCCAGCTGACCACCACCACCTAGACCGCTGACCGCATTGTACATGCCAGGGCAGAGGAAACACACGAAGGAGACGAGCAGGAGCTGTGATTCCGGGGAGGCGAAGTATGGCAACGACCACGGACCAATCTTAATCGGCTTGTACATCCACGCTTTACCGGTGAGGTGGGCATCATGGCCGGCTTCCGGATCTGAGGTGACCGCGGGGACTTCTTTCTCAGGATGAAGGTCTTCCTGCCCCATTGTGGAGGTGGCCATTGATGTTGGTTGGCAACCACGGGATTAGATGTAGGTGTTAATGCAATAGCGGTGGAAAGTGGATGGTGATTTGCGACTTGTCGGAAGGTCAGCAGGAGTTCTCAAAATGTGCAGTTATGCATATGTAGACAAGTCCAATGGCATGTATGTGCAGCTATAGACACAGGAAGGTGGCAAGATATGTCCAGGGAATAGAGGCGACGAAGAAGCAAGTAGAAGTAGCTAATAAGAGACAAAGAAGACACAAGAAGCGTAGGGTGAAGAGGAAGAAAGAGAAGAGGAAGAAGAAGGCGGCAGAGGGAACCAAACGGGACCAAGGGTATCACTACGGGAGAGAAGAATTGAACTACCCGGGGAAATGAGCAGGAAGGAGGAACCCGAAATATGTAGGAACAGGTAACACACTGGCCGGGACCAGGGACTTATTTTAAGCACTGGAATCTGGCAGTGAAGGCGGAAGAAGGGCAAGGCAGTGCAGGGATGTCTTGGATGATCCGGGGTAAGAATGAAGGGGTGGGAACGAAAACAAATAGACAGAAGAGTGACCGGTCACGGGCGCTGGCAAGTGAAAACCCTTGGTCCAAGCTGCCAGGGTGATGAATGGGGAGTTTTTTTTTTTTTTTTTTTTAATTTAGGCCGAGGGTTCAGGCTTATTTTTATCTTCGGCTGGGGATACGAATTGTAGTATCCAGCTGATGGTCTTCTCACCTGCTTAAGCCACTGGGAGTGAGTGGTGAGCTGATTGTGAGGGACCAACTGGTGGATACCACCGTGGGAGAAAGGAGAATGAGACCACGGTGATAAGGACGAGACAAGCCGCAGAGATATCGGGGATCACCTCCATGATACGAAGTACCTCCAGAAACTGATAGACAGACAGGCAGATTCACCCCAGTGTTGCAACGCACAAACCCAATAATAACGAGAGTCAATGGGATGACAAGAAAACCGCCGTACCTTATCTCTGGGCCCTCGAGCCGATGGCCGGGGTGGGGGAACAAACGACAAGAAACTAAACCGACTACCTGACTAGTGAGCGCCGGCGTGGTCAGACGGTGAGATAGTCAAGGACCCCGACGAATCATCGCCGCCCAACCGATTCTAGTGGGAACCAGGTCAGTCGCAGGACGCAGAAGCCAGAAAGAACAAACGACTAGGATCCACTCGACCCCAAGCGAGCAAAAGTCAAAAAGATAGAAGGGGGAAAAGGATGAGTAAGAGAAATAGAAATGCGGAGAGACAACCAGGGTGTTGAAGGGGGCCAGTAATTACACCCAATCGAGAGCTGAAGGAGACAAGGAGGGTTTGAAACTTGAAAGAGCCGATCGGGGGGGAATCGAAGATCAGGCCTAGACGGAAAGGAAATTAAACTAGCAATGCACCCACCAATGCAGGCCAACTGACAACCACGAGGGGCCACGGTCGAGACCCCAAGAGCGACACGCGGGCAGAGTCAGTCGCGTGCTTAGGGGCTTGCTTATCTCCAAGGAAGGAAAGTAGTCAAAAGTATTGGGGTCGGGTGTAAAGCAAAGCAGCGGCTGAGATAGGAGTGTAAAGGAAAGGGGAAGGAAGGGGGGAGGACGGACGGACCTCTCGAGTAGTTCTACTCCGTAATGCATGTCAGATATGGTAGATAGGAACCCGTCCGTCATCAGATGGTCGATGATGTGAAGTCAAGGCCCCAGGAATCAGAACAGCATAATGATGATGATGAGTCGGAGGAGCAATGCAACAAACAACGCACCACACCCGGAACGGCCAGTCAGCCTCATGCTGGTTATCTGCCCGTTGTTGAATCCTGATTCACCGGCTGGCAAATCACCCGGGAAAAAGGCAACGGTGACATCGGCAGTCTGAAGCCTAGCCGAATCCGGGGAGGCGAGTTGGGTCATTTGCTGGTACGGTCGTCGTGAGGTAGCATCCCATTACTCTTCATTTCTTCACCTTTCTTTGCTCGCTACCGACGATGTATTCTTGGGTTCCCTCCCAGTGGAGTCGGACCGGACCCGGCAACCAAGATTGGGATGTGGAGAACCATACATGATAGGGTGAAAGGGGGGGACGATGGACCCAGAAGAGAGGAATTGACCGTGAGGGTGTACATGGTCGCGAGGTAGTCCGGAGTGAGGAAGGAAGGGAGGGAGGGAGAGAGGAGGAGGGAGTGAGTGCACACAAGCCAGAGGATGTCAGAGGTCAGAACTCAGGATGTTGAGTAAACTCACTTCTCACTTCACTGCTTGGCCCGAACAGGCAAGAACTCTTGGGGTTGGCACGCCCGCCTGTATCAGCTCATGTCAAGTACGGTACGACATGGGTATCAGGTATAGTATGTATGGTATTCCGTGAGTCCCGGTAAGATACCGAGCGGGTCAGAGCTTGTTTGTATGGCTGGTATGGCTGGTATGGAAGTATGCGACATGATCTCATCTATCAATCTATGCACACCCCTTGGAAAACATTCCTCTTTCACTATCTACGGATGTATGCCAAAAAAAAAAAAAAAAAAAGGAAATGAATGAAAATGTCACCTCGATTTCGCCTTTCTCTGACCCCCGATCGAACTAATCGACGTCACATTCCGGACATCGTGCCCTCAACATGAGACAAAGCAACGTCAGAAAGCCTCTCTCTCCCTCCCTTCACTAAGTCACCGGACAATAGCCTGTAAAGTCGGCCATGGCGATCGGGACTGCCCACGTTGCCCATGCGAGTTCCTGGTTGGATGTCACCATGTAGTAGCACCCCAGGTCCTCCAGCTTCTATTCTTAATGCGCCTCGTTCTTGTTCCTCTTCCCCTCCCCCGCCAGTCCCATGCTCTCTCTCTCTCTCTCTCTCTCTCTCTCTCTCTAGTACCGTCGTGGACGACTGCTCTCGGATATCACCATGCCTGGCAAAACATCCACCAGTCCTCCCCGCATCACCAAATTCACCAACTGTCGCATCGTCAAGGGTCTTGAGCTTGTTGAGCAGGATGTCTGGGTCGATTCAGTCTCCGGCAAGATCCTGAAGGACCAGGAAGCATTCTATGGATTACATCTCTCCCCCAATGAGGTCATCGACCTCGGCGGGCGCATCCTTGCTCCCGGCCTCATCGACGTTCAGCTCAACGGCGCCCAGGGTTTCGATTTCTCTGTTCCCCAGTCCTCCAAGGAACTGTACGATGAGGGCTTGCGGTCCGTCAACAAAGGCCTGGCCCGGACAGGGGTGACGTCGTATCTTCCAACGGTGGTGAGCTCCACTCCAGAAGTCTACTGGAAGGTCTGTCTCCAAAGTGGAAGAAACCTGAGACAAAAACTGAATCGAATGCTATAGGTCCTTCCCTCTCTAGGTCCATCCGGAGACAGTCGTCGCGCAGAAGATGGTGCCGAGTCGTTAGGTGCTCATGTCGAGGGACCGTTCATCAGCACGGGCCGTAACGGAGTGCACAAGACGGAGGTTCTCCGCGCGGCTTCCACCTTCCAAGACATTGTCGCGTGCTATGGCAAGGGGAATCTGACCGGCCCGTCCAAATCGGTTCGAATGATCACTGCTGCCCCGGAAGTCGGGGACATGCTCTCCAACATCTCCTCCCTCACATCGGAAGGTATCATCTACTCCATCGGGCACTCGGACGCAACATACGAGCAAGCCCTCGCAGCCACCCAACAAGGCGCCAGCATGATCACCCATCTCTTCAACGCCATGCGGCCCTTCTATCACCGGAACCCGGGTATCTTCGGCCTCCTAGGGCAGAATGAGTACCCACGGCCGTTCTATGGGGTCATTGCGGACGGGATTCATTTGCATCCCACCTCGATCCGAATCGCATATAACGCCCATCCGGACGGGCTCATCCTTGTCACGGATGCGATGAAGCTATGCGGTCTTCCGGACGGCGTCTACGAATGGACCAATGGAGAGCGCATCATTAAGACTGGTGCCCGACTGACTCTCGAAGGGTCCGACAAGATCGCCGGTAGCTCGGCCACGCTTATCGAGTGCGTCAACAATTTCCGTCGATGGTCGGGTGCATCAACGGCAGAGGCCCTCAATGCTGCTTCGGCTACGCCCGCGCGCCTTCTGGGCTTGCAAGGCGTCAAAGGATCCTTGGAGGGAGGCGCGGATGCAGACTTGCTTGTGCTGGACGATGAAGAGCATCCATTCTCGGGCCCCACCTTGACAGTAAGGCAAGTATGGAAGCGCGGAGTCAAGATCTATGACGCCGACAAGGGAGCTGCAGCTGCCGCCTAAACGTGCGGCTTGCTACGCATTCCTCCAGCCGTTCTTCACTTGTGTTTTACTTCCAATTTCCAGCGGGCGTGGGAGTTCCGGTCCTTTTTGCTTCGTGTCGGATTAGAGACTTGCATGGCTGGCACTTTCATTCCTTCATTCGTACTTTGGTTCTGTACCTCCCTATGCGGCCCCCCCTCCCCCGCCACCGCTTTTTCTGCAACAGAAGGGTATACTCTGAGGTTTGTATTCACCACCTGAATGAGCAGATTTCGGTAGAAACCCACCCCTTGGATAGACGCAATGATAGACAAACAAATTGCCTGGAGTTAATAACGAAGGCCAATGGGAAATTCCGTATATCGTTGGCCTGGTAGGATCTTCTGAAGATAATCTATGTTCATTGGATGTTTTTGTATGTCTGATGCTTTCTGCGCTACCCGCAGGCGCTATGATACAAACAGATCGTACCTGAGATAGCTATCCAGAACTCTCTGTATATAAGATGATGATACATCAACAGCGACAGCAACCCACCCCAAAAAGGCTAGGCCATATCCAAAAGGGAAGATAGATACACCCCATATATCACTGCTGCCAGCGGTGTAGATCTTCCCGGGCTCTTGCCAACTCTTCTCTAAATCATGAATCGTAAATCATGTAAGAGAGCAATCCACGTCGCACGTTCATGCATGCGTCGACCGGTATCCCTCCCTCACTTGAAGACCAGAAGCAAAAACCTCTCGCTTGGGCTATGCATGCACCGCTTCATACCCCACTCCCAATTTTTTCTTTCTTGAAAAAGGAGTATCAAACGAACCCAGGAAGCGCTCACAGACGGGGCTGCTCACGCTTCCATCCAGCCTCTTCCGCGATCAGCTCCGCGGCACGCTCACCGATGGCCAACACAGTCAACATGGGGTTGATAGTGGGCATTTCAGGGAAAACACCAGCGTCCGCGATACGGACATTCTTCAGGCCACGGACCTTCAGCTTGGGGTCGACAACGGCCATGGGGTCGCGGGTCAGGTTACCCATCTTGGTCGTTCCGGCTGGGTGGTAGACAGTGTGGGCCACGCGACGACCATATTCGGATAGCTCCTCGTCAGTCTGCACGTTCGGACCGGGGGCAACCTCGCGCTTGATCCACTCCTTGAAAGGCGACTGCTGGGCAATCTCACGAGCCGCCTTGAGACCAGCAACGATAGTGGCAGCGTCGTAGCCCTCCGGATCAGTGAAGTAACGGAAGTCCAGGGCCGGCTTGACGCTGGGGTCGGCCGAGGTCAGGTAGATACGACCGCGAGAGCGGGGGCGAGGGATGTTGGGAGTCATGCAGAAGGCATCAACGGGGGTGTCGTATCCCAATCGCTCGGTGTTAAGGCAGAAAGGGATTTGGTAGCAGTGCATCATGATGTCGGCGGCACGGCCATCGAAGCCATGAGCATTGGGTAGCTCACGACGCAGGAAAATTCCCGCATCGGAGTCCATAGTGGTCTGGTTGGGGGGAACAGGGCGGTTGAGCTCCCAGATGATGATACTTTCAGGGTGGTCGAGAAGATTCTCACCCACACCTGGGATGTCCTTCACGACGGGGATTCCAAGCGAGGACAGCTGCTCACGCGGACCCAAGCCAGACAGCATCATTAGTCTGGGGGTGTCGACGGCGCCCGCGCACAGGATGGTCTCCTTTCTGGCGCGCAGAGTGTGCTTGACACCAGACTGCAGGGTCACATCAACACCAGTCACAGTGTCTCCGCTGACATTGACGCGGGACACCCATGCGTTGGTGAGGATCGTCAGGTTAGGACGCTTCTCCTCGCCGCGAAGGATAGGGTGAATGTAAGCGACACTAGCGCTGCTGCGACGGCCGTCATCGGGGTTGTAAGAAACGGAGAAAAAACCGACACCTTCAGTCAGTTCACCCTTAGACCGGATCTCCTTGTTGAAGTCGGGGATGATGGGGATGTTCATGGCGCTTGAGCAAGCCTGGACCCAATCCTTGCACAGCTGGTTACGGTGACGGCTATGGACGGGCTGGACAGTGTTGCGCAGGTTATCAAGGACGCGGGTGAAGGTCTCGAAAGACCAGCCAGTGCAGCCGGCTTGCTCCCATCTTTTGCAGTCGTATTCGAAGGGACGGAAAGAGATCAGGGTGTTGTGGCTGGAGCAACCACCCAACACTTTGGCACGGGAGTGACGGATATGGCTGTTACCTAATAGAAGCAAAGAGCATATTAGGATGTGATCTGGATTGTTCGGATTGTCTATTCGGGGAAAAGAGAGTGGAACTCTCAGATCTTGCAGATCCAGGGCCATCTCTATCTCTCACATACCCATAGGCTGTTCGGTAGTGGGGTAGTCGTAGTCCAACTCGCCGCCGAGCAAGTTAAGCCACTCCCTCAGGTTGAGAACGCGGTCATCCATGTAGTCACTAGGGCCACCCTCGATGATCAGAATGCGCTTGTTAGGCAAGTATTCGGCCAATCGGCTGGCAATGACACAGCCTGCTGTGCCACCACCAACGATGACATAGTCATAGCTGTTGACATCGCTGGCAGGAAATTCATTGGTGGTAGCCATCTTGGATGAGAGAGAAAGGTAGGAAGAGAGACCACAATGGCAGAAGAGGGTCGGGATAAGAAAGATAAGGATCAGTAAGAATGGGGAGGAGGAGGATGGTGAATGGACACCAAAGGAACCGGACGGAGGAGGGGAAAGAAGGAAAAGAGAGGGAAGGGAACAGGAAAGATGAAACTGGGGATTTTAAATTGCAGGACAAGCAAGACATGGGGAGCCTCTGCTATTGAGGCTGAACCATCAGGCCATTCATCCATCCACTTCCCTCTTTTCTTTTCTTTTCGTTACGGGTTTTGTGTTCTGTCATTCCGTCTGCTTTTTTTTTTTTTTTTTTTTTTTTTT